GTCTGCCTGTTCTGCTCCCCACTGTGTCTCTGGAATCCTCTCACCCCCACACCTCTGGCCTACACCCCAGTTCTTGGATGCATAAATAAAATATCTAAAAAAAAAATCTCTGCAAACATAACACTCCACTGCTGATCTTGTGGGCGATACGAACTGAGGCCAGCAGCATCTGGCCCTAGCCCCACAGTCACACCCTCCATGGTTTTAGTGGGTGTGGCATCACTTTTTTCAACTTGAAGGGAAAGATGGTTGCAGAGGTTGTGAACATACTGGGCATACTCTCTGCCAGGACCATGCCATGTGCAGTCAGGTAACCATTTAAAGCCCCATATTTCATAATCTGTTCCCAAGTTACTGGATCTCACATCCTTTCCCCTCTTCTTCTTGGGCTCTTGTGCTTCGGTTGTTTGTCTCTTCCAGTGCCAGGCTGGGCTGTGTCTTGTATGTCCAATTGGTTCTCAGCAGAATGCCCCCTGCAGAGCAGATGGGTTTGTCACCTGAAGTTCTGAACCTTAAGAAGGAAAAGACTTGTTTAAAAATGGGAGCAGGGGCCTCCCTGGAGGCCTAGGGGTTAAGTCTCAGCACTGTTACTGCTACGTCTCAGTTTTACCTCAGCCAGTGAGCTGTCCCACACGGCACAGCAGACCTTTCCTGACTCACCTTCTGCTCCCCTCAGCAGTGTGATTCAGTCAATCCACCTGTTCTGCTCCCCACTCTGTCTCTGGTGAATCCTCTCACCCCCTGCACCTCTGGCCTGTACCCTAGTTCTTCTATGCAAAAAAAGATATATCCAGACATAAAATGTCAAATGTAAAATTGTAAAAGCTGTAAAATAAATGCATTCAAAAATAAATAAATTCAATTAAAAATAAATAAAAGTGTGATAATTCCACAGATCCAGCCCCTTTCTCAGGGCCCCGCTCATCTTTTGCTGCTGCTTCTCATCAGTTGTGCCAGGGGACATGCTGAGCAGCTGTCCCTCCCTGGCCTCTAATAATGGTGATTGTTTTTAAGATTTTGGAGTGGTGAATCTCCCTTAGTCTTGTGATTTAGGGAGTTGAACCTCTTTAAAAGAGAGGTTTTATCCTTTTACTTTATATATTTCAGTAAGGTTTGACTTTTAAAATGTATATTCTCTTTTTTTAAAGATTTATTTATTTATGCATATAAGAACTGGGGTACAGGACAGATGTGTGGGGGGTGAGAGGATTCACCAGAGACAGAGTGGGGAACTGAAATACACTGCTGAGGGGTGCAGCGGGCGAGACAAGAGAGGTCTGCTGCGCCATGTGGGTAGCTCCCTGACTGGGGATCGAACTCATGCTATAGTGGCTGTGGGTAGCTTCATAGGTTGTGTATTAACCCCTTGCGCCACCAGGAAGGCCCCTAAAATGTATATTCTTTTTATAATTTTAGAATAAAACAAAATAATTTGTGGATGCAAATTGGAGCTGCTATACAAAGAATCAAAGGAATCAGTCTGAATGACCTAGTTTTTTTTTTTAATTTTTTTTTATAGAGGCATGTTTTATTTATTTGTTTGTTTGTTTGTTTCTTTGTTTGTTTATACATGCACTGGGTACAGTCAGAAGCTCGGGAGGGTGAGAGAATTCACCAGAGCCAGAGCGGGAGCAGAGCAGGCAGAAGGACCGAAGTACACTGCTGAGGGGAGCAGCGGGCGGCAGGAGAGGTCTGCGCGCCATGTGGGACCCTCCTCCAGTGGCCGGGGAGCAGCCGGGGATCGAACCGGTGCCGCAGAGGCCCCGGGCAGCTTCGCAACCCAGCGCTCAACCGCTGCGCCACCGGGGAGGCCCTGAATGACCTAGTTTTAACTGAGTTTGAAAAAGACGGCCTGACATTTAATTACCAGATTCCAATTTGTCACTTGCAGCTGCCTGGTGGTAAGTTATAGATCATCTGCCTGCAAAAGCCTTCCCTGAGGCAGAGAAACTGAAAGTGGCTTTGAAGGTGGAGCAGGATTTCCTTCTAATTCTGGAAGAATCTGAGTGTCCTTTTCATTTTCCCCATAAACCCATAGTTCCTCTATTTTGTGTTTTCAATATGGTCAGTTTTCTAAAATTACGCAAGGTATTCATCCTCATTGTAAACAGTTTGGACAATACAGCAATGTATAAACTCTATTCTGCAGAATGTACTTAGTGTTTGGGGCCTCCCTGGTGGTGCGAGGGTTAAAGCTATCAGCAGCCACTGTGGCCTGAGTTTGATCACCTGCCAGGGAGCTGACCCATGTGGCAGAGCAGACCTCTCCTGTCTCACCCATTACTCCCCTCAGCAATGTGTTTCTGTAGCTCCACCTCTTCTGCTCCCCCACTCTCTCTGGTGAATCCTAGCACCCCACACACACACCTCTGGCCTACACCCCAGTTCTTGTTTTGTTTTTAAAGATTTATTTATTTATTTATTTATACAAGCACTGGTACAGTCAGAAGCGTGGGAGGGTGAGAGAATTCACCAGAGACAGAGCAGGGAACAGAATAGGCAGACTGATGAAATACACTGCTGAGGGGAGCAGCAGGCGCAGCAGGAGAGGTCTGCGCGCCCTGTGGGACCCTCGCCTGCGGCCGGAGATCGAACCGGCCCTGCAGAGGCTGTGGGCAGCTTTGCAGCCCAGTGCTCAACCACTGCACCACCAAAGGAGGCCCTACACCCCAGTTCTTGTATGCATAAGTAAATAAAATCTTTAAAAACAAAAAGAATGTACTTAGTGCTTGGTTGTGTGTCTTTTCAGATTATTTTTACACACACATCAGTTTTTTTATCCTTTGTTTTTTGTTTTTCAAATATAATTCGTATACCATAAAATGTGCCATTTAAAATTATACAATTTAGTGGTTTTTATTTTTTTTAAAGATTTATTTATTTATTTATTTATTTATTTATTTATGCAAGATCGGGGTACAGACCAGATGCATGGGAGGGTGAGAAGATTCACCAGGGACAGAGCGGGGAACAGAACAGGCAGACTGATGAAATACACTGCTGAGGGGAGCAGCGAGCGAGACAGGAGAGGTCTGTCATGCCATGTGGGATTCTCGCCAGCGGCCAGGATTGAACCCATTCTGCAGAGGCTGCGGACAGCTTTGCAGTACAGCGCTAAACCACTTGCGCCACCAGGGAGGCCCCAATTTAGTGGTTTTTAATATATTCACAAAATTGTGCAACCGTCACCTCTAATTCCAGAAAGTTACAAAAGGAAGGTATAGGCCCAAAAGGAAACCCTATACCCATTAGCAGTTCCCCCATCCCTTACTTCCTTGATCCTGACAATAACTAATCTACTTTCTAGCTCTATAGATTTGCCTATTCTGAATGTTTCACTTAATGATATTAGACAATGTGTGATCTCCAGATTTGTTTGTGTTGTGTCATGTTTCAGTACTTTCAATGGCTAAATAATGTACTTTTTAAAAAGATTTATTTATTTATGCATACAAGAACTGGGGTATAGGCCAGAGGTGCTGGGGGGTGGGGCGTGGGTGAGAGGATTCACCAGAGACAGAGCAGGGAGCAGAACAGGCGGATCTACTGATATACACTGCTGAGGGAAGACAGGAGAGTCTGCTGCGCCATGTGGGTAGCTCCCTGGCTGGCAGGGGATCAAACTTATGCTGCAGAGGCTGTGGATAGCTTCACAGTGCTGTGCTTACCCCCTTGTGCCACCAGGGAGGCCCCCTAAATAATATTCTTTGAGAGAGAGAGAGAGAAAGAGAGAGGGAGAAAGAGGAGAGAGAGGGGAGAGAGATCACATTTTGTTTAGACACTCATTTGTTTAGGGACCTTTGGGTAGTTTCCAGTTCTTGGCTAATAAGTTTTAAATTCTTTTGGGTGGGTGTCCCTGGTGGCACAAGGGGTTAAGACACAGCATATGAAGCTGTCCGCAGCCACTGCAGCATGAGTTTGATCCCCAGCCAGGGAGCTGCCACATGGCACAGCAGACCTCTCCTGTCTCGCCCGCTGCTCCCCTCAGCAGTGGATTTCAGTCATTCCTCCTGTTCTGTTCCCCACTCTGTCTCTGGGAATCCTCTGATCCCCCCTCCCCCACACCTCTGACCTGTACCCCAGATCTTGTATGCATAAATGAATAAATCTTTAAAAAAATAATGAATTCTTTTGAGTATAAACCTAGGAATTGCTCCACCCTATGGATGTAAAAAGCTGCATCTTTTTACATCCTCACTGGCAATGTATAAAGGTTTTGATTTCTCCATGTCCTTACCAACACTTGTTATTTTCTTTCTTTCTATTCTAGCCACCCTAGCAGGTGGGAAGTGGCAACTTATTTCAATCTTGATTTGCATTTCTCCAGTGACTAATGATGTTGAGCATCTTGTCATATGCTTAATAGCTATTTATATGTCATCATTGGGGAAACGTTTGTTCAAAGTCCCTGTCCATTAAAAAAAAAAAAACTGGGTTGTCTTTTATTGTTAGTTACAAGAGTTCTTTACATATTCTGGATACAAGTCCTATATCAGATCTATAATTTGCAATATTTTTTCCTATTCTGTGGATTTTATTTTACTTTAGAATCCAAACAAGTTACTGAATTCACTGTTCTATAGGTCTTTTTCTTTGCCAGGGTATCCTGGGCGTCTTTCAATGTCAAGAGAAAGCCGTCTCGTTTTTCCCTTATTTTTTTTTCCTTCCTCAATCTTTTTTGTGGCAATGTAGTAGTCCATTGTGGATGTACCACAGTTTATTTGGCAAGTCCTCTACTGAACTGTAGAATCTGAAGTTGGCATGTTGGTGAAAGATTACAGCAGCTCTTAGGCAGTAGTTATCTAAGCCTGCTAGATGATGTGAAAATTCAAACTGGCACAGGAAATGTCTCTAACCTTCTTACACTTCCTCTCTGAACCCATGCGGTTTCACAACCTCACAGGCATGATCCCGCCTCCCCCTCCCCCAGTGTCATCACACTGCAAGCTATGAGAAAGTCCCACTAGGGTATCATCATTTCCCTCTTTCACCCTGTCTAGGTTGCCAGCATACCTCAAGGCTCTCTCTGACTGAGCCTGAGTCAGGCCCCTCCAGCTGCTTGAAAGATGAGCTCCCGCACCATCGTGTTGCAGCTGCTGCTGTTTGGGCCACTTCTCTTTGGTAGGCAAGGGAGGCAGGAGGGGAAGGGACATATGTGTGACCGGGGAAACTGTGGGGTTTTGTGGAACTGGAGTAAACCAGAAATGCTGTGAGGGTGGGATTGGCTACAGGTAATGTGGGGCCTTGGACTGTTGAGGCGGAAGGGGGAAAGAAATTCAGTGTCCAAAGTCTGAGCAAGTTATGGAGGAAAAGACCCAGAAGGAAGACAGGCAACAGCACTTAGAGATGGGGTGTGGGCCTTAGAAAGGGAATGTGTAGTGGGACTCAGAGCTTGGAGGGTCCCAGTGGGTCTCCCTTAGGCAAATCCTTTCTGCTTTCTGGATGTTAGTCTCGTCTCTTCATCTGAACAAGTGACGGGTTGGCATCTGACCCCATAGGATGCTATGAAATAAGCCTGATACCTGGCAGGAAAGCAGGTCGAGAGAGGACAGCCTGGACTTGCTGGGGAAGGCAGCCTGAGGTGGGGCTGTGATGGAGGCCCAGAGGGAATAGTTAAGGAAGATACTGGTCTGTGATGGGATGGGGAGTGAGGGAGCATTAGAAAAGTGAGGAGACAGCCTCACAGGAATCAGTGGATCTTGAACTCTTGAGTCTATGGGAGGAAGCCCAAGGCTAATTATCTGGGTTCTCAGGGTGCCAGGGCTCCAGCTCCAAGGAAGAAGTGGGTGTGTGAGGAGATATACCCCCATCTTGGAGATATATCCCCATCTTGGTCCCAGCCTGGGAACTTGGCCACCCTATGCCTCAGGGCCCCTTGGGCCTGCTCCCCATCTCGGGCAGCCTTGTTATCCTTCCTTCTATGCTGAGAGGCCAGAAAGTTGTGTCCTTCCAGCCCTGCACTGCCAGGGTCTGGGGAGTTGCTGCTTCCATATTTTCTGGAGTCAAGGCCCTCAAGGGGAAGTCTGGGGGTGAGGGGGTGCGAGGTTCCAGCTCTGCTTTGGGTTTGGGCAGCTTGGGGGTGAAGGATCTGGGTCGTTCAGGTTAATGACTTGCTTGGGGCCGTGTGGGCAGCTGTCAGTGAGTACCAGCAGTTCTGGGAGCACTGAGGGAGAGGCCGTGCCTGACGTGGCCCCTTGCTGGATGTGGCTGACAGCTCACTTTTCCCCTCAGGGCCCACCCGGAGCTACAACCTGGATGTGCAGCACGTGCAGAACTTCTCCATGCCACAGGCTGGCAGGCACTTTGGGTACCGCGTCCTGCAGGTTGGAACAGGGTGAGCCTCCTCCCTGTCTGGGAGCCCTGGGGAGTCCTAGGCCAAGGCAGCCTAGACAGACACTGGCCCTGGTGTTAGCAAGTAGGTTGAAACCCCTCAGTTCTCGAGATCCTTCCTGTCTCAAGGAGAGTAGGTGGATCTCTTAGAAACAGAAGCCAAGCCATCAATCAGATGGTGAGATGAGTACCCACTGTTAACATGGCACCTAAGTGCCTCCTAAAATACTTTTTAGTTCTTGCCCATCTCCCTGATTAGACAGTGATTGTTCCTCTGTTTTACCTGCCTCTACCCTAGTACATACCTGCCATACAGTAGACAAGCCGCAAAGGACCCTGGAATTGGTAACACTGCATGTACACATTACATCGTGGCAGATATTACTCAGGCCTCAGGTTTCATAGACTGTAAATGGGAAGACTCCTTAACTCTTAAAGTTCTGGCATATCACATTTTTTATCTGGGGTTTAATAGGGAAGAGGGACTGAGGAGCCTCCCTGAAGGGAAGTGGTTGCAATAATTTGAGATACCTAGTGGGGGATCTGAATGCCCTCAACAGGTGCGGGGTGTGGGGGGGCAGTGCAGGGTAAAGACCTGGCAACTCCATCTCACCAGGAGATTTCTCATCAGGGTTGTCGTGGGAGCACCAGGTGAGGGCAATAACACGGGAAACCTCTATCAGTGCCAGCCAGGCACTGGAAGCTGCGAGCCGGTCAGCCTGAGAGGTGAGTGACTGCTGAGGGGGCTGGGAGAGAGGTGTCTCAAGGAAATCGGGGCTGGTCCCCATGCCTGGATTGCCTAAGGCCCACCAGACTAATTTTCTGATGCCTACAGGTTCCAACGACACCTCCAAGTATTTGGGAATGACCTTGGCAACAGACTCTAAAAGTGGAAACCTTTTGGTAAGAATTTTGTAGAGTGTGAGATGGGAGCCTGTGAGACTTGATACCAGGAAAGAGAGATTAGAAAGAGGGAAGAAGAAAAGGGATGGAGAGCCGTGGAAGCTTGAAGGCACCAGAAGATTGAGATTCGGCATTTATTGAGAACCAACCATAAACCAGTTATTTTTCAAGACCTTACTTACCTCAGTTTTTTCTCTCAACTATGAAGTATCTGTCACCATTGATATAAAAGATTTTTTTCCTAGTACATGCGCTTTTAATGTTTTAATAGTTACATTCTTATTTAATGACTTATGAGGAAAAATATACAATAAGCACATGAAATTCATGATTTCTTGGAACCTATTGTTTACAATGAGGTTAAAGTTTTTTAAAAAGTAAAATTAAATAAAATATTAAATAATAGCATAGATGCACAGATGGCCCAAAGTGTGATGCCTAAAATTTGAAAAACACTTTATCACTCATGTTTTTAAGATTTTTTTTTTTATACAAGAACCGGGGTACAGGCCATATGCGCAGGAGGGTGAGAGGATTCATCAGAGACAGAGTGGGGAACAGAACAGGCAGACTGAAGAAATACACTGCTGAGGGGAGTAGTGGGCAAGACAGGAGAGGTCTGCTGCACCATGTGGGATTCTCGCAGGCCGGCTGGGATAGAACCCGCCCTGCAGAAGCCGCTGACAGCTTCACAGTGCAGCACTCAACCACCTGTGCCACCAGGGATGTCCTCACTCTTTTTAAAAAAAGATTTATTTTATTTATGCATACAAGAACTGGGGGTTAGGCCAGAGGTGTGAGGGGTGAGAGGTTTCACCAGAGACAGAGTGGGGAGCAGAACAGGCAGATCTACTAAAATACACTGCTGAGGGGAGCAGCGGGCGAGGCAGGGAAGGTGTGCTGTGCCATGTGGGTCAGCTCCTTGGCTGGGGATCAAATTCATGTCACAGTGGCTGGTGATAGCTTGATAGTGCTGAGACTTTAACCCCTGGGCCACCAGGTAGGCCCCACTTTATCACTCTTAATTCTCAAGACTCTTGGGTAAGCTTGGGGTCTGTACACATTTTACACACAAGGAAACAGGACCAAAGGAGTAAAGAGACTTGGCCAAGGTCACGGGGTTTTGAAGAGGTAGAGCCAGGATTCCCATCTGACACCAAGTCCTTTGCTCTTTACACTTCACTCCTGCAGCATCCTTCTAACTCAACTATGTGACAGACAGAAGGATGAGTGAAAAAAAAAAATTCCTCAGGCAGATTATGGCCTAAAATTAAAAACAAAAACAAAAACAAAAACTCTACTTCCCCTGTGGAAAAGGTCACCCAGTGAGTTGCTGTTGTCTTGTCCTCCCATTTGGGGGGTCGCCAATACAGGACTCACCAAGGATAAAGTTGCGTGCTTCTAGATACACTTTCTGTTTTGTATGCTCTGGAGACCTTAGCCTTGATAGGTTTACAGGAAAGATGGGTGCAGAAGAAGTAGTGGGTGAAGACCCAGGGTCACCCACCATAGATTCCAAGTTGACCATGTATATCTAGAGTGGACACAGCTCATGCATGAGAGAACCTGGCTATGTACTATGTACTGTTTTTCTTAATTTTTTTACATTGAGTCATAAGGGGCATAGACTATTATATCAATTTCATGTATACAGGTAATGATTTTGACATTTTTATAGATTGTAAAATGATACTGCAATAGGTCATCACCACACATAGTTACAGGTTTTTTTTTCCCCCTATGATGAGAACTTTTAAGGTCTACTCTCTCAGCAACTTTGCAATATACAATACAGGGCCTCAAGGTGGTGCAAGGGGTTAAGACACAACCTATGAAGCTGTCTTCAGCCACTGCAGCACGAGTTCTATTCCTGGCCTGCCAGGGAGCAACCCACATGGCACAGCAGACCTCTTCTGACTCGCCCGCTGCTCCCCTCAGCAGTGTATTTCAGTCAATCTGCCTGTTCTGTTTCCCACTCTGTCTCTGGTGAATCCTCTCACCCTGCACACCTCTGGCCTGTACCCCAGTTCTTGTATGCATAAAATATTAAATCTTAAAAAAATATATACAATACAGTTTTATTAACTGTAGTCATCATTCTGTGCTTACCTTCCCAGGATAATTATTTTATAACTTATAAAAAATAACTTTTTTTTTAATATTTTCTTTTTTTTTTTTAAAGATTTATTTATTCATACAAGCACTGGGTACAGTCAGAAGCGCGGGAGGGTGAGAGAATTCACCAGAGCCAGAGCGGGGAGCAGAGCAGGCAGAAGGATCGAAGTACACTGCTGAGGGGAGCAGCGGGTGGCAGGAGAGGTCTGCGCGCCATGTGGGACCCTCGCCCAGTGGCCAGGGAGCAGGCGGGGATCGAACCGGCGCTGCAGAGGCTGTCGGCAGCTTCACAACCCAGCGCTCAACCACTGTATCACCGGGGAGGCCCTAAAAAATAACTTTCAACCCCCACTAACCACCACTATGTCCTCTGTGTCTATGAGTTTGGTGGATTTTTTTTTTTTTTAAGATCACACATATAAGTGAGATCACTGGGCACTTATCTTTCTCTGTCTGACTTATCTCACATAGTGTAATGCCTTCAAAGATCTACTCATTTTGTCCCAATGGGAAGATTTCCTTATTTTTTTTTTAAGATTTATTTATTTATACAAGAACCTGGCTACAGACCAGATGTGCAGGAGGGTGAGCGGATTCACTAGAGACAGAGAGGGGAACAGAACAGGCAGACTGACTGAAATACACTGCTGAGGGGAGCAGCAGGTGAGACAGAAGAAGTCTGTCCCACCATGTGGGTATCTCTGCGGCCGGCAGGGATCAAACCAGCACTGCAGAGTCTGCAGACAGCTTCACAGCGCTGCACTCAACAGCCTGCGCCACCAGGGAGGCCCAAGATTTCCTTCTTTTTAACAAATAATGTGTGTGTGTGTGTGTGTGTGTGTGTGTGTGTGAGACAATTTTTTGTTTATTCATTCATCCTTCAAAGGACCCTTTGGTTGCTTTCAGGTCTTTACTATTGTAAACAGTGTTGCAATGGATATGCGGGTTCATACAGCCCCTCAAGTTAGTGTTTTCATTTTTAGACATAAAACCCAGAAGTGGAATTGCTGAATCATAATGGTAGTTCTTTTTTAAATTTTTTGAGGAACCGCCATACTGTTTCCATTGTGGCTGCACAAAGTTACATTCCCACTAATAGTGCACAAGGATTTTTTGTTCCCACATCCTCACCTACATGTTATACCATCTTTTTTATAACAGCCATTCTCACAGGTGTGAGATGATGGCTCACTGTGGTTTTGATTTGCATTTCCCTGATGATGAGTGATGTTGATCACTCATGTACCTATTGGCCATCTGCGTGTTTCCTTTGGAAAAATGTCTATTCATATCATATTCATATCGTTTTTTCATAAGTTTTTTTGACTATAGAATTGTTTGAGTTCTATATGTATTTTTTTAAGATTTTTATTTTTTATTTTTATTTTTATTTATTTATACAAGCACCGGGTACAGTCAGAAGCGCAGGAGGGGGAGAGAACTCACCAGAGCCAGAGCAGGGAGTAGAGCAGGCAGAAGGACCGAAGCACACTGCTGAGGGGAGCAGCGGGCAGCAGGAGAGGTCTGCGCGCCATGTGGGACCCTCCTCCAGTGGCCGGGGAGCAGCCGGAGATCGAACCGGCGCTGCAGAGGCTGCGGGCAGCTTCGCAACCCAGCGCTCAACCACTGCGCCACCGGGGAGGCCCTCTATATGTATTTTTTAAATTTATTTATTTATACAAGAACTGGGGTATGGGCCAGAGGCACGGGAGGGCGAGAGAATTCACCAGACACAGAGCAGGGAGCAGAACAGGCTGATGTACTGAAGACACTGCTGAGGGGAGCAGCGGGTGAGACAGGAGAGGTCTGCCGCGCCATTGGGATTCTTGCCTGCCGGCCGGCCGGGTTCAAACCCACAACGCAAATGCTGCGGACAGCTTCACAGTGCAGCGCTCAACCCGTTGTGCCACAGGGGAGGCCCTCTATATGTATTTTGAATATTAACTCTTTATTAGATATGTGATTTGCAAATATCTTTCCCATTCCTCAGACTGCTTCTTCATTTTGTTGTTGGTTTCCTTTGCTTTGCAGAAGCATTTTTGTTTGTTGTAGTTCTGCTTATTTATTTTGCTTTTGGTATCGACCCCCCCAAAAAATCACTAAGGCTAATGTCAAGGAACTTACCATCTGTGTTCTCTGCTAGGAGTTTTTATAGCTTCAAGTTCTATGTTCAAGTTTTTAATACATTTTGAGTTAGTTTTTTTTATGTGGGGTAAGAGAGTGATCTAATTTCATATTTATGCATGTGATTGTCCAGTTTTTCCAACACTACTTATGAAAGAGACTGTCATTTTCCCCCACTGTGTATGCTTGACTCATAATTAATTGGCCCATATATGCATGGGTTTACTTCTGGGCTCTCTATTCTGTTCCATTGATCTATGAGTCGTGAGTGAAATATTGAGCCAGTTTAACCGGAACTTGTTTGATGAACTACTGTTACATCCAGGCTTCATGCTAAGTTCTCCTGGGGGAAAAAGAATGAGATACAAAGATAGCCATGACCTGAGCCCTGATTTTCAAGAAATTGCAATATAGCAGACAAGATAGGCATCATGAAAGAAGCTACATTGTATATTTTGGGACTAGTCAGTGATGTGATTTGACTTAAATACATAGTGTGTGCTCAGGAATGGAAGGGGGTGGGTCTGGGAATGTAGGCTAATTTTCAACTGTAAACATAAGGAATGTCAAACTAAGGAGTTTTAGTCCTATAGGCAGTAGGGATTGAGCAATGCTAGAGCCATTGGCAACCTGCTGAAAGTCAGGAGTGAGTTCAAGGGATAACAACTCTAAAGGTTCTATTTCTTGGGTGATGATGCCAAAAGACACACAGCAAGAGGAGACCCCAACCTTTTTACCTTTGTTTCCTTCAGGCCTGTGACCCTGGGCTGACTCGGATATGTGACCAGAATATTTATCTAAGTGGCCAATGTTACCTCTTTCGCGAGAATCTGAGGGATCCTGTGCTGCGGGGGACCCCTGGATATCAGGGTAAAGAACAGGGGACCCAGTGGGTAAAATACCTCCAAGTGGTTGCCTATACGCAGGAACTAGCATGGGCGGCCACACCAGAGACATGTCACTAAAGTCCCTTTGTGTCTGACCCCTGCAGAATGTATCAAGGGCAACGTAGACCTGGTGTTTCTGTTTGATGGCTCACGCAGCTTGCAGAAAGATGAATTTCAGAAAATTCTGGACTTCATGAAGGATGTGATGAGGAAATTTGCCAATTCTTCCTACCAGGTAAATATATTAGGATTTTGGGTATAAGCTTATCTAAACTAGCAGTATAAAGAGAAATTTTGGTATGCAGTATCTCCATAACTTATGGCAATGACTCTAACTGTACCTCTGGAAGGGACAAGAACCAGAGAGAGGAAGCTTCTAGAATTCTCAATTCTTTTTTTTTTTTTTTTTTTTTGGTGCTCTCGTTTCCTCCTCCTCCTTTCCCTCTGTAGATGGCTCCCTCCAGCTTGTGTGGATACCTGGGCCTGTGGAAAACTCTGAAGTTCATATTTTTTAAAAATTTACTTATTTATGCATACAAGAGCTGGGGAACAGGCCAAAGATGCAAGGGGTGAGAGGATTCACCAGAGACAGAGTGGGGAACAGAATAGGCAGATTGACTAAAACACACTACTGAGGGGAGCAGCAGGCAAGACAGAAGAGGTCTGCTGCACCATATGGGTTGCTCCCTGGCCAGCTGGGGATCAAACTCGTGCTGCAGAGGCTGCGGATTGCTTCGTATTGTGGTGCTTAACCCCTTGCGCCACCAGGGAGGCCCCTGAAGTTCATATTTAAAGTTTTTTTTCCTTTCTCTCAGCCAATCTCTCCCTCTGCAAAGTCCAAATTCTCAGAGAGGGAATTCTGACTGGCCTGCCCTCAGTTAGGTAGTCATCCTTGGCCTAGCCAACAGAACCTGGTTAGCAAAGTTACTCAGCAAAAAATATGGGTCCTGGTCAGGTAGGCAGACCCAGAGAACAGGAGCTCAGCAGATAGCACCACCTGAGGAAGGAGGGGTTTATTTAATTTTATTTGTTCTTGTTGATATATTGCCTCATTTTCAAAAAACTTATTTGAGGCAGGAATGAGCAGTGGGGAGGCTGAGGTCCTTCCCACTGAAATTTTGATATGGGATAAGAAGTAATGATTAGAATGAATATGTAGGAAATGATAGATAACATCATCTCATTCCTTCTCTTTCTAGTTTGCTGCAGTTCAGTTTTCTACAACCCAACGAACAGAGTTTAACTTCTTGGACTATGTTAAACGGAAGGATCCTGATACTCTGCTAGCCAATGTAAAGCACATGGCCCAATTAACCAATACCTTTGGGGCCATCAACTATGTCGCGTGAGTTCCCTTTGCTAGGAGAGAGCCTGTCAGCCTGTTTTTGTGAGCACTGGATTCTTGCAGTTGCAGGGAACAGGAACTGGATAAGTGGGCTCAGCACAGGGCAGTGGTTATTGTAAGAATTCAAGTGAAACAGTTTTATTACCATTTCTTTTCCCTGTGACAGAAGTTTATTTTACACTAGCTAGAACCACAAGAAACATTCTTTTTTTTTTTAAGATTTATTTTATTTTATTTATTTATACAAGCACTGGGTACAGTCAGAAGCGCAGGAGGGTGAGAGAATTCACCAGAGCCAGAGCAGGGAGCAGAACAGGCAGAAGGACCGAAGCACACTGCTGAGGGGAGCAGTGGGCGGCAGGAGAGGTCTGCGCGCCATGTGGGACCCTCCTCCGGTGGCCTGGGAGCAGCCGGGGATCCAACCGGCACTGCAGAGGCTGCGGGCAGCCTCACAACCCAGCGCTCAACCGCTGCGCCACCGGGGAGACCCAAGAAACATTCTTTTTTTAAAATTTTTAAAAAAAGTTTTATTTATTTATACATACAAGAACTGGGGTACAGACCAGAGGCGTGGGGGGTGAGAGGATTCACCAAAGACAGAGTGGGGAATGGAACAGGCAGATTGACCGAAATATACTGCTGAGGGGAGCAGAGGGCAAGACAGGAAAGGTCTGCTGCACCATGTGGGTCACCTCCCTGACCGGGGATTATACTCGTGCTGCAGTGGCTGCGTCTTAACCTCTTGCGCCACCAGGGAGGCCCCCACAAGGAACATTCTTGGGAGGATGCAGGGATATGCACAGACCCTTGGGACAGAAAATATTTGCAGGCCTCATGAACCAGGACTTAGAAAGTGACCATGAACCATGGCAGCCATAGTAAAGTCTCATCTAAGATGGCAGTTTTTGAAGTCAGTATATGAACAAAATTCTCAAGTAGTCCAAACTATCCTTGAAGAATTCCTTGGCTTGTTCATAAAATTCAACATATTCAAATTGTGCGCTGAAAACCAGCATATCCCGATGTCCTAAGTCTACCTCAGAACTTTGTCCCCCAGAACTGGATCAGATTGCTTTAAATTGAGGTCTAGATGACACTCATCTAAATGAGTGTCACAATATTATATATATTTCTTAAATATATATGATATTTATATATTATAAATATATATTTAAATATATTTTAATAATATATTTTAATTTAATATATTAATATATTTTTATATATAAATAATATATATTTAAGAAATATATTTAACATTTAAGAAATACTTACCCTTAACTATTAGATGGATATCGTGCATGAGAATTATATCTCCCCTCCCTTGCTGCCCCAGATATACTCTCAAATTGAGTGAAATGGCAGAAGGATCTCCTGCACTATGACACCTAATTTTTCTCCTCTTCTTCACCAAGTGTCTATAGTTGAATTTGCGTGTGAGTTAAATATGCATGTGATGCTTCTCCTCCAGACTCTCCGTGCGTGTTTCTGGCTCTTTTATTCTGGGGCTTACTTGATCTGTCATGTCCACTTCACTTTTCTCTCTCCAGACAGCTTCAGCGGGTGTACGGTCAAGTCATATCCGCTGAAAAAATGTCGCCTTTAGTTCCTTGTTTCATATAAACAACTCGAATTTCAGTCTCCAGGAGAGAAAATCTGATTGGCTGAACCCAGTTGAGCATCAAAGAGTCCACATAGCTATGTCCTGGGTCTACTTGATGACGCAGAGTCATATGCATGAACTGGGATTCTGGGGTCCCAGCTCTGTGGGAACAAAATATAGTAGTCATGGAAATGTATTTCATAAACACTTCTTGGTCACCTGACTGTGTACCAGGCCATGTTATAGGTTATGAGTTCACAATTTTTTTCTGTGAAGGGTCAGGTAGTAACTATTTTTGGTTTTTCTTTTTTGAACACATATGGTTCTGTTACATATTCTTTGTTTTTATAACCCTTCAAAAACAAAAATGTAAAACCTATTTTTAGTCCATGGAAAACAAGCCATGGGCTGGATTTGGCATGTAGGTGGTTGTCTGCCATGTTCTTGGTGCCGGGAATAGAGCCCTGAACTGAATCAAAGAAAAATCTCTGCCCTCTTGGAGCTTAATATTCTAGTAGGGAGAGAAATACAATAAACAGGATTAATAAGTTAAATAGACAATATGGCAGAAGATATGTGTTTTTTTGTTTTTTTTTTAAAGATTTATTTATTTATACAAGAACCGGGGTACAGGCCAGATGTGCGGGAGGGTGAGAGGATTCATCAAAGACAGAGCGGGGAACAGAACAGGCAGAATGACTGAAATACACTGCTGAGGGGAGCAGCGGTGGAAACAGGAGAGGTCTGCCACGCCATGTGGGACTCTTGCCGGCCGGCTGGGATCGAACCCGCCCCACAGAAGCTGCAGACAGCTTCACAGTGCAGTGCTCTACCGCCTGCGCCACCAGGAAGGCCCTAGAAGATAAGAGTTTTATAAAGAAAAATAAAGTGATATTTAAGAGGAAGATCAGGGAAGGTTATTACACTGGAGCAAAGACTTGTTGAGTGTGAGGATGTCAGCAGTATGGGTACCGGGGAGCAAGGAGTATGGCTGCCACCACAGAGGGAAGGGCAAACCCTCAGATGAGATCATCTTGTGATGTTCAAAGAAGATCCGGAGCCCCAGCATGACTGAAGAGAAATCAGTGAGACGGGGAAGCAGGACGTGAGTGCAGAGATCCTGGGTGTGTGAGCGAGCCAGGGGCTTGGAGGCTACAGTGAGGACTTCAACTTTTCCTCTGAGTAAGATAAGAGTCTTGGGAGGTTTTGAGCAGAAGAGGGACAATCTGATTTATGTTTTCAAAAGGACCCCTATGGCAGCAGGGCTGATATTACAGTGTGGAGGCAACGACGATGGAGGCAGGGAGGTCAGTTAGGAAGCTATTGAAAACTCCAGGTGAGAAACGATGGTGGCTCCAGCTAAGAAATCCATGAATGGCGCTCATGTTAGGCTACATCCGCGTGGGTGGGTGGGAGAAATATTTCATATCTGAGGTAGAACTAGAGGTCCTGAGGGGTGCTTGTGTCCTGCCTCGCAGGCCTATGTGGCAGTCTCCATTAGCTCTCCCGCCTTCCTCTTTACTCTCTCCTCCACCTCTCACTCCAGCCTCGCTGACTTCTTCCAGCTTCTGCTCCCATGACAGGTCATGTCATAGTCAGGGAGTGTGGGCTGGCTGCCCCGGGATGTGAGAGAAGGAAGGATGGAGCTATTGTCCCAGCACAAGTCGCAGGTGACAATCTTGCTTCAGAAGGAGGCCTTGGGCAGGGTGGGGATTTGGAGGCTTGGCCTGCCCAGGATTCAGTCCTCCCTTCTTTCTTCTGCTTCACAAGCACTGGGAACCTTCTCCACGTGAGGAGAGAGAGATACATGAACAAGTGGAGCATGGCCCTTTCCTTAAGGAATTAATAATTGGAGGGGAAAGGGAGACAAGCAATCCCTTCAGTTTCCTAGGATTTTTGTGGCAGAGATGGACAGGCATCTGGGGGAGGGGAGGGAGGCAGAGGAGGTGCCCATGAGCTTGCTCTGGCAAAGTGACACCAGTTTTCTTCAACCATGGAATCCATTTTTTCCATCGAAATCTTTTCTAGATTACCAGCATATGTAACTGATTTAAGGAATGTCAGAAGCCCAGAGGCTCCCCTCACCAGACCTCCCCTCCCTGCCCATGACTCTGGGACAACCTTCGTGCTGGGAGGTCCTGATGAGAAGCCGAAGGCTGGGAATGACTCTCCTGAGAGATGTGAGCAGGCCTCGAGCAGAACCAGCATGGCAGTGACTGAATGGACAGGGAGGGAGTGAGGACACCTCGCTTGATTTAGGGGAAGTCTCTCATGTTCCCCCTTTCCTTGGACACAGGACAGAGGTATTCCGGGAAGACCTAGGGGCCCGGCTGGATGCTACCAAAGTGCTCATCATCATCACTGATGGGGAAGCCACTGATCGTGGCAACATTGACAAGGCCAAAGACATCGTCCGCTACATCATTGGGGTATGAACACAAACCTCTGACTGCTTCGGTCTCTTCTTCCATCTCCTGTTCCTGAATCCACTGGCCTTTCTCCCTGAGGCTGGGTCTCATGAAATGATAGAAAACTGGTCTGCAGTTGAGATTCCAGCCCTTCGTTCTTCACCCCTCACAGGTTGGCAAGTACTTTCAGGCCCCGAGTAGTCAAGAGACACTCCACATTTTTGCTTCAAAACCTACATGGGAATTTGTAAAAATTCTGGACACATTTGAGAAACTTAAAGACTTGTTCACTGAGCTGCAAAAGAAGATCTATGCCATTGAAGGTGAGTGCAGACCTGGGGAGGGAGTTCCCAGCCAAGTTCATGGCAACTCTGTTGGGAGCCTGCTGCCCTGCAGGGAGCTGGGGTTTTTGGAGAGGACCTGTTTACTCTGCACACGGGAGTTCCAGGACGTTAGACGTTCTGCAAACAGAACTTCTTCAAGAAGTGACTCCTGTTCTCTGAGGGTGTACTGGCTTCTGCGCGTGTTCCCCACTAACCAGGAAAACTTGTTTCTGCAGTAACTTATTGATCGGTATAAGCATAACCATTACATGCTGTTTTCTTGTCCCTTTGTTCATATCTTTAATAAAAGTTTGGCCTGGGAGCGTGAAAGGCAGAGCTGCTCTGGATGGCTCTCCCCAACCTCCCTTTGCTGCAAGTGCATTTAGACTCAATCTTCATTAATAGCAGAGAACTTCAGCAGCTGTCCGAGGCATTGGACCAGAGACACGCTGAATAACAAATGCACATTCTGCTCATCTGCCACTGGGATAAGGGTGCTCCTTCCTGAAAAGCCTTCAAAGTCCAGCTTGTCCAGGCTGGGGCCCAGAACTGACCTGTTATCCTTCTGCTAACTACTGAGCCCTATTGAATGAATCCTTCCTCCCATTCATCGTGCTCATTTTCACTTATCCTCATCTCAAAATCATTTAAGATGGGCGAGGGGGCAGGGGCCGAGTGTGAGGAACCCACAGGCCCTCTTCCTTAGTCCAGAATGAGAGGTTGTATTGTAGTCACCAGATAGAGGACTGGGCTGTGGGTGGGTATTTCCTCAGGAAGCCTAGTCTGCTGAGTGGTACGTGATTCCCACCGGGAAGTCTCTTTTGCTAGGACTTGGCTTTGGTGTTCAGTCCCTTGAAATATTGTCTATATAATGGAATTAGGCAGAACTGCTCAAGAATCTACTCTGCCTGTAACTGTGTCCCTTGACCACATCACTTTCCCTTTCAGATGCTCAGTGTTGCTTTTAAGTGGGGATAATAGAGGCCTCCCTGGTGGCGCACGGGGTTAAGACACAACCTATGAAGCTATCCACAACCCCTGCAGCACAAGTTCGATCCCCAGACAGGGAGCTACCCACATGGCCCAGCAGACCTCTCCTGACTCCCCCACTGCTCCCCTCAGCAGTGTATTTCAGTCAATGTGACTGTTCTGTTCCCCACTCTGTCTGTGGTGAATCCTCTCACCCCCTGCACCTCTGGCCTGTACCCCAGTTCTTATATGCATAACTAATTAAATCTTTAAAAAAAATAAGTGGGAGGGCCTCCCCTGGTGGCGCAGAGGTTGAGCGCTGGGCTGCGAAGCTGCCCACAGGCTCTGCAGCACCGGTTTGATCCCCGGCCACCGGCAAGGGTCCCACATGGCGTGACAGACCTCTCCTGCCGTGCCCGCTGCTCCCCTCAGCAGTGTATTTCATCACTCTGCCTGTTCTGTTCCTGGCTCTGGCTCTGGTGAATTCTCTCACCCTCTCGTGCTTCTGACTGTACCCAGTGCTTGTATAAATAAATAAATAAATAAACAAACAAATAAATAAATAAATCTTTAAAAAAAATAAGTGGGAATAATAATACCAACCTCATGGGGTTGAAGATTTAACTCCTGCATTCATTTCCTAGGGCTGCTGTAACAAAGTACCCCAAACTGGCTGTCTTTAAGCAACAGAAATGTATTACCTTACCTTTTTGGAGGCTAGAAATCAGAAGTTGGGGTGGGATGGTGGGGTGAGCAGTAGGGCCCTGCCCTTTCTGACACTTCTAGGGGAGAATTCTTCCTGGCCTGGCCATCCTTAATGGCATTGTTCAGTCTCGTGGCCACATGGCCATCTCCAAGCTTTATAGAGGTGTGTCCAAATTTCCCCTTTGGGCCTCCCCTGGTGGCACGACGGTTGAGTACTGGGCTGCACGGTGGTTGAGCACTGGGCTGCAAAACTGCCGGCAGCCTCTGCAGCGCCTGTTCAAACCCCAGCCGCCGACAAGGGTCCCACGTGGCGTGCAGACCTCTCCTGCAGCACCCGCTGCTCCCCTCAGCAGTGTATTTCATCAGTCTGCCTGTTCTGTTCCCCACTCTGGCTCTGGTGAATTCTCTCACCCTCCTGCACTTCTGACTATACCCAGTGCTTGTATAAATAAATAAATCTTCAAAAAAAAATTTCCCCTTATAAGAATATCAGTCGCTTTGGATGGAGACCCACACTAATGCACTCATTTTAACCTGATTACCTCTGTGAAGACCCTATTTCCAAATCAGATTAAATTCTGAGTACTAGGGATAAGGTTTCATCATATCTTTTTCAGCGAATACAATTCTCTGAATTGTAAATGCTGAATTGTTGTAAACTGCTATAAATCGAGATTCTTATTATCTCTAGCCCTAATTCTCTATCCTGACCTGCCCTTATCATCCTTCAATCTTAGTCCCTTTGTCTGATTCGTTCTCTCTGAGCCTCAAGTCTGGGATAGATGCTCTCCCCATGTGAGGCAGCGACTCCGTTCTGTGTCACAGCGCCTGTCTACTTGATGTCTGTGTCCCACACTAAACTGTGAGGCCTGTCACAGCAATGCTCTGTCTGCTTTTCACCTTTGTATCTCTGACACCAAATATTTTGTTACACTGAATTCAGCGAAGGAACAAATCGTCGTAATTGCAGTGTTTCTTGAAAGCTTACACGGAATAGGCCCTTTATAAATTTTGTTCATAACTTTTAGCATTCTTGCAAGACCAATGGTATTGTTTTCGTGTTATTAATTCATGCACCATCCATGTCTCAGACACTGTGATAAAGATACTCAGATTTGCCAAGGTCAAGTTCAAGGTCAAGTTGGAGAAAGACAGTAAATAATTGTGATAATTTAAGATTGTGAGAAGTGCTATCAATAAGGTGAAGAGACAGGTTTAACTACAAGAAGTCACCTCATATGACTTTTTCATAATTGAGGTAAAATTCCCAAAATGACTTTTGACCTGAGACATGAATGATAAGAATCAAACAGCTATGTGAACACTGTGGACAAAGAATATTCCAGTCAGAGAGAATAGTTACAGAGGCCTAGACGTGGGGACAAGCTTGGCATGTTGGCAGGATGAGAGAATAGACAGTGTGGTGAGGAAGGGAGCGAGAAGGTTGGAGAGGTAGGTAGGTGGGCTTTTCCGGGCCCTCATGAGGAGTTTGCATTTCAGTCTAAAGAGCAATAGGACATGATGAAGGATTTTTAAGAGAGGCAAAGATGTGGTCTGATATGCATTGTATAAAGGTTACTCCTTGCTCTGGGAGGCGGTGGATAACAGTCATGGAAAGAAGCAGAATGACATCAAGGAGACCAAATTAACAAGCTACTGCATTAGTCAGGCAAGAGATGGGAATGGCTAGCCAGGAGGCCTTACAGCCTATTCAAGGTGCTATGTGCTTTGGAGTTAGAACCATCATGATTTGGTGATGTGTTGAGGACAGAGCTGGGGAAAGGGAAGAGTTAAGGTCAATTCCTGGGTTTTTAGCATGATTTTGTAGGTGAGTTGGGATACTAAGTAGGAACAGAAATCAAGAGTTGCGTGTCACACAGGCCAATTTGGAGTAACTGGATATCTAAATCTGGATCGGGGCCTCCCTGGTGGCACAGGGGGTTAAGTCTGAGCACTGGAAGCTATCCACAGCCACTGCAGCACCAGTTGAATTCCTGGCCAGGGAGCTGACCCACATGGTGCAGCAGACCTCTCCTGTCTTACCTGCTGCTGCCCTCAGCAGTGTATTTCAGTAGATCCGCCTGTTCTGCTCCCCACTCTGTCTCTGGAATCCTCTCACCCTGTACACCTCTGGCCTACACCCCAGTTTTCTATGCAAAAAATATATATATATCTGGGGCTGGTGGGGTTTTGCATGAAGTTTAGGGCGTAAGTCAGTCCCTGATCTGTCTGACTGAAGCTCATGCTCTCTGCCTTGCTCAGTCCTCGCACGAGTATTTCATGATAGCAACAGTGCTTGGCACGCTGAGACCCGCTCCTAGGGTCTCATCCCAGCACTCCTCTCTTCCTTGACCCTCAGGCACAAGCAAGCAGGTCCTGGCGTCCTTCAACATGGAGCTGTCCTCCAGCGGGATCAGTGCTGACCTCAGCGAGGTGAGCAGTGGCTGGCGCAGTGGTCTGAGGGACGGGTGGGGTAGGGGGATGCAGCTGACCACTGGTCTCCTTCCCCGAGCAGGGCCATGGTGTTGTGGGGGCAGTTGGAGCCAAGGACTGGGCCGGGGGCGTTATAGACTTAAAGGAGGATCTGCAGGATGCTGCATTTGTTGGGAATGAACCACTGACACCAGAAGTGAAAGAGGGATATTTGGGTGAGTGTTTCTCTGTTCTGCTGACTTCTTTTGGCCTCGGGGCCCAGAGAGTCATGCAGGCTGACTTTCCCAATACTAATGAAAGCAGTTAAACAACCCACATGAACAAATTCAGGGTATAAATATGGTTAGGGCTTTCTCAACTTCCCTTTAATAATCCTCCCCAGTGTGTTAATCTTGTTTTTAATTTCTATATTTTATCATGCTTGACATCTTGAAACCTTGCTAGTCCCGCAAACTGCCAGGGCTCATATTCCTCAGTCATTTCATCCAGGCAGTAACAGAGGGGTGAGGACCTTGCCCCAGGAGGCGTGATGTCTGAAGACAGCCCAAGGTGATATATTTAGGAATGACGTTTTTTCAAGTCTCCTACATTATCTTTAATATTCATGTAGATGTCACATTCTTCTTATTAACAGATTCCCATTTTATTTTATGAATTAAATAAGTATAGCCTCTCTTCTCACCCCTCAGGTAAACTCAGCCTCAGGAAGATGCACCATGCTTCCCCTGTGGCTCATGGCTGCTTTTTCTGGGTGGTGTATGTTGTCCACCTTTAGAGAAATGCACCCTTGAACCAAGATAGCAGCACTTGTGCCGCTCCTAGCACGCGGCTGCTGTGCTTAGAAGAAGGTCTCCTAGACATTTCAGTGCATTTTTGCTACTAAGCTGGTGTTCTGGGGCTTCTGCTGACTTTCCTCCTGCATTTGACCTTCTTCCAGCAGTTTGTTTTTCTGACTCCAGGTCCCTTGCTGTCTCTTCCCTCAGGTTACACGGTCGCCTGGCTGCCCTCTCGAAAATTCACATCACTGCTGGCAGCTGGAGCCCCCCGATACCAGCATGTGGGGCGGGTGCTGCTGTTCCAAAAGACTGAGAGCAAAGGAAACTGGAGCCAAATCCAGAAACTAGATGGGGTCCAGGTGAGCAGGACCCCAGGGGTGTCTGCAGATGAGGGCTGGTGTAAAATGCTGTGCTCCCCATTGCCTTCTGAACACGCATCCACTACTGCACAGGAGGCCCCGTGCCAACCACTGTTGCTCTAGTAACTCACCAAGCCCTCTGCCACACCAGTGTAGCATCTCCACCTGCCAGTGTAAGAAAGTGAACTTCAGAGAGCCCAACTTCTCTCTCTCTCTCTCTTTTTTTTTTTTTTTTTTTGGCTTAGAACTGGGGTGCAGGCCAGAGGTGCAGAGGGTGAGAGGATTCACCAGAGACAGAGTAGGGAGCAGAACAGGCAAAGATGTACTGAAATACACTGCTGAGGGGAGCAGTGGGCGAGGCAGGAGAGGTCTGCACCATGTGGGTAGCTCCCTGGCTGGGGATTAAACTCAGGCAGTAGTGGTGATAGCACTGAGATTTAACCCTGAGGCCACCCGGGAAGCCCAAGCCTAACTTCTCTTAACTTAGATGGACTCTAAGGGGGATCTGGGGCTTGAACCCTCATTTAAGGGACTGGAATAGGTGGATGTGGTATGGTTGAGGGGGAGGGGGATTCCTAGTCACAGGCTCTCCCGCTGACATCTTCCTTTCCCTACAGATTGGCTCTTATTTTGGTGGTGAGCTGTGTGCCATTGACATGGACCAAGATGGAGAGACAGAGCTACTGTTGATTGCAGCCCCCCTGTTCTATGGAGGCCAGAGAGGAGGCCGGGTGTTTATGTACCAGAGAAAAAAGGTGGGGACCAGGACACTGAGCTGAGGGAGTAAGAGAAATAGATTCACAGCTCACTCAGGGCCCCATTATTCTGAAAGGCTCTCCCTGTCTGATCATGTGTTAATCTGACCTTCAGAACAACAGATGAACAATAGCTAATGCTCAGGGGGTAGACTTCATGCAAGGCCCACTGCCAAGCCTTTTTCATCCTCACCATCACCTTCTTTTTTTTTTTTTTAATTTATTTATTTATACAAGCACTGGGTACAGTCAGAAGCACAGGAGGGTGAGAGAATTCACCAGAGCCAGAGGGGAGAGCAGAGCAGGCAGAGTGACGAAATATACTGCTGAGGGGAGCAGCAGGCGGCAGGAGAGGTCTGTCGGGCCATGTGGGACCCTCGCCCGTGGCCGGGGATGGAACTGGCGCAGCAGAGGCTGCAGCAGCTTCGCAGCCCAGCGCTCAATCACTGCACCACCAGGGGAGGCCCCACTCACCATCACCTTCTGAGAAATTGCCAGTTTTATTTTACAAATGGCAACACTGCACCTCCATTGACTAGGGAACTTTCCAGAACTTTCTTGATATACAGGTAGCAAGAGATGGAACTGGGACTTGAACCCGGGTTAGCCTAATGATGCTGTCCCAATTCTGTGCGGGGTCACACCCACCATGCCTTTAGTGTCCTTCACTGTGCACAAGGCTGCAGCTGGTGAAAGCTTGCTGAGTGATGAGGTGGCACCTGTCACCTTGCCTCTTCCTAGCTGGAGTTTGAAGAGGTCTCAGAACTGCAGGGGGATCCTGGCTACCCCCTGGGGCGATTTGGAGCGGCCATCACTGCCCTGAGCGACATCAATGGAGACGGGCTGGTGGACGTGGCTGTGGGAGCCCCGCTGGAGGAGCAGGGGGCTGTGTACATCTTCAACGGGCAGCAAGTGGGTCTGAACCCCCGGCCGAGCCAGGTGAGGTCCCCTGCCTGTCAATCAAACCCACTCCAGGCACCTGGAAGCCTCCAAGCCCAGACCTCCTACCTCCTACCCCCCACCCATCCTGACTTGTCCTGTCTGGCAGCCTGTCTTCTCCCTAGCTCAGCATAAATTTCTCTCTTGGTCTCAGCGGATAAAAGCGACCCAGGTGTTCCCAGGAATTCAATGGTTTGGACGCTCCATCCACGGGGTGAAGGACCTTGGAGGGGATGGCCTGGCAGAAGTGGCTATTGGGGCTGAGGGCCAGGTTATCGTGCTAAGGTAAGACAGAGCTCTCCTCTGAACAGTTACTATGTGCCGGGCATTGTGCTAAACGATTAGAGGTATTAGCTCATCAGGTCGCCACCCCAACTCTGTGAGGTGGGCTCTCTTTAGACAGTGTTTCCATCTTACTGCAGGTTAAACAGCTGCTAGTGACAGATCAGGACAGATCAGGATTCAAACCCAGGCCCTCCTGACATCAAAACTGCGGAGTAACATTAGGTGATGACTTAGAACCTGGTCACCTGAATTCAAGTCAGAGGACCTGAGTTACTGCCATGTATTTTTTGGGTCACTGAGCTCTCAGGACTTCAGCCTCTGCATCTTAGAAGTGGTGATAATGCTTCCCTACTTACCCTCATCTCAGAGTTATCAGAAGCGTTATAGAATAACATAGATTGGATAGGTACCTGTTATGTCTTAAATACTGAGTCAGGCACTGGGCACAGAGGTACAAAAAACTTAATAAAGAATTAGGCAAATTGATCTTTATAAATTGTGCGAAGTGTTATGAGGGAAATGAGCAGGGTACTGTGGAGATTGTAGCAGAAAAGGTGCTATAGACTGTGTGGGGCCTGGGTGCTACTTAAGGCAGTGATATTTGAGCTTCGACCTGAAAGGCGAGAATGAGAGAGACTTGTAGCAATCTGGGGTAAGAACTCTCAGTGTCGAAAGCCAAGGTGTGCCATGGCCGTCAGGCAGGTGCAAATTTGATGTGCCTGGAATCTGGTCCACCAAGGGAAGGTGTGGCAGGGGATAAGCCTGGCGAGGCAGGCAGTCTTGGCATGGATAGTTGAAGTGTGAATTTTATTGGAAACATCGTGTGGCATCATGGAAGGGTGGTAAGCATGGAAGTGGCTCAGTAGGACTTCTCTTTTTTTTTTTTTTAGGTTTATTCATTTATGCATACAAGAACTGGGGTACAGACCAGAGGTGCGGGGGGCTAAAAGGATTCACCAGAGACAGAGTGGGGAACAGAACAGGCAGATTGACTGAAATACGCTGCTGAGGGGAGCAGTAGGCAAGGCAGGAAAGGTCTGCTGTACCATGTGGATAGCTCCCTGGCTGGCCAGGGATGGAACTCGTGCTGCAGTGGCTGCGGCTACTGCGGCTAACTTCACAGTGCTGTGCCTAACCCCTTGCACCAACAGGGAGGTCCAAGACTTCTCTTTTCAAAAGCTCACTCTTGGGCCTCCCCAGTGGCGCAGCGGTTGAGCGCTGGGTTGTGAAGCTCCCTGCGGCCTCTGCGGCGCCGGTTCGATCCCCAGCTGCTCCGGCCACCACCGGAGGAGGGTCCCACATGGCGCGTAGATCTCTCCGGCCGCCCGCTGCTCCCCTCAGCAGTGTACTTTGGTCCTTCTGCCTGCTCTGCTCCCTGCTCTGGCTCTGGTGAATTCTCTCACCCTCCCGCGCTTCTGACTGTACCAGTGCATGTATAAACAAACAAACAAATAAATAAATAAATAAAATACGCGCCTCTTTATATATATATATATAAAAAGCTCACTCTTTGCATGGAAAATGGGTCAGAAGGCTGCTAGCCAGAAGCAGGAGCCCTAGTGAGTTGTCACTATTATTATCGTGGAAGGAAACAGTGACGCTCAGGTCTGTTTTAGGGAAGGAGAGCCTCTCGGTTTGTAGATGGGACCCCAGTCTGACTGGGCTTCCCAGAGGAGGCCCAGGGAGAGAATAGGTGGTTTTCTGCCCTGCAGCTCGCGGCCTGTGGTGGACGTCATCACACAGATATCCTCCTCCCCGGCCGAGATCCCAGTGCACGAAGTGGAGTGCTCCCATTCAACCAGTGATGAGGAGAAAGAGAAGGAAGGAGTTACCATCTCAGTCTGTTTCCAGGTCAAGTCTCTCATCCCCCATTTCCAAGGTCAGCACTGTCTTCCTGCTCCGCAGAGCAGCTGCCTGCCCCACATCCACACTTAACGCCCCCAGATCGGCCACCACTCAACTCCTGCCTTTTTTTCACCCCACCCAGGGCCCCTGACTACCAACCTCCACTACACTCTGCAGCTGGATGGCCATCGGACCCGAAGCCGGGGCTTATTCTCAAATGGAAGACATGAGCTCAGCAGGGACTCAGTGATCACCCCACAATTGTCCTGCGAAAACTTCAGGCTCCACTTCCCGGTGAGGGAGCCGGCAAGCTGCTTTGGGAAGCGAAGGGGGATGAGCTGACCACAGTGCAAGACTCAGCTGTCACTCTCCAGCCTCCGGTGTCTCAGCACTGCATTTTTCTTCTACTGTCCAGTAGTAGTACTCCTGCATTGATTCATTTTTTTATTGAGGCAATGTTGGTTTACAACACTGTTTATGTTTTAGGGGTACAGATTCACACCTCTTCTGATGTATGTTGTCATGCCATGCCCACCACCAAACTACCAATGACCCTCCATCACAGTCCATTGGACCCTTCCTTTCCTTTCCTGTTCCCAGACCCCACTCCCTCTGGCAACCTCAGTTCTGCTGTCAGAGTCCAAGGGATTGCTTTGGGTTTTTTTTTTTTTTTTTAAAGATTTATTTATTTATGCATACTGAGCTGGGGTGCAGGCTAGAGATGCAGTGGGTGAGAAGATTCCCCAGAGACAGAGTGGGGAGCAGAACAGGCAGATGTACTGAAATACACTGCTGAGGGGAGCAGCGGGTGAGACAGGAGGGGTCTGCTGCACCATGTGGGTAGCTCCCTGGCCGGCCGGGGATCGAACTCATGCTGCAGAGGCTGCAGATTGCTTCATAGTGCTGTGCTTAATTAACCCCTTGAGGCCCCTCACAATTAACAATTAACCAGGGAGGGCCCCCCCTCACAATTTTTTTTTAAGATTTATTTTATTTATGCATCCAAGAACCCGGGTATAGGCCAGAGGTGTGGGGGGTGAGAGGATTCACCAGAGACAGAGTGGGGAGCAAAACAGGCAGATTGACTGAAATACACTGCTGAGGGGAGCAGTGGGCGAGACAGGAGAGGTTGGGGTTTGAACTCGTGCTGCAGATAGCTTCATTGTGCTGAGACTTAACCCCTTGCACCACCAGGGAGGCCCCCAGCTCGCAATCTTATTCCACTCATACCTCAACTCCATGCCCTGCTGCCTCTTCCTACCATAGCCCCAAGCCCTGTTACAAGATTTGGAAATTTTAAATGTAAATTTGCCAGAGAAGAGGCATGTGACATGCTGGAAAAACTTTAGACTTGGGAATTGAACAGGTTTGGGTTCACCCCTAGTTCTCGTCCTCAGGAAAATTGTGTCACCTTTTTTTTTTTAAAGATTTATTTATTATGCATGCAAGAGCTGGGGTTCAGGCCAGAGTAGGGAACAGAATAGGCAGATTGACCAAAGTACATGGCTGAGGGGAGTAGCGGGAGAGCCAGGAGAGGTCTGCTGCACTATGTGGGTTGCTCCCTGACCGGCCGGGGTTTGAACTTGAACTCGTGCTGCAGAGGCTGCAGACAGCTTCATAAGTTGAGTCTTTTTTTTTTTTTAAAGATTTATTTATTTATTTGTTTGTTTGTTTGTTTGTTTATTTATTTATTTATACAAGCACTGGGTACAGTCAGAAGCGCGGGAGAGAGAGAGAATTCACCAGAGCCAGAGTGGGGAACAGAACAGACAGAGTGATGAAATACACTGCTGAGGGGAGAAGCGGGCGCGGCAGGAGAGGTCTGCACGCTATGTGGGACCCTTACCCAGCAGCTGGGGATCAAACCAGTGCTGCGGGCAGCTTCGCAGCCCAACGCTCAACCGCTGCACCACAGGCCCTAGAATAGTCTTTTCTTATACAAACTTTGATAATGGCTGCCTAGAGGCTTCTGTTAGGACTCACTGGGAAAAGTGCTGGGGTTGATTAGTGATGTCTGCCATGGAATTGGGGCAGAAGAATGACACGCTGAGAAGCTACTGCAGACTTTTATTTATAAACATATGACATGTAGTAAGTGTATTTCCACTACTGGTAACTAGCTACTGGAACGTCATCACTTGTAAAACGTGGACAAAGCATGCATTTAACTGGAAATCTGGTCGTTTGTTTTCTTCCTCCTCAGGTGTGCATTCAGGACCTCATCTCTCCCATCAGCGTCTCCCTAAATTTCTCTCTCCAGGAGGAAGAAGGGACATCGAGGGAACAATGGACGGTAAGAAGACCTGTTGGGGGGACTGACAGGCAATAAAGAGTTGAAATTCAATTTAGCAAAACAGTATTACATAGTGTTCTTGGTTTTAAGCAGTAGAAATCAAATATGGCTTACTTACACAGGAAAGGAATTTATGAGCGATTATATTTAAGGGAGATTTGGAGAAACAAAGTGGGAAGAAGGGGAACAAGGGTGGAAGATCTGGTAGCTCTGGAGAGGAAGAAATGATAGATGGCCCTCCAGTGACCGCTGTGCCTCTGTAAGGCCTCCTCATGCTCCCACTCTCTCAAGATGCAGGTTCCAGGGAGAGAACTTCAGGATGGCCCCTTATCAGTAGAAGGACAGAGCACGCTGATTAGCTCTCTTGCCCAAGTGTATTCACTTGAGGCAGGTAGTTCCCTCAAAGCCAAATTTAGCCACTGTTATGTTATGGGGAAACTGATCCCAGGCCTACTAGGCCACAGACTCCTCACCATTCTCCCCAGAACCTGGCTTCCTTTTCTGAAATCCTTGATACTCAGCTGGTGCTTTGGCTTGTCAGAGGGCAGTAGGGCCTGGTGGGAAGAACCTGCATCCAGGAGTCTGAAGATGTGGGTGTTTATCGGGGCCCAAGCATACGCAGGCTCTGTCTCCCTCTGGGACTGTCCCCCATCTCTAAAGTGAGTGGGGCTTCCAAAGCTGGAGCACAGTGACTGCGAGGTGTGTGCTTTCTTGTGGTTTTAGACAGCAGGTAATGAGTCCGCTCCCGGAGATGTGAAGGTAACAGGGTGTGCTTGCCCGAGAGCAAAGCCCCTGCCCAGCAGGCGTACCTTGCCACTTAAAGCTGACTGAGTGCCCGTCTGTGCTAAGCCCCATCTGGGCACTGGCTCCTCCAGGTCAAGAAAATACAGCCCTAGTTATAAGACAGCAACAATATTATGCCACAGCTTTGGGGCATGAGGAAAGCCTCCTCACGGAGGTGACCCTTTCAGTTCCCTGGTGGAGAAGGGGAGGGGGGCACTGAGGAAGGACGCAGAGTGTGAGCACAGGCAGAACGAGGCCTGCAGGTGTGGGTGATGGGAGCACAAAGTGGGAGCGAGGGTGGAAGGAGAGCACACCTCTTCCCTTTAAGATCAGTTTCTAGAAGTCACATCACAGCTCCACTTACACCTCATTGGTCAGAACCTGGTCACATGCCACACCGAGAAACGCATCTCTGGTCCATGTGGGCCATGTGACAAGATCAAAAGTGGAGGCTCTATTTTAAAGGCAGAAGGTGAGGAGGGCCTTCTGGAACAAGCAGCTGTCTCTGCGTCAGCACTATTTAAATGCCAAACTGTGGTTTATGAACTCAGGTTAAAAAAAGAGATTTGAGGTCTCAGTTGTTCAAAAAAGGCCTCCTGAGGGAGTGTCACTTAGATCTGTAGCTTGCAGAATTAGAGACATTGGTTGGTAGGTGGGGAGTTCAAGGGCAATGGGGAGGAGAACTTAGCTCCCTGCAGGCCCTGGATGCCCATTTGGGCACTAGCTGTGGTCCACTGGGTGGTGGAAATCTGTGAACGTTGAGGGTGGGTGGTGGGCAGTCAACAGAGGCCACCAGGGCCGCAGCCTGTCCCTCAAAGAAGAATCTGGAGACTGTTTGGCAAGTGGCCTGGTCATGGAGGAGACTGGAATCTTTATGGAACCTACAGCTGATAAACCATAAAATACTTCTGTGACCCATTAACCTCAGGATAAAGTCACAGCTCCAAACATGACCTCTCTAGCAAGGCCCAAGGCAGTCGGGACCCTGTTTCTCTCTCCTGCATCCACTCACACTGGCACTCCAGCCAATCGGAGTATCTTCCTGCATCTTGCACAGCTCCTGGCTCTCACCCTGGGCCTCTGTTAGACTGGCTGCTCTTCCTCCCTCCCCATTCGCTTCACCTGGCTCCTTTAGATTTCAGTTGAGCGCCATTCCTCAGGAAGCTTCCTCGACCCCAGGTGTGGGTCGGGTTGCCCTCTGTGTGCTGTAAAGATCCTGCTACCTGTGCCAGCATAAGATTTGAAAACCCTGCGTGGTTCCTCCTGCCAGATTGAGAGGGCAGGCAGAGTGTCTTGTTTTGTTCTCTGGTGAATACTCAGTGCCCAGCATGGGGCCTGGCCTAGAGCAGAAGCTCTGGGAATGTTGAAGAAGCTGGCCTTGAACTGCTATCAATAAGAGATGGAGAGCTGTTCTAGGGTCGGTGGGACTTGCAGGAGAAAAGCACTGTAAGAGCTAGTCATAGGCAGGTGAGCCCCAAAGCTTCACAGCAAGACCTCCTTGCCAGTGGAGGGCAGGGAGGGACTGGACCCCCTGGGCCTTAGCCTCCCTCTAGGAGCTGCTCCCAGAGGATGGCCTTGGGCTGAGTGGGAAGGGTGGGGTCTGCCCTGGGAAGGTGTGGGACATTGGGAGGGACAGACCACAGTAGCCCAGCTGGAACCCCAGCTCTCAGCCCCTCCGTGAGTTCTGCTGCCTGTTAACCTCTTGTCCCCTGCCCTCCCCCTCCACACCTAGCAGGGTATGGACATGCAGCCCATCCTGAGACCCTCAGCACACTTGGAGACCAAGGAGGTAAGAGGGCCAGAAAAAGGCCAACATTGGGCCCCTCCTGGGTCTGGGGGCCTTAGGGGCCTGAACATACTTGTTCTTTGTTCTTGGCCTTTTAGATCCCATTTGAGAAGAACTGTGGAGAGGACAAGAAATGTGAGGCAAACCTGGCGCTGTCCTCCCCTGAAAGGTCTGTGAGCCTGCCAACCCCCTCCCTGCCCTCCTGCTCCCCTGGGTGTTTCCTGAGGCAGCTCCTGTGTGCTGGAGAGAACAAGGGGGAGGGGTGCTTCAAGTCAGAAGAACCTCATCTGCTTGCTAAATGTGTCATCTGGGCCTTGGTTTCCTCCTCTGAGAAGAGCAAGTCCCTGCAGCTCCTGCCTGGGTTAGATGAGGTCTCACGACCTCAGGCCTGTACGGAGGAGTATGTTTCGAGTATTAGTTTTCTGGCCTGCTTGAGCCCTCCCTTCTGAGTGCCCACCTCTGCTCCTGCTTCCTTTGCCTTGGTCCCCGTCACTTTTCCTTGATCTCCCCCCAACAGCTCCAAAGTCCTACGCCTGACCCCCTCTGCCAGCCTCTCCGTGGGGCTGACGCTGAGTAACTTGGGAGAAGACGCTTACTGGGTCCAACTGGGCATGAGCTTCCCCCAGGGACTCTCCTTTCGAAAAGTGGAGCTGCTCAAGGTAAGCGGGAAGGCAGACCTGTGCACACAGGCCCCTGGGGCATCTGCTCCCCTGGGGTGTCTCAGGCAGTCGGGGACAGACAGAAACTGGAGCAGTTGGCCTGCAGAGGTCTTAGGGCCACATCTGGGTCTCAACTGGATGGTCACCTGCAAACTGTGGGACCTGAAGAACAAAGTACACTCTCTTTGGGCCTCAGATTCCACAATCAAAAAATAGAAACCCACAGGGTTAGTGGGTTTTTAATATTAAAATATTACTACTTTTAATATCTTTTTACTACTTTTAATATTTTGGCATTTATCTTTCTGTTTATGTGCACACCTACAAATTACATTGTGTATATTTATATATAATATTACACACACACGTGCACACACACACACAGGCTTTCCAGGTGGTTATTTTTCCCCCATGTTCAGGAAAAAAATTCAATTTTACATAGTATCAAATTAACTATTTTAACTATTGAATTTATTTTCTTACATGGTTGTTCGCTTTTGGACAGCATTGGGTTTCTCTCCTCAGGTGTGGTCCCTGCAGTTCTCCCACCACCACCGCCCCTGTGACCCATCCCCCCGTGCCTTGTGCTCTTGCCTACCCTGTCTGAACCCACTTCTCCCCTCTCCCCTGTGGATGCCTCAGACGTGTGGTCAGCTTGCAAGTTTTATCTTTTTCCTGACCCTCTGTTCAGTATTTTAACTATTTTTAAGCGTGTAATTCAGTGGCCATTAAGTACATTGGCAGTGTTGGGCAGCAACACCACTGTCTGTGCGCAGAACATTTTCCATCATCCCAAACAGAAGCCCCGGCCATCTAAGCAGTAATGCCCCACTAAACTTGAACTGTGTCCAAGTCCACCCAGGATCCTGCTTTTACAGCTGTGAGACCTGGGGAGCCACTGAAGATCTCCGAGCCTCTGTTAGTGAAGTCCCTTCCCAGTGTGAGGCAGAAACCGGTGCTTCACAGATGGTCATGAAGCTGAAGGGATGGTGTGACTGGTTAGCCGGGGTCAAGCACATTGTCAGGATCCTTGCTGAAGGGTGGATGGCATAGCAACATGTTAGTCTCACCATACCCTCTCCTGTGACTGTACCCCCATTAACTGGAGGTACTATCTCTGAACTGCTCCATCCCGTCTAGTTCTCCACTGTTAACAGTGCTACAATGAACATTTTGTACTGAATCCCTGGCTGTTCTCCTGATTCCTTGGCCCCACTTCTCCGAGACGGCGCCCTGGCTGGGAGGTGGGTGCTGAGGCTTGGGGGCCCCTGGAACGCTTAGCTCTTTTTTCTCTCATGCTCTCTCTTCTCACCCCCAGCCCCACAGCCAGATACCTGTGAGTTGTGAGGAGCTTCTTGGCAAGTCTGAGCTCCCCACCAAGACCCTCTCTTGCAACGTGAGCTCCCCCATCTTTAAAGCAGGCCTCTTGGTGAGTGCAAGTCCCTAGGAACCAGTTGCAGGGGCAGGAGCCAATGCCAGGCCCTGAGCTCAGGTGGGAAGGTAGCTGCTGGCTCCAGGAAGGGTGCCCGCGATTGGCCAAGAAGGGCTTGCCCGACTTCTTGACCCAGGAGTGTGTACAAGCAGTTTTGTGTCCTGTTTGAGGGCCTGGACTTTAGAATCAGCCACCTGGAGATGGCTTACTCATTTTGCGACCTTACACACATGACTTAGCCACTTGGAACCTCAGTCTCTTCACCTGGACAGTGAGGATGTAACACCCAGCCCCAGGCCCAGAGCATTCATGGTGGTCACTGCTATGGCAATTGGGCTGGGAGCTGCAATTGGGCCTGGGTGCTGAGGCCCTCTGGAGGCCCAGGCCCCTTCCTCTTCATTCCCCTCTCTTCCCCACCAGGTTAATATCCAGGTGATGTTTTATACACTGCTGAACAGCTCCTGGGGGGACTTCGCTGAGCTGCACGCCAACGTGAGCTGGTGAGCAGGCCCTGGGCAACCCTCCCTCATATCTCCTCTCCCTCCGCCAGCATCCCTGACCCCTCTCGGTCCTGGCAACACCCTCTCCTTACACTGCCTTCCCCCATGCAGTGAAAATGAGGACTCCGGCCTCCTGAAGGACAACTCAGCCAGCACCAGCATCCGGGTCATGTACCCCCTCAACATCGTCACGGAGGAGTGAGTTCTGGGCAGCCTCAACCCCCTCCTTCTCCCCTCCACTTCCCCACCTAGGGCCCTACAGTTTTTAATGTTCAAAAGAGTGACAGTCCTTCAAGAGCTCTGTGTCAGGTTGTTATAGGACAGGGAGAGGGGCAGCCCAAACCCCGCAAACCTGACTATTCTAAATGGGTTTTGCCATCCGCCGCATCAGTACAAAACATATAAGACTTTAATGGGAAGGAACTTTAATACAATTAGGGAACAATACAGGAAAGGCAAAGAGTCTAGTTTCTAAATGAAGCACCCAAAGTTACCCGTCCCCTCGTGGGTAAAAGTCCATCCATATGGGATTGGCCCAGAACAAGGCCCCAAAGCCTGCCACAAGTCTAAAGCATCTTCCAGTGGGGACCCACAGAAAAGGGTCACAAACAACCGGACAAGCCCGGAAGGAAAAGAGCAAAATCAACATCAAGATAAAAGCTGCATGGTCACCTCCCCACGGGTCTCACCCACATCTGTGTCACCCAGTCCACGACCAAAAGACAAGCGCAGTTTCTTCACGTGTCTCTAGGCTCCATGTGCCTCCTCCAGGTCTCCTGGCTCCATCTTGCTTCCTTCCTTCCTCAGTCTCTTCTTGCAGCTTCTTCTCTTGCTGCTCAGCTCCACCCTCCCTTGGGTGGGGCAGGGAACCTCCCCCTTTCCTGGGGACCACCCTGTTGCAATCCCCCCTTTTAATTTTTATTCCACCATATCTATGGTGGTCGCCAAATCTGTTATAGGACAGGGAGAGGGGCAGCCCAAACCCCGCAAACCTGACTATTCTAAATGGGTTCTGCCATCCGCCGCATCAGCACAAAACATATAAGACTTTAATGGGAAGGAACTTTAATACAATTAGGGAACAATACAGGAAAGGCAAAGAGTCTAGTTTCTAAATGAAGCACCCAAAGTTACCCGTCCCCTCGTGGGTAAAAGTCCATCCATATGGGATTGGCCCAGAACAAGGCCCCAAAGCCTGCCACAAGTCTAAAGCATCTTCCAGTGGGGACCCACAGAAAAGGGTCACAAACAACGGACAAGCCCGGAAGGAAAAGAGCAAAATCAACATCAAGATAAAGCTGCCATGGTCACCTCCCCACGGGTCTCACCCACATCTGTGTCACCCAGTCCACGACCAAAAGACAAGCGCAGTTTCTTCACGTGTCTCTAGGCTCCATGTGCCTCCTCCAGGTCTCCTGGCTCCATCTTGCTTCCTTCCTTCCTCAGTCTCTTCTTGCAGCTTCTTCTCTTGCTGCTCAGCTCCACCCTCCCTTGGGTGGGCAGGGAACCTCCCCCTTTCCTGGGACCACCCTGTTGCAATCCCCCCTTTTAATTTTTATTCCACCATATCTATGGTGGTCGCCAAATCTGTTATAGGACAGGGAGAGGGGCAGCCCAAACCCCGCAAACCTGACTATTCTAAATGGGTTCTGCCATCCGCCGCATCAGCACAAACATATAAGACTTTAATGGGAAGGAACTTTAATACAATTAGGGAACAATACAGGAAGGCAAAGAGTCTAGTTTCTAAATGAAGCACCCAAAGTTACCCGTCCCCTCGTGGGTAAAAGTCCATCCATATGGGATTGGCCCAGAACAAGGCCCCAAAGCCTGCCACAAGTCTAAAGCATCTTCCAGTGGGACCACAGAAAAAGGGTCACAAACAACCGGACAAGCCCGGAAGGAAAAGAGCAAAATCAACATCAAGATAAAAGCTGCCATGGTCACCTCCCCACGGGTCTCACCCACATCTGTGTCACCCAGTCCACGACCAAAAGACAAGCGCAGTTTCTTCACGTGTCTCTAGGCTCCATGTGCCTCCTCCAGGTCTCCTGGCTCCATCTTGCTTCCTTCCTTCCTCAGTCTCTTCTTGCAGCTTCTTCTCTTGCTGCTCAGCTCCACCTCCCTTGGGTGGGGCAGGGAACCTCCCCCTTTCCTGGGGACCACCCTGTTGCAAGGTCAGCATTTTCTGACGGAAGAAATGCACATTGAAGGCTGATGCCACTCTGCCTCCCTGTGCAAGGCCCTCCCCCACTGCTTGGCCACACTGAGGTCAGGTCTGAACTGAAGTCTGACTCCAGAACACCAGGCTCGCTCTCCATGGTTTTCAGCTAGGCTGGAGTCCCTGCTGCCTGGGGCCACAGTGCTGCACAGCACAGGAGGAAAGGCTTCATAGTGGCTCTCTCCTACAGAGAGCTCTTGGTCAGAAGCGAGAGACAAAAGTCTTGAACCCACAGAACTAGTGAGTCTCAGGATGTTGTGGCAGGAAGGACCCATGCAGATTGCTGGTTAGATTTTCTTTTCTTTTTTTTTTTTTTTTAAGATTTATTTATTTATGCATACAAGAGCTGCGGGGGTGGGGGGCAATGAGAGGATCCACCAAAGACAGAGTGGGGAGCAGAACAGGCAGATTGACTGAAATCCACTGTTGAGGGGAGCAGCGGGCAAGCCAGGAGAGGTCTGCTGCGCCATGTGGGTCTGCTCCCCAGCTGGGGGTTAGATTTTCTTATTTACAGAAAAGGAGATTAAGCAGGGAAAGTGGAGTACCTTTTTCAAGTTGGCTCAGTGAGATAAGGACAGAGAAAGCGCATGCCCTGGGGCCTCCAGTATGTTTGAACATAAATGCTAAACAGAATGATGGTATCTGGAATGTGATATGAAAACAAAGCCAGGAAGGACGCTGTGGCTCAGAGTGCTCATGAAGAACTAGGAACCTGAACTGGGTTGGGTCTAGAGGATAAGGGGATTCAGATAGGGGCCAGGAAGGCAGAAGGTCCTTCTCACCTGAGAGCAGAGATGTAGGCCTGGAGGCAAAAAACAGTGGGACAGATCTGGTGAACTGGGAGAGGGCCGGTATATGGAGGAGGGGAGCAGTGAGCAGGCAGGTGGGGAAGCAGGTAGGTCTAGACCTGGACTCCGTGCTGAGGGCAGCAGGGAGCCACTGATGGATTCTGAGTCCGCGAGTGGTGGGATCAGAAAGTGCTTTAGGAAGGTCGTCAGGAGGGTGGTGTGGAGAGGGAGCCAGTAGCTGGTGCCGTATCTGAAAGACGAGCAGTGGGCCCAGGGTACAGGGGAGACACTGGGGAGGCGGTGTGTAGTGGGGAGAACACGCTCCAAAGGTGCACTCACCAGGGTTCCTATCCCGGTCCTCCCCTTTGGAACCTGTGGCAAGAGGCAGACCCCTTCGAAGAGTCTCAGTTTCAGGGGGTGTCATAAGATTGAATGAGACTGATCGTGTCCTGCAGCCCTGGGCACAATGACTGGCAACCTGAGGCTGCCCTGGCCCACGCCCCTCCTCCCTCCTGCTGCCTTCACCTTTGACTTCTGCTCTTCCCTCTTTCCACAGCCAGGAGGACTCTACACAGTACATCAGCTTCACCAGCGACGGTCCCAAGAGCCAACACTTCAAGCACATCTACCAGGTATGACTCTCAATACGAAAAGGTCCTTCAAGGTCAAAGTTCATTCAGCCCCATCCTGGGGCACCCGGATGCAGAGGCCGAGTCCAGCCTGCTGCCTCATTCTTGGTCTTTCTTTAGGGCACATACAGCGCCTCAGTGGCCACGGAAAGGCCGCAGTCGGTGTGCTCACCAGTGCGTCCCGCCACTGGAGAAGAGATATATAGACTCGCAGAACTCGAGAGCCAGGAGGGCCCCGAGGGAACCTAGTCTTTCAGTCACAGATTTCATGAGCACCTATTCCAGCTGAGGTGCTTTGCGAGGTGCTGGGCAGCAACAAGTGACACAAGGTCCCTGACCACTCACTACACCCAAGTTCTGTGCCTGGTGTGTACTATATGCAGCCCCCCGTAATTCTCACAGCAGCCTAGGGGCTGCTCGAGACAGGCACTGTCATTCCCACCTTACAGATGAGCACAGACATGTCAAGTAGCTGGTCCAGGTAGCACAGCTAAAGTGGGGAAGAGGAAGCACTTACTTGAATATCAAAATCCACGTCTAACCTGTAAGTCAATGTCTGCCATCTCTCCTGCAGCATGCGCAGTGCTGTAACAGCCGTCTTTGCGATGGGGCTTAGAGAGGGAGGGCCCCCAAGTCTAAAGCTTGAAGCATCTAAAGCTTCCTCAGAGGTGACCTCTGCGAGGAGTAAGCATTGATCCAGTCAAAAACCTTTTCATTTTACTGTGGAGGAAACTGAGGCCCACGAGGCCACACTGGGCTGGGCATCTGGGGAAAAGAGCCCACCAGTGAAGGAACCCCAAGCCATTGAGCCCCTTCAGAGCAGAGGTGGGAACCAGCTCACCTTAGACTGTGATGAGGGCAATGGCCTTCAGGAAGGTCAGGTGCCCGTTTGCATCGACAGAGACTGTTTTGAGGGACAGCTTGTGGGGCTTCTAGTGCTGTTCATTGGGACCACTCTGGGTTCCCAGGCCAGTCCTTTAGCACCAGAATAGTGGGAAAGAACTCAGCACGCACAGGCCCTGCCCAGCCACCTCTGCTCGATGTGAGCGCCGGCCAACTTGTCCGTCCTGGCCTCAGTCAGCCTTGGGACAAGGGGGTTGGAATAAGAGTGCCACAAGCTCCCGATCTCATGGGGGCACACACAGCAGGTACTGCCACCCTGCTGTGGGGACACAGAGGGGAAGCGGCCCTGTCCTTAGGAGTCAGAGATGCTGTCCAGGCACGAGCTGGCAGGATGCGTGAGGCTCTGCCATGTGGAGAAAGCAGAAAAGCGCACGTAAGCCATACTGTGTGGACAGAGGCTGGATGAGTGGTCACTGCCCACTGCCTCAGTGTGGGTCCCGGGTCCCAGCCATGGACCAGAAGAGGCACACCGGGGTGCACATGGGTTCTGGGGTGGCACATAGGGTGGCTTCATTCAGGCCTCTGAGCCCCTGGTCTTCTCCACTAGGTAGGGATTCAGCCCTCTGACCAGGACCACAACTTGCCCGCCCTGGAGGCCTTGGTTGGGGTATCACAGCATCACGTCAATGGACCCCTCAAATACACATGGGATGTGCAATTGGTGAGTGTTGTCCAGAGCAGGAAAGGACACTGGGGCTGTGGGGACGAGCTCCTACAGGGGTGCAGGTGTGTGTAAAGGGAGTGAGGATGAGGAATCCTCTTGGACCTTGGTGATGTCTGGATCCCCTGGGGACAGTGGGGAAGAATTGGGGTGCCAAGAGAGGAATGTCAGGTTCTCTTAAGGGGACATCATTCCCTCTGAGCCCCGGGCTAACTGAGTCCCTGCCTCGTGGTTCCCAGGAGCCGCCTGTCATCTGCAATCACAAGGACCTGGGGACTCTGCCTGGTGAGACTAAGGTATGGGCATGGGTGCTCAGAAATCGGGGTGGAGGCTGGCAAATTGCAAGGGGATACAGGCCTCTCTGACCCCTTATCATCTTCTTCTCTAACAGCCTTGTCAGCCCGTGGCTCAGCGCCTCTGCACAGTTGATTTTAAGCAGGAGTTCCTCGTGAAAGTGATGGGGACCGTGGAGCTGGTGGGGGAGATCGAGGTAGCACCTGCCAGCACCAGACATGAAGTGGGGGACCCACGGTGGGGACTTGCCCACCAAATAGTCTTCCTGCATTTTTCTCTTTTATCCTGAGGAAGAGAACCATGATTTGTTTGAAATTTGCAGGGCAGTTGTCATGGGCCCACGGATATTTCTTGTATATTCTTTATAGGACTCCAGTGGGGAGTGGCACCTTAGGCTGCTCCAGGAGAGACCTGAGCAGGCCTCTGAACCCCACTAGGGCTCATTCTTCTCTGCTGCTTCCCAATGAATCAAATCCAGGTGGGGGCAGAAGTCAGTGGGTCCATGCTCTTGTCTGTTCTCCCGGCCATGACGTCTCCCCGCCCCTCCCACAGGCCGCCTCCATGTTCAGCCTCTGCAGCTCCCTCTCCATCTCCTTCAACAGCCGCAAGCATTTCCACCTCTATGGCAGCAATGCCTCCCTGGCCCAGGTAACTCTCTGCCTCCTTAGGAGACCCGGGAGCAGAGGTCAGCCATGGGACCTGAGGATCCATTCCCAGGGCAGACCTAGGGGGGCCAGAGCTGCAGAGAGGCTGGGCTAAGCATGAGTGAAACTGGCCCAGAGCCAAAACCATCAGCCTTGGCGAAGCTTCCTTGGGAGCCAGAGTGAGCTGCCCACCCCTGGTCACCCTCTGAGAAGTGCCAGGGAAGACCAGTGGGTGATACTCAGTGAAGGGTGGGGCGTGGAGGGACGGCCTCTCAGCAGAGAAAGCAGCAGTGTGGGGCCAGGGGCCAGCAGATGTATAGAGCAAAGGGAAGGTGGAGCTAACAATGTAAACTGAAGCTAGACTCTGGAAAGCTTTGCATAGAGCCAAGACTCTAGCATTTTATCCTGAGGCTAGAGGAGGCCATTTAAGGCTTCAGGCAGCCGGTGTGCCTGTCTGCCAGTTCACTCGGTGGTGGCAGTGGGAGGGGTTCTGGCCAGAGAGGGTCTGGGCCTGCATGATAAGGTCCAGGTGGGAAATCCGATGACCTAGGGCTTGAGGCTGTTAGGGGCGGGAAAGGTTGCTTCCCTGCACTGCCCCATCTTTCCCTCCAGGTCATCACAAAAGTCGAAGTCGTGTTTAAGAAGCCAATGCTCTATATCTATGTGCTGAGTGGCGTCGGGGGGCTGTTGCTGCTGCTGCTGATTTTCATGGGGCTCCAGAAGGTGGGAGCTTCTGGGGGTCACGGGCCAGGCTGGGGAGGGGAGTTGAAAGGGGTCAGGGAGAGTTCCAAGACCAGGGAACATCAAAGCCAGCAGGGAACTCAGTGTACTCCCTCTGGACAAGGCTGCTGAGGCCCAAAGAGCAAGTGGGACTTTCCCTTTAACCAAGCGCCGGCAGAGCCAGGCCAGGGCACCCAGGGAGAGGAAGGAGAAGCACTGCCCTGCATGGACGCCCGGGCCCAGCACAGCCCCGAGCCTGGCCCCGGCCTTTGTGGAACCCTGGGTTACTGGCGGGGTGGAGGGGGAGGACAGGAGCATCCTGAGGGCCCTCCACTGGGGGTCTGCGTGCTCTGGAGCCTCTGACAGAGGAACCCAACTGAGGCCGGGGGCGTCCAGAAAGACCCCTCTAAGAGGTGGCGTTGGAGCTGGCATTTGAAGAATGAGAAGCAGTCAGATGAGCCATGCTGGGGCGCGTGCGTTCCGCGTGGAAAACTCAAATATTCCTGAAAAGAGACCATAGAAAATCAAGGTTGAAAGTTTCTCCCTCCCTCAGCCTCACGAGGGTTGTCATGAGCAACCATTTTGTTTATATTCCTGCAGATTCTCATTTTGTTGTTAATCTAAGTGTGTGAGAGAGAAAGAAAAGCTCTCACGCATGTGTCTAGGCAGAAAATGGGAGCAGACGAACCTTCTCCACTGCTTGGGGACGTGTGTCCCTGGGTGCCTCAGCTACTGTCTTTCTGTCTGAAGGGATCGGCCTCTCGCTCTTTAACCTGGGCGGTTTCCTGCAGTCTGGCGCCCACCTTTTATTGACTCAGATCCTTGTTGATGAACATGTAGATGGTGATTTACATCAAACAATGTGACCAAAAAAGGCTCTTGTTACTTCTTGTTATCTTGGCCCGCTTGTCCTAATATTCTTTAAATTCCTTTTGCTGAGCCCAAGAGCACATGGCACCTAACTTAGCACTCTGGAAGGGAGGGCTTTTCCTCTTTGTATTAGATATTGTGAAACACCCACCTAAAATATCGGCACATGATATTTTGATAAGCCCAAGGAGCGAGCTATTACACTGACAACTTTTTAACATATGGCCAAGGCTAGGTGTGCAGGTACCCTCGCCCAGCCCTGGAGCGGACATCCCGTGTCTGGGGCACAGATGATTTATTAACATGTGTTGCAGGGTCGGCTGGCAGGAAGCTCTTCATGGAGTTTGGCTCACTCCACCTGTGTCTTCCTACAGGTTGGCTTCTTCAAACGGGATCTGAAAGAGAAGATGGAGGCTAATTTAGATGCCCCCAATGGAATCCCTGGAGGAGACTCTGGACAGCCGGCATCTGAGGAGGCGGTGGAGTCCCTCCTCAGGGAGAAGGCCCAGGAGAAAGATGGCAAAGACTCAGACCAGGCCTGACACAGAGGACCCAGGACTACACTCTGCCTGCATCTTATCGTGTGTCCTTGGGCAAGTCACTGCCCCTCCCTAGGCCTCAGTTTCCCTGTCTTGAACATGGAGCCCATTCCTCCCTGCCTTGTTTGTGAGACTCCACTGAGGGACAGGCCAGGAAGCCTACAGAGGTGAGGCCTTGCGCTTATCAGATGGTCCTGGCTTCCACCAGCTCCTCTTAGTTTCCTCCCCTGGAAGAGAATTTGGAGAAACTGTAGTCTCAGGGCCTAGGGCCATCCCTGTCCCTCACAGACACCTGCCCATGGATGTCCACAGAGGCCTCAGAGGCCTGTGGATGTCCCAGAACCTTGCCCTGCATTCTTTCCTGCCTGGAGTCCATCCTGCTTGCCAATAGCAAATCCAATCTCTGTTTTTCACATTACTGTTGCAAACCCCTTGCTCTTTGGCTAACGGCCAAAGGCCCTCACGTGCCTTTCAGAACCTGCAGAATAGCACAAAGATGCTATCCCTGTCTCCCCTCCTGAGCTCCAGTGGCACCAGCCTTTCCACTGCCTAAGCTCTTTTGGTTTCACTGCTTCTCCCAGACAGCTCCCTCTGCCTGGAACATTCCTCCCCGTCCTTCCGGCTCACTCTCACTCAGCCTTACCTCAGTGCACACACTCCGTGGAGTCCTCATAGACACACTCACACTAGCCTGCACTCGTGTCGGGGCTGAGCAGCTGGTGAACCTGAATTCAAGCCTAGGGGTCAATGAGTAACCAAGTCACGTGAGCTGGTGTTCCGCGTGATCCTGGGGAAGACTCGTGCCCTTTCTGGCTTTGGCTGCCCCATCTCAGAAACTGTCATAAAAGGGGGGTGGGGGCGAGCAGCTTGCTCTCTTAGCACTGGTCGGGCTTGTTCCTTGTGGAGTGATTTACTTCGCATCTGCTTGAGCATTAGACAGTGAACGCCATGAGGGGAGGGACCATAACCTGCCTTGTTCACCTTGGCTTCCTGGTGATAGCAGAGTCGGACACACGGGCGGGACTTGACGCGCTCTCGCTGAGTTAGTGACAGAGTCTGTGGGAAGAGGTGGGAAAAGGCTCCGCTGGGCCCGGGCATTGGCCCTTCAAGGCTCTGCCTTTCCCAGTGGCCGGCCCCCTGGCTCCACAGCCCCACCGCGACTCCAGCGCACCCCCGCCGTGGCACGGGGCTCCAGGGTGGGCGCCACGTCTGTTATCTGGGTTCTCAGTTCTAAGAACAGTGTCTGCATATATTTACCTGATAAATGTGAAATTTTGTCCAGTTTGTTACGTCTTTGCGCTGGGGCAACATTCCAAGTGAGTGTTTCCTTCTCACTGCTCTCACTGAAGGGGCCCAAAGGGTCAGGTCTCCTCTCTCTCTCTCTCTCTCTCTCTCTCCCTTTTTTTTTTTGTTGTTGTTGTTGCTGCCATGATGCCCCTCAGAGAAGCAGGGAGAGAATGGGTGAGAAAGTGTGAGGGGCCATTAACAATTCATGAAGATGTGCCCCAGACCTTCCCTGCCCGCTTCCTTTTTTAAAAAGTAGTGATTGGAGGGGCTCTCATAGCCACCCTCCCTTTGTGGGCCAGGGAAGGCAGAGGGGGCGGGGTGGGGGGGGGTGTCGGTCGCCACTGCTGCCCTCTTGTGGTGACCGGGACCGGGCTCTTGAGTAACTCCGGCCAGCTAAGGTCCAGCGCAGAGCAATGACCTTCCGTGGCTCCCTTCTGCGCAGAGCAATGACCTTCCGTGAACATTCCCGAACCTAGCACTCAAGATCCAGAACAGTCTTTCCAAATCTGTGGTCTCTCTAACCTCCTCATCCTCCTGTCCAGCCCCCAGGGAAGCCTAGGGCTGGCTCGTAAGGAGGACCTCAGGAGGAAAGAAGCAGAGCCCGTTTTCTCAAAGAGGGGGAAAAAGTGTCTCACCTGTCAGGAATGTCACAGAACTACAGAAATTACAGTCAAAGCTCAGCAAGCCCTGGGTTTGAATTCAGGTTCTGCTGCTACCTTGCCGGGTGAGGTAAATGTCTGCGATCATCCTCTTAGCACTTGTCCTCTCTGGGACTTGTTTCTTCACCTGCAAAATGGGAATAATGAGCTGCAATGAGCAGTCAGTGAGGTAACAGCTGGAAACTGTCGAGTCCTCTTGCAAACACTTAAGCGCATCCGAGGAGGGGGCTAGAAGGGCCCTTCAGAGGAGCGCGCTGGTGCGGTAAAAGCGGCGCTAGACCGAGTCATGTGAGCTGGTGAACCCGAATTCAAGCCTAGGGGTCACTGAGTGACCCAGTCACGTGAGCTGGTGTTCCGCCGTGATCTTGGGGAAGACTCGTGCCCTTTCTGGCTTTGGCTGCCCCATCTCAGAAACTGTCATAAAAGGGGCTTGGGGGCTGAGCAGCTGAGTCCCCATCCCCTCAGCTGATGTGCTTTTATACACTGAGGTTCTGTGCATGCAGCCTGCTTCATTAGGCACCACGGGCTCTGTGCCCAGCGCCTGCCGGCTCTCAAGTGTCTACAAACATGTTTGAAAACTGAAAAAAAACTCCAAAATCAGAAAATTAAATTGTATAATTGAAATGGCTATTTCAGTAAATGTCTGCAAATGTAATAAATATCATGTCAGGTAGTCAAATACAGTTTTATTCAACATAGAGTTATGTACATGAACTATATGAAATGTGGGAGTTGCAGCATTTTATTTTCCTTTTTTAAAAAAAAAATTTATTTTATGCATATAAGCACTGGGGTACAGGCCAGAGGTGTCGGGGGTGGTGGGGTGGTGGTGGTGAGAGGATTCACCAGAGAGAGTGGGGAACGGAACAGGCAGCTCTACTGAAATACACTGCTGAGGGGAAAAGCGGGAGAGGCAGGAGAGGTCTGCTGTGCCATGTGGGTAGCTCCCAGGCCGGCCGGGGATCAAACTCACGCTGCAGAGACTGAGGATAGCTTCACAGTGCTGTGCTTAACCCCTTGCACCACCAGGGAGGCCCATGCAGCATTTCAATATTTGAAATTACTCGTAGTAGGGGTGTCTGTACAAAAATGTGCATAAGGTTTGACAAGGGTCTTTAAAAGACTTGGAGATTGCACTTGAAAAGTAATATTCTGCTTCCCAACCTAATTGAAACTTTGAGAACCACTGAACACAACCAAACCACATGGAGCTGTATGCTGTGAGGCCCCTTCCAAGCTTGTAGCTCATGGAGCTGGACTGAAATGTGCTTAGAGAAGTTTTTGCTCTTGACAAGCTATAGGGCCCGGAGGGTAGGAGTGGGGTTGGGGTGATGTCAGGATCCAGAGGCCCGCGACACCCTACCTGCCTATGTGGCCACCTGGTCTGGAGGTCTCATCGGCCCCTTAGCCACAGAGTGACTTTGAGCAGGTCACTCAGCTCTGAGCTCCATTTGCCATCTGTGAAATGGCGCATGGTCGGCCCCTTGGTTGGCATTCATCTCAAGATGTGGCCAGCAATCAGATGAGTTGTCAAGGTGTGTATGACCTGTTCTGCAGCTGAGGTCACAACAGGCCCAGAACCCCCAGACTCACTATTGGCACCAACTGCCCATCCTTTCCTGAGCAGGGGCAAGTATTAGAAGGACTGAGGTGCAAGTGTGGAAAGCAGTGTAAAGGTGGGGTGGCAGTGGGGTGGCCCCACCAATAGTTCCAGGGGTCCTAAAAGGGAGGCAAGCTATAATAGACAGGCCCAGCCTGGTGGGAGGGCCTTAAAGGCTGCAGCACTTGTCCAGTCTTCATCCTGATGCAGTGCGTGCCCCCGCAAGTGGGCTGGCCTGCACACACTCACTGTGGTTCTGGTCCAAGTCAGCATCTGCACAAAGTGGTGGCTCCGTTCCAGCTGGGTGGGGGAGGGGCCGCACAGCTGGGTGCTGGGAGCCAGGGGAGGCAGGCTGGGATCTGTGCCTGGATGTGAGAATCACGTTTTTTTCTGGCCCAAGGACATTACTCCTGGCTTTGGGAACTCCACAAAGGTGAGGGCCCTCACACCTCCCACCGGTGGGCCAGCCCCGTTGGTGAGGCACTGGGACATGAACTTGGTTGGGCACATGTGGGCAAGTCATGCCTCCTGAACTGCAGATTATAAGATTCCAGTGAATCACTGACTATAAAAGTACTTCCCAGACAAGGCCTTATGGCCTCACCGCCTGCTTGTTTTGTAGTTAGGACCTAGTGTAGTCCACTGCCCAAGGCACAGCCAATACACACATTTTGAGGATGAGTCTCTTTTACCACATAAAGGTTTTTATTGAACTCAAATTCAGGGGTTCCAAAGCCCGAGGAAGACAAGGGAGGCTGGGGTTTGTACTCAGAGGCCCAGGTCTCCCTTCCTGGGCCCTACTCACCCCCCTCCTACCCTCTCACCCCTTCCTGACTCAAGGAGGGTCTCAGTAGCTACCAATCTAAGCTACCCCACTCTAATTAAGTAACCCGACCCCTCCCTCCCCCCACCCCCATCAAGCACTTCGCCAAGCCAGGCACCCACCAGGGGGTATGCTGCGGCCCCGCCAGCACTCTGCTGACCTCTTTCTGGATCCCTCCCAGAGCCTCCTGCTGCCTGTTTGGCATCCCTCCACCCCTCATAACCCATTTCCCATAGTCTCCAGGGCACTAACTTCCTCCACCTGGCCCCCTCCTCCTAGAATCCTCAGCTCCTCCATTCACCTCTAGCTTTTCCACTAGTCTCTCTAAAGGCTTCTCTAGCTCCCTGTCTCCTCTTGTGCCCACCCCTTCCTCGCCCCCACCCCCACCCCCCCCCACACACACACACACACGCACACACGCACACTCGCAGGGTCCCAGGTCAGCGCCGGCCGGCCGCGTGGGTCCGCTGGTGGCGGATGAGGTCGGAGCTCTGTGAGAAGGCCTTTCCACAGTCATCGCACTTGTAGGGCCGCTCCCCACTGTGGACTCGGTGATGCTGCAGCAGCGTGGAAGACCGGCAGAAGCCCTTGCCGCACACGGCGCACCGGTAGGGCCGCTCGCCGGTGTGGGAGCGCTGGTGCTGAATCAGCGTGGACGAGCGATTGAAGGTCTTGCCGCAGTCGGGGCAGCTGTAGGTGCGGCCCGGCAGGTGGGTGCGGGCATGGATGGCCAGCACAGAGCTCTGGCCAAAGCGCTTGCCGCACTCAGGGCACTTGAAGGGCTTCTCGCGGGCATGGCTGCGGGCATGGGGGATGAGTGCCGAGCGCTGGGAGAAGCTCTTGCCACAGATGCCACAGCTGAAGGGCCTCTGCCCGGTGTGCACCCTCTGGTGACTACGCAGGGATGAGTTCTGGCTGTAGCACTTGCCACACTCAGGGCAGCTGTAGGGCCGCTCGTGGCTGTGGGTGCGCTGGTGCCTCAGGAGGTAGGAGCTGTCGCCGAAGGCCTTGCCACAGTGTGGGCACTTGTAGGGCTTCTGACCAGAGTGAGTGCGCTGGTGGCGAAGCAGGTAAGAGCTGTCAGCGAAGGCCTTGCCACAACGGGGACACTTGTAGGGCCGCTCGCCCGTGTGGGTGCGCTGGTGTTTGATGAGGTCAGAGCTTTGGGAGAAGGCCTTGCTACAGACCTCACATTTATAGGGTTTCTCACCCGTGTGGATGCGCTGGTGCTGGATCAGGGTGGAGCCCCGCCCAAAGCTCTTCCCGCAGATGCCGCAGATGTTGGGCCGAGGGCCCTGCCCACCCCTGGCCCGGCCACCCCGACGGCCTGGACCCCGAAGGGCCCCTGTCAGGCCCAGGGGATTCTGCAGCATCTCAAACTGGGGTGTAGACAGCAGGGCCCCTGTGGGCATCTCAAAAGGTGGCCCTAGGGGCAGGCCCTCGGTGGGCTGCTCCCCAAACCCCTGGGTGAAGGAGTCCAAGGGGTGGACTCCCGAGGGGATGTTCAAGGGATTCTTTTCCTCAGGATTCAGCATTTCTGCACCCTCCTGGAATTTGGAACCTTGAGCTTCAAATTCTGGGCTTTGGGTTTTGAACTCAGAATTCTGGGGTTCCAATCCAGGGTTCTGGGGTACATACCCCGGGCTCTGAGATTCACATCCAGGGCTCCGGGGTTCATATCCGGGGCTCTTGGGCTCATAGCCAGGGCTGCGGGGCTCATATCCTGGGCTCTTAGGTTCATACCAAGGGCTTTGGGACTCATACCTATGACTGCCAGGTTCAAACTCGGGGCTCTGAGAATCTGATTCAGGGCTTCTGGGTGCAAAGTCGGGGCTAGGGGGCACAAACCCAGGACTTCGGGACTCAAAACCTGGGCTTTCGGGCTCAAACCTGGGGCTTTGTGGTTCAAACTCTGGGCTCTGTGACTCAAACCCAGGACTCTGGGGTTCAAGCCCAAAGGGTATCTCTTCAACCTCATAGTCCCCAGTGCCTTCTTGCTGAGAAATTTCCTCTTCCTCATTCTCACTCATGTTGCCTGCAGGATCAGAGAATTACAGAAAAGCCAGATTGTGTGGGTCGCGGAAGGTTATTTGGTCCCACCGTTAACAGTCACAAACCTCGACCTCCTCCTCAAGCAGGGTCGCTGGCCCTTGGGCAGGTGCTGAAATCCCCACCTCCCCTCGGCGGACCCAGTCCACCCGGTCCCCGCCCCCGCCTCCTCCAAGTCCCGGGTGTCCAGGCCCCGGTGTTCTTCCCCTCCCTCGACCACATGCCCCTCTCCCGATCCCAGGCACGCTCCTCGGAGGGGCGCTTCCTCCCTCACCTTTCGGGGACCCTTCAGGGCTCCCCATTTCGTCAGGGCTTTGCACATCCCGTGGCTCCAGGCCCCACGGCGACGCCTCCCGTTCCATCCCCGCCGGCTCCCAGCGCGCCGGCGACGGTGATGGCGGACGATCCTGCGACCCGGCCTGAATGCCCTAAGACCCGGGCCCTGCAGCCCGCCCGCTCAGCGCCGCGCAGGGAACCCGGCTGCCCAGCCTCGGACCCCGAGGCCGGACGTCTTGACCCTGGGCCTCTCCGGCCCGCCGGGCCCCTCCCCTACCCGCGGCCCCGCCCCCACCCACAAGGTCTCGGCGTGCCCTGGGGCCCTCGGCGACCTCCACGCGTGGCGGCCTCGGAAATGAGGGGCTTCACAACTCGCCCTGCCGCCCCCGGACACCGCTTCCCGCCGGAGACCCCGCCGTCTGGCCCCCCAGCCCCGGGCTGGGCTGCGACTGTCCGACCCCCTCCCCCCGCACAGGAAGTGTCCGTCCGCGGCCAGTTTCCCCCGCTGGCTAGCGCCGCGGCCTCTCTAGGAGCGACTGGAGGTGGAAACTCGTTGGCATTAACCCTGGGCGGGATGGCCCCGGCTTTGAGGTGGGGGAAGACGGGGCGCCCTGAAGACGGCGGCAGAGGCTGGGGCAAGTTTGTGTGCCTATGTCCTCGGTCGCCGCTGTTCAGTGGCCGGTCTGTGGGTCTCCCGGGGCCTGCGTCCGGCAGCGCCTGCGGCCAAGGGCGAGGCGACGAGCGAGACCAAGGTCAGAGAGAAGGAGCGACGCTTCCCGGCGCCAGCGAGGGCGGCGTCTGGCTCCTCTCCCCTCCCCGGCCTCGGGTCAGCTCCGGCCGGGCCTCGGGAACTGGACGGGCCGCCCCTCCCCCGTGGGCTCACCCAGGCTCCAGCAGGCTGGGACACCCCCTCGAACTCCACTCCCCGCACCCGAGCGCCTACCCCCCTCCTCCAGGCCGCCTCCCCTCTCCGCTCCTCCTAATCTCCACCCGCCCCCTCCGGGAGGGCCAGGACCGTTGCCAAGGAAACAGCTCCGCCTCGGGTTTTCGAGGCACCGCCCCCCCCCAGGAAGCTCGGCGATTGGCCGAAGGCGCTCGCATTCTCGCCGCCCCGCCTCCTCCCGCTACTCCGAGGCTGGGCGTTAAAGGTCGCCAGGGAACGCGAGGCGTCTCTCTAATAGGCTGGAGGGTGAGCGGGCCGGCTCACCTCCGTCTGCCAGAAGCGCCTGCAGGAGTGAGTGGGAGGGTGGTGCCTGGCGTCTCCCCTAGAGCTGGGCCTGTGCTTTCAGAACTTTTCCCGCCCCCACTTACCCTTCATTATATTTTCTTTTTCTGAATAATGAAAGCCCTGGGATCTAAGGACACTCTTCCTCCCCCGGTCTCCCCGACACTCCCTTTCCCAGCGCTTTCCCTCTTCCCACGGGTTTCAGTTGCTGAAGAGGCTGGTGATGGTGATGGGGGGGGGGTTCCTCCCACAGAGAAGAGGCTGATTTCTTTTTTATTAACTTGGCTCTCCCCTCCATCTTCCCCAAAGCCTTTAGTTTAACTCAGAGCCTTTAGTCCCTGGCTCCTGGATTTCCTCACAAGCAGGCGGGATCATATGAAAATTCCTTACAGGTGATTGATAAAGTATAGGAAGGAAGTAGACAGAAAAGCTTCTAGGATTTAAGGCAGCTCAGAACTCTCTTGTCCTGTCTCACTTGGATAAGAGGCTTGTAGAGGAAGGAAACTGAGAAACACTGGTCTGGGTGCAGCTTAAATTAAGGGAAAAGTGACTCTGGAGAGACTGTTGAATGGGAGCCAATTCTCCATTTTCACCCTTGCTGTTGAGACGAGTCTAGTTGTATTCTTAAGTCTCCCATGTGCATGATGAAGGCGCCATGGACTGTGTTTTCCTGCTGCATTCCCAGACAAATGAAAGGAAAAAACTAGTTAGGAGGAAAGATGGTATCTCCCATCCTCCTGGAAAAAGACTTGAGAACAAGAATTTGGAGAATTCCAAGTGGTAAAAGGCTGTAGAGAGGCTATCTCAATAGAGGCGAGCAAGTAGTCACAGACATATCTTCCTACAAAGAAGTACTTTTCTGCCCTCCAGAAAAACAGCTGCAAGTTCCAAACCTCTTCCAAAACAATGTCTGCCTGTCCTAAAACTTCGGCTAAGAATAGCTCACATGGCCCAGCACTAAAGGGCGCACACAGACAGAACACACCATAAGGCCCGTCGGGAAAAGGTAGACATGGGGACCCCCTGGTTCTCTGCAAACTGCTTACAAGTGAGAGACAAGCCTCGTTCAGGAGACATTTTCCTCTGGCCTCCAACCTGTTTATCCACCAGAAAATTCACACAGGCGAGCAGCCATCCCCTGCAAAGGGGGTGACAGGGCCTCCATTCACCCCCACAATGTACTGCCTGCTCTCTTCACAGCAGGGACCACAAGCTTCATGTGCAGCTGGAGGGCTGGACCAGGGCTTCAAGCAGCTCTGTCAATGCCATTTTTCATCTTATAGTGGCCATCTTCCAGGCAGCTCCCTCTCACACCAGCACTGACTGCTGTGCAACGGGCTGTCGCGAGCAGCTAGCCTCCACCTCCCAAGTGCCCACGGCCATGACAGGATCTGAGCACAGGGAAGCCTCTGATGAGGGTTTCGACTTGACCAAGCACAACGAATTCAAGGCTGGGTAACCTTATTCTACCACTATGTCGTGGTGGGTCCAGCCCTTTGAGTGCCCCAAGTTGGGCGGCCACTTTGAACACAGCATTGTCCTGTGATGTGCAGCAGCACTGGGCAGAGCTGTTCCGTGTACCACCAAGGCTTATTGTCCGGCCAGTCAGCACCACAGGATCAACACAACAGCACTCAGTGTGAGAGTGGCTCCCTGCACAGAGGCCAACCTCTGTAAGTGGCTTCTGTTGGAGGTTACAAGGATGTCAAAATGTGTTCAAGGTTTAAGTTGCCCGGGAAGAGACCGATCATGGCATAAGCCCCCACTTTAGGAAGGAAAAAGAAAACAGGAGTCTTTGGTCAGGTTATCCCCTGCCTTATTTAGAACAGGCCGAGACCAACCACTACTCTTACAAAGTGAAGAGCAGTTTATAAAGTTTTATTCAAAGCAGTTTTCTCTCAAGCTTTGGCAGGCAGCTTTCTCCCTGAAGACTGTGACTGAACACACTTGGAACCCAGGCACTAGCACATCTTTTTTAAAAAAGATACTGTGTTTGAATTTGGGATAGGAAAGACTTACTTTGAAAAATACTAGCCTAAAGCAGGTTTTAGCTTCTCTGAGTCATAAGTTTATTTGCACATCCCATCCTAGCACTTAAAGAAATCAGGGTCTTTGAGCTTAAATCAACACCTTTATCTTCTTTTTTTTTTTAATTTATTATTTTTTTTATTATTTTTTAAAAGATATTTATTTATTTATTTATTTATTTATTTATTTATTTATACAAGCACTGGGTACAGTCAGAAGCGCGGGAGGGTGAGAGAATTCACCAGAGCCAGAGCAGGGAGCAGAGCAGGCAGAAGGACCGAAGTACACTACTGAGGGGAGCAGCGGGCGGCAGGAGAGGTCTGCGCGCCATGTGGGACCCTCCTCCGGTGGCCAGGGAGCAGCCGGGGATCGAACCGGCACCGCAGAGGCTGCGGGCAGCTTCGCAACCCAGCGCTCAACCGCTGCGCCACCGGGGAGGCCATAACACCTTTATTTTCAATGGCTGCGATGAGCTAGAGCCTTGTGGTCCTGAATTTGTAGATGGGGCTCAGTCTTGTGCAAATATTTATCTTGATGCACCAATGAAGACCTAGAAAAATCTTCCTGGCTTAAACTGCTTCAGAGTCTGAACCTCAGACACCTGTAGCAGCAAAGGGAAAAAGGAAGCCCACCCTAGTGACCGTGCCAAGAAATGAGCAGCTTTGGGCATCCCCGGTGGCGCAGCGTTTGAGCACTGGGTTGCGAAGCTGCCCACAGCCTCTGCAGCGCTGGTTCGATCCCCGGCTGCTCCCCAGCCACCGGAGGAGGGTCCCACATGGCGCGCAGACCTCTCCTGCCGCCTGCTGCTCCCCTCAGCAGTGACTTCGGTCCTTCTGCCTGCTCTGCTCCCCGCTCTGGCTCTGGTGAATTCTCTCACCCTCCTGCACTTCTGACTGTACCCAGTGCTTGTATAAATAAATAAAAACAAATCTTTAAAAGAAAAAAGAAAAAAAAAAAGAAATGAGCAGCTTGGAGTGAAGTGAGTCTGCACCGGAACATAATGGTGGAAAGTTAGGTGATGAGGGCAGGAAGCAGAGGAGTCAGGTCTGGTATTTGGGCCCTCTGCAAGTTTTGTCAACTTCAAAGTACTCAGAGAAAGCAGTAATTATGGTACCTTTAATTGGCAAGTTGCAAGCAGGATGCAGATCTGAATGCGAGCTGAGAACTGGTGTTACGAGTCAGCCTTTCCACAGGCAGTGCCAAGGGTTAGGAGAGGGGGTGGGTTGTACACTGGCTTCTTCAGGGAATTTAAAGCTGGTACAAAGGTAGCTCAAGCTGCCAAGGTGCCTCTTTTCAACTCAGTTTTCCCTTGCGACATGGTATCACACAAGCCAGTCCTCTCAGAAAAGTTTAGGGTGAGGGAGACCTTGATGGGGTCAGGTTTAAAGATCCAGTTGGAATCAAGACAGTTTATTACTTAACCTTTTCCCCCAATTTTTTACCTCTCTAGACATTTCTCCAAGTTGCAAGTTTGGCTTCTTCCTCTCTAAAGTAAACCAGACTCAGCTGAGGAAGGCAAGTGTGCACACACCAGCAGAAGATATAAGCTCTTGCTACTGCTCTTTGAGGTGCAGCGTCACCCCAACTAGAGGAAGGGCAGGGTCTGTGCCGGGACCAGGCTGGACTCTGACCAACTGGGTCAGTGGTAGATGGAGAAAGGAGTCACAGGTCAGAGGGGAAAGATTCTGGGCAGAGCTGGGAAATGTAAATGAGTGCAGTTCCTTTGGCTACTAACCCCAAATGTTCTTGGCCTACTGCTTTGTCCACGACAGTGGTTTACCTACAGAGTGAAGACGTGAGCTCTGCTTTTGTTTGCCCGGAAACTCTCACCTGGGGCTGGTTTCTCCCCAGGTATACTATGCGGTGGCTTTGTCATTAGTTTCACACTTGGGCTTCACTGACCCTGGATCAGTCCATTCCCACTCCAGTTCAGTGCCACGGAGTTATCGCAGGAAGCAGCAGATGCCTCCAGATCTCAGGCAGAGACACTGGCAAGCGGCTCAGGAGTAGTGTGCTAAAGACAGCAAGAAACTAAGAAGACTGAAGTCTTGTACGAATGGGCACCCGGTCTTGGTGTCCCGAGTGCCAGAATGAAAGAGCTATGATCTCTTCCAAAAGAAAAAAACATGATGAGGACCCCCTGGCAGGGTCAACGGTGGTTAGGCCTTAATTGCAGGACTCTCCCAGGAGGCCCTAAACACTGGAGGGTGGTTTCAGGGTGACCTTCCCCTTCAAACACAGGAGCTGCCAGTCAGCAGAGTGTGCTATGGAATGGTAGAAACACAACTTAGTTTAGGGCAAAAGATTCTTGATTGCTCCTCCTGACTATGCTGTGTTCTCCAAACAGGAGGTTTCCTTTCTCAGGCAGTTACTAGGGTGAATGAGTTGATGATAAAAGATGGTAGTTTGTAAACCATAAAAGACAAGCAAAGATATGTAAAGCAAACCTGTTTTTACTTCTCTCCTGTCACCCTTTCACATATATACTCTCTACCTGAATCCCCAATTCAGGAAAACTTGATTGCTGAAAACCATGGTGTGCCACTAGTGGCACTAGGAACCACACAGGTCATCTGAATGAGTGGAAACTCCCAGGAGATGGTCTGCTTTCCCAGAACCACTAGGAAGCCACAAAGAATGCTAGCTGCTGGCAAGGAGCTGGTAAGCAGCAGCAGACAAGCTACTGGAGAGAACAGACACCAGCTTCATCCCCAGGAGGCAGCTGTCAACTGTTGTTTTATGAGCGCTGAGGTCATGTTGCCAAATCTTTGGATTTTTCAAGGTAAGTCAGAAATCTCGACTTTTGTATGAAGTATTCTGACTCTTACATCTTGACCAATATTCTTTAATTTTTTTAAAATGCTGTCTGAGCCTGACAAATTAAAAAGGCAACTAATAGACCACATTCAGTACAAGGCCTTCAGTTTTTAATTTCTGCAGTAAAAAGACAACGGACAAAACCAAGTTCTCCTCACCTGAATCCTCTTAACACACGTGTGAAACAGCTTTTCTTACCTACAGCAGAGGTGTTGTGGGAGTGCTTGCTTCGGCCCTAACTCAGCAAAGGGGGCTTCTAGAGTCTGGAACAGTAGAGAGCAAAGTGTCAGCAAATGAAGCTGGTAAGGACTCAAGACAACTGTCCTCATCCCCTATGTCCAGAGGTGACTTCCCTGGAGCCACCAGAGGTTCAGGCCCCTAAGACCAGTTTGGCCCTCAGGCGACATCTAAATCTTCATCTTTTGCTTTGTCACCATTGAGGCCATCATCCACACTCCTGGAATATATTTGGATAGTGCTGGAAGCCCACAGGTGGGTCCCGGTTCCCTTGGCCAGGGGTCAGGGGCCCAGGCAACCCACTGGCAACCCTGTGCCTTCGCACCCCAGCATCAGGCCTATGGACCCACAGGTGCTTGGTCACAGCTGACTTCTGACTGAAGCACTTGCCACACTGAGGACAGGGGTAAGGACGCTCGCCACTGTGGGTTCGCTGGTGGACTACCAACTCGGAGCGCTGTCGGAAGCAGCGCCCACAGTCTGGGCACGGGTAGGGCTTCTCACCCGTATGGGTACGAGCATGGCGCCGAAGGTCTGAGGCATGGGCAAAGGCACGGCCACAATCTGGGCAGGGGTAGGGGGTCTCGCCACTGTGGACCCGCTGGTGCTGCCAGAGGGAAGAGCTCTGGCTGAAGCAGCGGCCGCAGTCAGCACAGCGGTAGGGCTTCTCTCCCGTATGAACCCGTAGATGGGTGATGAGATTACCACGCAGGGAAAAGGCCCGGCCACAGTGGGGGCAGTGGTGGGGCCGCTCCTCAAGGTGGGAAGCCCGATGCTTGTTCAGAGAAGAGGACTGGCTGAAGCCCTTGCCACAGTCAGAGCAATAGTAGGGCTTCTTAAATGTGTGTTCGTACAAGTGCCTCATCAGAGTGGAATGCCAAGCAAAACTCTTTCCACATATATAGCAACCATGTCGCTGGTCTGCTCGTGGGACAGGGAGATGGACACAGAGCAGGGGGCGACCCCGGCAACGTGGCCTGGACGGCTGCTCCAAACCATTAGGGAGCCCAAGAGGCCCAGCATCCACAGAAAGGATCTTCTCCAATGCCTCAGTCCCTTCTGCTTGTCCCTTTTCTTTCTTGTTTCTGGAATCTGCTGGGAAATAAGAGGAGAGGTTAGACCTTGGCTTCCCATCATCCTTGAATCCCACACCCCATGTGGTAATAGAGAAGACTCTGTATTACCACCCCATGTGGTAATACGGCCACTTGCTGGACCCAATGCTGCCTCTGGCACTCAGCTTGGCACAGGCAGGGAAGCTAAGACCGACACACCTTTTCAGCTGCACAGAAAAGAAAAAAAAAAAAAAAATACAGAAACCAAAGGAAAAAAAAGGACAGAAGAGTAGTGCATTCTACCTCAGGGGTGGGGAAATGGGAGGCAAGGGAGAGATGACATCTTAGCTGGATCATACAAGATGCTTAAGGATACTCCAGGCAACCGGAAAAGCACACAGAGAGGTGAACCTGGCTGGCCTGGGCAAGTGTGCAAAGGTGGACAGGATGAATGGGAGGAGGGAAACAATGGAAACCAAGAAGTTTGTATATGCTACAAAAATTTTGACAAAAAGTACACTGGCATAAACACCGGTAAAGAGCACAGCGAGAAGGATGCTGTGACGCTCAGCAGGGCTTAGGAACCAAGTGGATGTGAGCAATTCAGATTCCAGATGGAAGTGGGCCGCCGGCAAGCCAGGCTCTGGCACCCTGGCAGGGCCTGGGCGAGGTCACAGACCCTTTCTAGGCTGAATTCAGGAGCTAAGGACCAAACATAATAACCTGTGACGGGAAAGCAACTCCGGGAAGAAAGTGATAAGCAAGTAACAAAGTAATTGAAGGAAAGAGGAAAGATAAGGCACAGAGAAATCCCCAAGGGGCAGAGTGCCCACTACTTCACCTGTATCTACTTTTGTTTGGCATTCGGCCACCTTTGGATCCTGGGCATCCGGACCCCACAGTTCAGCCTCTTCCTCCACCCAGGAGATGAGGGCTGGCTTGGTGCCTCGGAATCCTGCGGGAGAGCAAAGTAAAATCCACACTGAACAAGGCAGCCCCGCCCAGTCCCAACTTCCCCAACCCCGGGCGTCTCACCGCCCCAGAGGCTGGGCAGGTTGCACAGGGGTGGAACCCAAAGAGCGTGGGGCCTCACCGAGGGCGCACAGATGGCCGTAGGTCTCCCGCATCACGTCCCGGTACAGGGCGCGCTGCGCGGGCCGCAGACACCCCCACTCCTCGGGGGAGAAGTACACGGCCACGTCCGCGAACCTCACGGGCTTGGGTTTCCTCCTCTCGCGCCCGGTCCTGTTCGGCGGCGCCATGGACCGCCCCTTGCCAGGCCAGAGTCTCCGGTGCTCGAGAACGCGTCCCCGGCGCGCGCCCCAAGGTTGGGGAGCGATCAGGAAGGCCGAGAGAGCCGGACCCGGCCTCCCGAGGATGCACCAGGGCGGCTGGAAACAGCCGGCAGGGGACCGTACCTCGGGGAACGCCTTCTTGAAAAAAGACTGTTACGCGGCCTCTTGAAATTTGCCCCCACGCGGTCGCGTGCAGATGACGTCACGAGGTGCTTCCGGTTGCTGAGCCCTCAAGCCCTCAGCCAAAATGGCCGCGGAGGCTTCGCGAGCTGGAGTAGGCGCCCGGCATCACCTGGACCGCAGACCGGCCCTCGTGCGCCTGGTGGGAGCTCAGCGCAGGGTCCCGCCACCGCACTCGCCGTGCTGGGAGGCGCAGCGAGGCCTCGAGGAGGTTTGGAGGGCGGCTGGAGGCAGCGCCCGGCGACTGCAGTTAGACTCCTCACCGCTCTGCTCTGCCTTGGTGAATTACGTTGGTTTTCATTGCTGAGCCGTTTGTAATTGATCTTCATCACTGGGTGACTGCAACCTTTCCTCAATATTGGAGGATCAAAAAATGTAGTGGGTGAAAAAGAAGCAACCGTCTCTGTCGGAAGCTCATGCTATCCTAAAATTCTGGGACTTCTATTTCAGGAGATGGTAGAGGCAACTGGGTGATAGTGGGGAAAGGTCAGAGAAAGGTGAGAAGGACCCTCTTTCTGCAAACGTACTCCCCCTCCTCCGCCCCCCACATGCCCTACAGGCAAGTTTAGCTCAAGTCTGCTCCTGAGTGCCTGATCACACAGCTACGTGACACCTTGCCTCTGTGGTTAACCCACAAGCACCTCCACACAGCACAGCTCAAAACTGAATTCATCCCTATTCCCTTTTCTCCTGCAACCTGCCCCTGCTGAGGCCCTTTTGTCAGCAAATGGCACCAACTCTCCATATCATGCCCACCTCCAAGCCTCCTCATGATCTTGAAGGGCTTCTCTGTGCCCTACTTGTGCTCAGAAATACCCCAGCTACATCAGTCACATTTCGCAGAAGTACACTTCCCATCTTCAACAGGTCTAAGTCCTAGTCTGGAGCATTTGTTTGTCTGCTTCTTTCCTAAGGCCTCCCAGGGGATTCCACCTGACACCTTGTCCCCACAGCCAGGGGAGCTAGGGGAGAAATAATAGCTCACTGGGAAGAACACAAAAAGCTTGAGAGGTTAACACCTGGCCATGGAGACAGGTTTGTTGGAGGATGTCTGGAGAGGGTAAGGATGCAGAGTTGCCCAGGAACTTGACCCCAGCTCTCCCAACCTCTCTGGCCCCTGAAGAACACAAGAGAAAACAGAAAAATCTCTGTTCAGAGTGATGGTATCTTGTCACCAATTCCTGCCCCTCGCTGCATTTCCTATAGCACACAGGCTGGGAGGAGCTCTGGGTAGAGCTGGAAACTCAAAACTCAATCCAGGGAAGACCCAGGGCAGCATTCACACCGTGGGTCAGCCTGTGAGGCCCATAGCCCGGACTGAGGGTTTATCTGTGGGCCTCTGACTAAAGCACCTCCCTCAGTAGGTACAGGAGTAACAATGCTGTGCATGAGCTTGACCATGAGCCAGCAGGTAGCATGAGAGATACTCACTGTGGTGGGACCAGGTGCCACACTAGCTGTAGGCAAAGGGTCCCTTCTCCCTAGTGCACTGGGCCAGGCTGAAGGTAATGGCATCTGGCTGCACTCAAACAGGAATGGAGCAGGTGAGTGCCAGGTGCTCAGGCAAGACAGACTAGGGGCTTGAGAAAGGCTGGATACAAGGAACTCTGGCCACAGGCTCTGAGCCCAGGTCAGTGTCTCTGACCCCAGGGGCTCATGACAGCTCCCACATAGACCACACTGACAGCCTCTTCTAAATGTATCATTTTCTCTGAATGGATGGTGGGAAACAACAGATTCAAAACTTACTTTTTGTTCTGTTGACTCTACAAGGTTTAATCATGTGCAGATGACAGTGTAACAGGGTGGTCCCCAGGAGAGGGGGAGGTTCCCTGCCCCACCCAAGAGAGGGTGGAGCTGAGCAGGAAGAAGAGAAGCTGCAGAAGAGACTGAGGAAGAAGCAGGATGAAGCCAGGAGACACGTGAAGAAACTGCGCTTGTCTTTTGGTCTTGGACTGGGTGACACAGATGTGGGTGAGACCCATGGGGAGGTGACAATGGCAGCTTTTATCTTGATGTTGATTTTGCTCTTTTCCTTCCAGGCTTGTCTGGTTGTTTCTGACCCTTTTCTGTGGGTCCCCACTGGAAGATGCTTTAGACTTGTGGCAGGCTTTGGGGCCTTGTTCTGGGCCGATCCCATATGGATGGACTTTTACCCACGAGGGGACACGTAACTTTGGGTGCTTCATTTAGAAACTAGACTTTTTGCCTTACCTGTATTGTTTCCTAGTTTTATTAAAGTTCCTTCCCATTAAAGTCTCATATGTTTTGTGTTGATGCGGTGGATGGCAGAACCCATTTAGAACAGGCAGGTTTGCGAGGTTTTGGGCTGCCCCTCTCCCTGTCCTGTAACAACAGGATCAGTCTTCACACCAGCAGAAGATTCAGAAGCGTACCTAGCTGCTAGAAGCCTCCCACTCCAGACTGTGTGTTGGTCCATTGAAGTGCCTACAAGTCAGGGACCTTCCCACTCACCTCAGGACCAGAGGAGATGCCCTCAACCAGAGGAACAACTGTCATAGGCTCTGGGGACCTGGCGATCAAAGGTAAACTGCTTTCGGGCCTCCCCGGTGGCGCAGCGGTTGAGCGCTGGGTTGCGAAGCTGCCCGTGGCCTCTGTGGCGCCGGTTCGATCCCCGGCTGCTCCCCGGCCACCGGAGGAGGGTCCCACATGGCGCGCAGACCTCTCCTGCCTCCCGCTGCTCCCCTCAGCAGTGTACTTCTTTCTGCCTGCTCTGCTCCCCGCTCTGGCTCTGGTGAATTCTCTCACCCTCCCGCGCTTCTGACTGTACCCAGTGCATGTATAAACAAAAACAAACAAACAAATAAATAAATAAATAAAACATGCCTCTAGGAAAAAAAAAAAAAAAAGGTAAACTGCTTTCATCCTAAACTTAAATTTACACATTCAAGTAAACGACCAAGCCGGGTCTTTCACTCACATCTAGAAAACCAATATCTGAATTATGAAAATTGTCTTTATGTAAAGGAGTTTTATTCAAGATGGCCAGCAAAGGAGTCGGCATGATGGGCACCCCAAAATTATGGCTCCCTGAAACTGCAGGAATGCTGGGATTTTCTAAGGGGTGAAGGAATGTGAGGGAATACGGGCTTCAAATCTCTGGGTGTGAGGAGGTGCCTGGTAGTCTAGGTGACAGGAGTCATGGCATTTGATTCTCAGCAGGTGTTTGTTTCTGCTGCAGGGTGTTTTCTCAGCAATGAGAAGTTGCTGCTATCAACTCAGGGAAACATAAAATTTTACTAAGGTTGTAACACAATTTTCTGAGTTCCCAGGAATGCAGGTGAACCTAGTTAACAGTGAATCATGAAGGGAGTAAGGGATACAATTCTTTGAGTTTACAGTTAACCCTAGAGAGGAATGCAACTTAGTTAACAGTTCTGAAAAAGGAATGCAAAGGAGTGATTAGAGTTTAATTCCACTTATTCCTAATTTTTAATCTGGGATGATTTCTGTTGCAAAATGGAGGGATCTGCTATACCATTGACTAGAGTTTGGGTGATTCATAGTGTGACCTAATCATGGGGAACCCAGGATGCCTCAAAGCCAAATAGTTGAGGAAAAGTCAAGATTCTTGTCTCCAGTTGGGTCATAAATTCAGGTCAGCAAAAATTAGTAAGGAACATGAGGTTTCTTGCTCAACAAAACATTTTCCCCTCCAGCTGGAAATGGGACATTGCTCTTCTCACCTCTCTGGTCCTCTCTCAGGCTTCCTCTCTTCTGGGGATCCTGAGTATCTGCATCCCCAATTGGAGTTCCTGCTTTACCCAGGAGTAGAGTTTGGGGTCTGGGAACTCTGGGAACCTATTAATTGCAGAAACATTTAAGACTGCCTATATGTTCATGTAATGAAAATATACCAGGCCCCCTTGTGTGGCTGGCCTTTTACATGTTCTCCGTGTTGGAAACCTTGAACCAAAAGGTTCCTGCTCTAAGTTGACACTAAAGGAGATAGCAGGAAGTGGCCCTGCTGGTGCAGCTGCAAGTGATGGTGCTTAGGGCTATCAAGAGCCACAGAACCACAGGTCTGAGGCTCAGCATGGGGAAGGCAGCTCTGATTTGGGCATGAAATAGTAGCATAGCAAGAGCAAAAGCTGGTCGGCTTAGAGGCTGCCTTAAGAACAGATTCTTTTACCTGGAACCAAATGGAGTCAGTTGTCTGTAGGGGGAGATTTGTTTTGAATGGCGTTAGTGTGTGCCTCTGGGCCGTGAGGGCCGCTGAGGTACAAGTTCTGAACTTTTTGCTGGAAGTCCTAGGGAGCTACTGCAAGAGTCTGGCCAGGGAGTCTGTTATGAATTTCAGTGAGGCTGATCTGGCCGGGATCACGAGAAACGGATTCATCCCAGGGCCGGACTAGGAGCGAGTCTCCCTGTAACAGGGTGGTCCCCAGGAAAGGGGGAGGTTCCAGGTTCCCTGCCCCACCCAAGGAAGGGTGGAGCTGAGCAGGAAGAGGAGAAGCTGCAGAAGAGACTGAGGAAGGAAGCAGGATGGAGCAAGGAGACCCGGAGGAGGCGCATGGAGCCTAGAGACACGTGAAGAAACTGCGCTTGTCTTTTGGTCGTGGACTATGTGACACAGATGTGGGTGAGACCCGTGGGGAGGTGACAATGGCAGCTTTTATCTTGATGTTGATTTTGCTCTTTTCCTTCCGGGCTTGTCTGGTTGTTTGTGACCCTTTTCTGTGGGTCCCCACTGGAAGATGTTTTAGACTTGTGGCAGGCTTTGGGGCCTTGCTCTGGGCCGACCCCATATGGATGGAGTTTTACCCACGAGGGGACGGGTAACTTTGGGTGCTTCATTTAGAAACTAGACTCTTTGCCTTACCTGTATTGTTTTCTAGTTTTTATTAAAGTTCCTTCCCATTAAAGTGTCATATGTTTTGTGTTGATGCGGCGGATGGCAGAACCCATTTAGAATAGGCAGGTTTGCGGGGTTTGGGCTGCCCCTCTCCCTGTCCTATAACATCCCGACACTACCCAACCTGGCCAGCCCCTTTCCTTTTCAGAGATCCGGGACAGCCGGATCCGAGCGCGCCCAGGTGGCTGTATCACGCCCCCATCAGGGCCACAGACACCCCACTCCGGGTAAGAAATTCGCAGTCACCTCCTCGAAGCTCGGCCTTTGCCCCCTGCTGCTGCCCACCGGTCGTCGCTGGCACGTAGACCGGGCGCAGGGAGCGGAGCGAGGGCGGAGTCTTTGGGTTCCCCTTCCCCCTTGGAGGAGCACAGCCGATTCGGCGCGAGGACCGGGGTCGGTCGGCCGTGGGCGGCAGGAAGTAGCTTTGGGTGGGGCCGCTCTAGGTCGGGTAGGCGAACTCGGTGGGCCCCGGGCTAAGAAAATGAAGGTGCCCTCACAGAAGATGGTAGCTTTCTCTCTTCCTTCTAGTTTGGAGACAGGCATCTAACAGTCTCAGTGTCGGCCTGGTGTCGATGATTCATTTTCTCCACAGACCCCCCCCCCCACGCCCCGCTTTTTCTTGCTGTTCCTCACGCAGCCTCGGAGGCCCCTCGTGCCCGCAGTTAAGATGGCTGCGGCCGCTTCAGCGTCGTGCGCAGCCCGGGCGCAGTGGGGTCAGGATTCCGGGGGCCGCCGGAAGTCGCCTTCCCGGTCTGGAAAGAACGTGCAGTCACCGGTCTTTCTTGAATTTTTTATTTTCCTTTATTTTATTTTATTTTTATTTTTATTTTTACTTTATTTATAGCAAACTACAATAATTCATTTCTTTTTTTCATTCACAGGATGCAGAATATTCAGCGACGTGTTCTCCCACTCTAGTCCTCTGTTAAGTTCCTTAAATATCCCTCCAGGGATAGCCTGTCTGTTTATATAGTCACGGTATTGCCACACATTTACTAGCTCTTTTTCTTAGGACATTGTGCCGAATTCCTCCAGTGCTTTACAGTTCGGTCAATTTTCAGAACAGAAAGAAGCCGGGTTACCCCAGGTCAAACAACACAGTCGCGACTCCCACCCACTGCCTGTCTCGTGAGAGCCTGTTTCTCTGCCTACCTCTGCCTTCTCCAGGCCTGTTCCAGAAAAGCAACAGGAACACTTTGACAAGATCGGGCGCGTTCAGGGTGGTATGGCCGTAGACCAGGAACACTTTGAATTAACTTACCCCTGCTGACCTGTGAAAACCAATTGTTGTGGTTTTTGAAGTCTGTGGGTTTGGAGTGCGGGGTCCTTGGGTTCACTCTGGGAAAGGTTTCACCAGAGCTCCCGTTTCAGCGACAGGGGTGAGTTTCCCCACGAGACAGAGACAGTTATTTTTAAAGGGCAGGTTTATTAGGAAAGGTATAAAACAGTAAAAGACACTTGCATAGACACAAGCGGACAGGAAGAGCTGCCCCAGAAGGGACAGGTTTGCTAAGAGAGGCCTGCATGGTTGCAGGCAGGTGGACTTGACAGGTCACAGGAGGCAGGAGGCTGCTGCCCTACAGAGGAAGAGAGTTGGTGAAAAGAGGCACCTGCATAGTCACAGGTGGGCAGTGGGAGTGCTGCCCTGAGCCAGTGCAGCTACTGCACTGATAAACTCTTCTGTTTGGGAGGGGTCAAGTCTTGTGAGCTGTGGTTGCTAATTTTGGACAACTATGCAGAATTTGAAAGGGACTGGCGATTCTACAGCGAGCTCAATCTCCATATCTTTAGATCGTGACTCAGGGTACTAGTGGGGATACTAGTGTCCTCAACTGGGGATACTAGTTTCTGCAACTGTGTGGATGGTTATACTAATCTCTTCCGGCCCCCACCTCCTTGTGTGAGCCAGGTATCTGGTCTTGTGGCACCTCCTTTTTTGTTTTTTTCTATTCCTTTCTTCCATCACAACTGTATTTTCAATTGATGATTAAGTTATGACTGTACAAAAAATTAGATGTTACTGTGCCTCTCAATTCCAAGCCTCCTAACAGAACAGTGGCAGGGCTACACAGAGCTGCAGTTGGGTCTTTTCAGTCCTGTTTTGCCCTTGTTTTTTCTTTTGTTGGTTTTTTAAATGCAGGTTGTTCTATAATATGAGTAAGACATTAATATATGCCAAACAAGTCTAGTACTTTCACTTGTTCATTCATTTAACGTCACAAGGCTGCAATTCCAACCCTTCTGGATTAGAAGCTGAAACCAGACATGCACTTGCCTGAGGCCACACAACTAAGCAGTGAGCCGTGATTCAAACCCTGGCAGTTTCCAGAATCTGTGCGGTAATGTCCCGATTATTGAAGGCACAGAGAGATGGGATTTTAGGCCAGGTTACCAAGAAACAGTTGTAACGTGGGGTAATGTTGACCTCAGAGGTCAGAAGAGCTGTTTCTGGTCACATACTGCACATCCTCCAGTAACATCATTCCTTTATACTGTTAGTGAGAAAAAAAGAATCTGGGCTGACAGTGAACAAAAAGTTATTCGAGGACCTGCATTGTTATACATCCTTTTGCTTAAAGTCACGGTTTCCAAGAACTTATCCACAACATTGAGGACTCACTGATTACAATTCCATAGTGTCATATAAATGTAGAGGGTAAAAAATGAAAATGATGGGTTTAACTGTGAGGCATTGAAAGTCAATAACAAGGCTATGTTTTGGGGTTACATCATGGGTGGGGGGAAGATGTCATTCATGCATGTAGGGAGGTATATGAAATTGCCCTGGACGAAGGGTGACGTGTTTCACAGAAGGCATCCTGCACCAGCTGGGCACCCAGCCTTCCGCCTTTCCCATTCAGCCAGCACTGCGGTCTAGCATAGCAAAAAGAGCATGAGTGTCTCCTGAGAAGTTAGGAAGTATGGGTTCCAGGCCTACCTCTGCCACTAACTCAACTGTGTGATCTTAAGTAAGGCTCTTCCTCTCTGGGCCTCAGTCGTTCTCAGAGTATATTCCGTGGAACAGTATATTCCCTTCCACGAGGGGCCCGGTGGCAAGAACAAGCAGTCTCACTCAAAATCCACTTAGGCCTCAGATGGTGTTTGCTGAAAGAACAAATGGGATCCATGGCCCTCATCTTGGAATTTTGTCACCCAGCTGTCTCTTCCAACAGAAGGCGCTCGATATACTCATTGTTTGTTGACTGCATTTTCTTTTTTTTTTTTTAAAGATTTTTATTTATTTATTTATTTAATTTATACAAGCACTGGGTACAGTCAGAAGCGCGGGAGGGTGAGAGAATTCACCAGAGCCAGAGCAGGGAGCAGAGCAGGCAGAAGGACCGAAGTACACTGCTGAGGGGAGCAGCGGGCGGCAGGAGAGGTCTGCGCGCCATGTGGGACCCTCCTCCGGTGGCCGGGGAGCAGCCGGGGATCGAACCGGCGCTGCAGAGGCTGCGGGCAGCTTCGCAACCCAGCGCTCAACCGCTGCGCCACCAGGGAGGCCCATGTTGACTGCATTTTCTAAGGGAAAGGTCACAAGCCTTAGAAGGGCTCTCATTTCCTGCTGAGGCTCTCCTGGGCAGGCTGGGCTGGGTCCTGCAGACTGAGGAGCCACCCCTAACCCCAAGGCATAGGCTACTTTCTGGTTGGGAAATAAGGACCAAACCCTTCTCCTGCAGCTACTCATTTACTACGCGGCTGGTTCCTGAGTTCTCACCTCACCCTCACCTGAGCCCCCGACCCACTGCCCAGATCTGACTGCTCAGAGGAAGTGGTGGGAGTATCTGGTCTGTGTCAGTTTCCAGCTTGGCTACTTTATAGCACTGAAAAGGAGAAAATCACTTCATCGTTGAGCCTCAGTTTACTCATCCACAAAACACAGCCATTGATGCCCATGTCTGCTCCTTGGTGGCCTCTTTACACTTTCTGAAGCATAAAATGTCAACAATAATTCAGTCTTCAAACAAATGTTTATTGCACTTTTACTGTGTCACACATGTTATCTTGTTAAAATTTCAGTCTGCACTGTAACTCTTTCCTTTGAGGTAGATATTATTAAGCCTCATTTTATAGACTAGGAGTTGAGACTTAGGGAGGGAGTATGGTTACCAGCTATGGGTTGGGGCAAGCCCCAGCCTAGATCTGCCCCCTGTTCCTATACTCTCGCCACCCACTTCTCTTTCAGAGCTCCCTGCCAGTGTCAGTTAGCTAGGGCCTTCCATGCCCTCCATCTGGGATCCCTCCCCAGGCCTTAATCCCCCTCAGCATTTGCCTCTTATATAAATAAGCAGCAAGGGGATGTTTTTTGAGACAGTGGAAAGATCTTGGTTGCACCTGTTACTGAGATAACACTGAGAAAAGTGTAGAATCTCACTCTTCATTTTTTTTATATATAAAAAAGTAGGAGAAAGGTGTCAGGTTTAATCTATTTGAATCTTTACAGGCACTTTTCTTTTTCACAAGTTTGGAAACTTGTGGGATCCTTGAGGGAAGTCCAGGGATGACTTTTGGTTCCCAAGCCCCTGACTCAGTTGCCTACTTTAGGGCCCAGTCAGTGCCTAGCGCCTCGGCAGCCTCAACCCCAGCGTGGCTGCCGCTCAGCCGCACTCCTCGAAGATGTCGGGGTAGTGCCGGAACAGTACAGGCGGGTCCCGGTCACCCCGCATGGGCGCCCGCGGGACAGCCCGGATCCCCGGCCTCCGGCCGCGCCGCCCCCCGGAGCAGGAGCGGTGGATCCACTGGTGAGCTTCCACGGCGAACTTCCTCTTGAAGCGCATGCCGCACTCGGGGCAGGGGAAGGGCCGCTCCCCGGAGTGCATGCGCCGGTGGCTGACCAGCAGCGACGGGTAGGTGAAGCGGCGGCCGCAGTCTGCACACACGTGGCGTCGCTGGCCGGCCTGAGCGTCCCCTGCGCCCTGGTCCCAGGCCTCCTTCACGGGTGGCGGTGCTCTTGCCACGGCCTGGCTGGCCAGCGAGTCAGGCTTGTGTTTGAGCAGGTCTTCGGGCGGTTCCTTCCCAGGAGTCTTTCTGGCCCCCTTGGCTCGTGGCTCTTCCTGGGGTTCTTCTTCCTTCTTGTTTGGACCATCTCCTGGAGAACAGGAATTACATTTATTTTTTGACACACCCAATAATAACTTCATATTTCATAATTATAGAAATAAGATTTTGCTTTTACAACTGTGTGCCACACTGTACGGAATTACATTTAAAAACATTTGTTCAGACCGTCTGGGTTTGTCAGGTGCTTTTACTTATGGAAGTGCCAGAAAAACACTGCCTAGTGATTACACACGACGCTGAAGGATGGTGAGTGGAGTCAGGTGTTGGCAGAGTGACTTATTTGGGGGGAGGCAATGGTTCCTTTACTTCCCAGCCTTGTTGGAAGGATTAAATGAGTAGAGAAGCAGGTTAAGCACTTGACCTAACTAGTAGCTATTATTATTGTGGTGTTTTTTGTTGTTGTTGTTTTGTTTTGGGGTTTTTTTTGGCAGGGCAAGACTTTTGCAAATGAGAAAAACGTTCAAGATCACTCTGCTAGAGGATTTTGAGGGGAGAAGAACCAAGAACTCAATTACTGAGCATTTTCTCATGTGCCACTTTGCCTTGCCTTGTGAAAGGCAGGCCTGAAGCTGCCAGAATCTTAAGGGATTTTAGTTGTTTCAGGAAAAAGGGAGAATGGTGTTTTCTCCAGGAGGGTCCTGAAAACCTGGGTCTAGACTTGATTCTCCTACATAGATCTCATCTTGACTACTGTCCCAAGTTTGCACCAACTTTGCACCAGGTCTGCGTCTTTGCTACTCTAGGTCCAACAGGGGTTGGCGCTTTGATACCTTTAGCGATGCTGGAAGTGGGATCTGAAAGAAAACCTAGCTAGGTAGGAAGCCCTGGGGCCAGGTGGGGGAAGACTTGGGACCATCCCTCACCTCTCCGAGCTCCTCCCAGGCTTTCCCCCTCCTCAGGATCCTGGGCGGCGGAGCTCCAAGCCTCACTCTCCTGTTCCATCCAAGAGATGAGGGCTGGTTTGGGGCCTGGGAATCCTGGGAGAGAACAGGGATCACAGTGCTGGCCTGAGAGGCGTCCTGGAAAGATGGCATCCCCCTGCCAGGGTGAGGGCACCTCCTCAGAACTTATGCTCAACCTGAACACGGTCTGCAATGCTCCTGCCTGGGGGAAGTGGATGCGAGGTGGAAGGACTCCCGAGGGGGGTACCTGAAGTCCTGGGAATGGGACGTGGCTGGTGCCGTTGGCGGAATAGTGCGGGATTAGGGGTCACAATCCTCTCCGTCCTTCTATATCATCTCCCCGGTGAACCCCAGTGGAGGAGGAAGGGGCTCTGACCCGGGCCTCACCGAGCGCGCCCAGGTGGCCGTAGGTCTCCCGCATCACGTCCCGGTACAGGGCCCTCTGCGCGGGCCGCAGACACCCCCACTCCTCCGGGGAGAAGTACACGGCCACGTCCGCGAACCTCACGGCCGCGGGCTGCTTGCAACCAGGCCGGCTGGGCCCGGGTCTCAGCGCCAGTAGCGGGGCTGGGGGCGGCGCCATGGGCCTCCCGGCCCAGAGCAGCGGCCGCCGGGTCCCCGCTCCCGGCCTCAGCTTCTTCCTCCGCAGAGAGGGCTCCCGGCCCCGCCCAGCTTTGCTTCGAGCCCCGGCTGGGGACCGACGTCGCAGGGACTGGATGCTGGGGATTCGGGGACTCTAATGGGAACAGAAAACCCCCCTCGATGTTTATTCACTTCATGGCAGCTTGGACTTAGACACCCGGGTTAAAGGACCCTCCCGGAAGGTGCCTTCAGAAAATATGGCGACATCCTGGCTTCAGTTGTCACTAGCTGCTCTTAAGGGCGCCATCCCTTGATCGTCTCGAACTTGCCGCCTGTCTGGCTTCCCGCGCCTCTTGGTCCGCTTGCCCTTAAACACAATGGCCGCCGGAGCGGGGCTTTTAGAGTGGGGCGGGCGCGGGGGCGAGGGAACGCAGGGCAGGTCGCGGGGGAACGCGCTTGCCTTCAAGAAAGATGGACGGGCCCGGGCTTCCCAGGCTTCGCTTGCCCGCTCTACGCCGCGGCCGGTGATTGGTCGCCAGCGGGAAGGGCGGCGCTCGCGGCCTGGGACTGGCGGGGCTTGGGGAAGACCGCCCTGAAGGCCCGGGGGCTGGTCGCTCGATCGCGAGGACCTTGTCGTCTGTGGGGCCTGGGATTGTGTCCCCGATAGCGAGAGCTGGGACCCGGGCCCCCACCGCTGCGGGAAGACGCTCACATCCTTGGCCAACCCGGGGCACGGCCGGGGGGGACACCAGGTACGCGTTTGCAGTCTGGACCGCGTCTTGGAAACACCCGATTTCCTGCAGCCTCGACTCGGCTTGCTCAGTCCTGAACTGGAGCTCCGGGCTAAGGGACGTGCTGGGTGAGGTGGGAACTGGAAGGAGGAAATTTAAAATAACTTCCCCACCCAAACTAATGAATACGTGATATTTTAAAAGTAATACAAAAGATTTCTAATGACAGAGCCCCCTGTACACTTGCTGTGTTCCCAACAGGCAACTACTTTTAACTCTTAATTAGAATTATATTGTACATACGGTACAATGCACACACATCTTCAGTCCGAAGTTCGCCCAGTTGAATACAAACAAATGTATTCAGCCCTGTTACTCATGACCCAAAATGATATATGATACTGATGTTACCCCTGAATGCTTCCTTTCTTCAATCAATATGCAATTTCTTTTTTTTTTTTTTTTTGGGAGATCAGGACATGAGAGGAACAACTAACAAACCAAGATAATTTACCAATGTATGTTTGTAGATTTTTTTTTAATTAATTAATTTATTTATACAAGCACTGGGTACAGTCAGAAGTGAGGGAGGGTGAGAGAATTCACCAGAGCCAGAGCTGGGAACAGAACAGGCAGACCCACAAAATACACTGCTGAAGGGAGCAGCGGGCGGCAGGAGAGGTCTGCGGGCCATGTGGGACCCTCCCCGGAGGCTGGGAATCGAACCGGCGCTGTAGAGGCTGTGGGCAGCTTCGCAACCCAGCGCTCAACTGCTGCGCCACCAGGGGAGGCCCAATATGCAATTTCTTATTGTGGTAAGATACACATAACATAAAGTAACCATCTTAAAATTAAATTTCAATGGCATTTAGTACATTAACTGTGCACCCATTGCCAACTACTTTCATTAACCCTGAAGGAAACCCCCACCATTAAATAGCCATTTTCCCATTTTTTCTACACCACCCCCCCCCCCAACTCGTGGCAGTCACTAACCTGTTTTTAGTCTCAGGATTTACTTTTTTGGGCATTTCATATAAATGAAATGGTAGGATGTGTGTGTGGCCTTTGGTGTCTAGTTTATAATGTTTTCAAGGTTCACCCTTGCAGCATATATCACTACTTCATTCTTTTTTTTTTTTAAGATTTATTTATTTATGCATACAAGAACTGGGGTAAAGGCCAGAGGTGTGGGGGGTGAGAGGATTCACCAGAGACGGAGTGGGGAACAGAACAGGCAGACTGACGAAATACACTGCTGAGGGGAGGAGTGGGTGAGACAAGAGAGGTCTGCTGCGCCATATGGGCCAGGGGACAAAACTCATGTCGCAGTGGCTGCTGGTAGCTTGATAGCACTGAGAAGTGGGTCATCTTAATAGCTTATGGCAGTGGTTTATGAGTCCAAGATATCTTCATCCCCATGTTTGTAATATTCCTGCAGTTAGGCAGGATATCAGACGCTATTTACTTAGCATAGGGCTCATCACTGGCGATAACAATACCAACCTGGTTTCTGGGTAGCAGCTCACAGCCCCATCTTCTAAGTCTCCCCCTTTTCAGACATGTTCTTCATGGCTGATTGAGCCTAGTGTCTTTTCAGTCTATATTTTCAGGGCTGACCTTGTTATTTTTTAGCAGGAATAATTTTTGGCTTTTAGTGTGACTTCTGGTTTCACCTCAGTAATCAAATGCTTATATTAAAATTTTAACTTTTTGAGTTTTGGAGGTGTCTCACTCTATTCACTGTCATTAATGGTATAGAAAAGGAAAAAGGAAATATATATTCTCAGAAGTGAGTCCCCCTTTTTTTTTTTAAAGATTTATTTTTTATTTATTTATACAAGAACTGGGGTACAGGCCAGATGCACGGAAGGTAAAAGGATTCACCAGAGACAGAGCGGAGAACAGAACAGGCAGACTGACGAAATACACTGCTGAGGGGAGCAGCGGGTGCGACAGGAGAGGTCTGCCACGCTATGTGGGACTCTTGCTGGCCGGCTGGGATGGAACCCGCGCTGCAGAGGCTGCCCACAGCTTCACAGCATGGTGCGCAACCGCCTGTGCCACCAGGGGAGGCCCTGAGTCCCCTTTTAAACAGAATCAACTTTATCTGAAGAGAAACTACAAAACTTTTCACCTGAACCAAAAAATACTTCTGTTTAGGCACTATGCTGTAAATTCTCTATGGACTAGGGACAGGAAAGATTTAAGAAGATGGAGCTAACCAATAAACTTGCTATTAACTAATTTGCTTGAAACAAACTTTCAAGGCTAAAACTGTTCCAACATAAATGGCTGCCAATCATAAAAATACAAAGATGTGTTGCTTTTAAATTAGTTTTACTGCCCACCAAATTGCAAGTGTTTGTTCAAGATTCTGGATAATGATGAAATGTTATACACTGGAGATCATTATGATTCATAATTTTTACTTGTCAGTTACAGGGTGCATTAAAACCTTAAGCAAAAGCTAAAGTTTCTTGCATAAAGCTCAGTCTTATATTGACGCACTTAGGGATGAAGAGTAATGAAGTTTGCAACTTACTGTGAAAAATATTAAAGAAAATAAGATGGATAAAAGATGGATTGACATAAGGTAATGCAAATAGCAAAACTATAGAATCCAGGTTAATTGTAGAATCTAAGTGATGGGCAAATGAAAATTTGGCATAAAATTCTTTCAACTATTTTTAATGTCTGAGAAGTTTTATTATAATGTTGGGATGGGGTGAGTTTCTTCAAATTATAAGTACATGCTAGGTCCCTTCATACTTTTATCTCAGACCATCCTGTGAAGTTGACATTAGTCCAATTTTACAAGTGAGACAACTAAGGGTTAGAAATGTTGAATAATGTGTTTAAGGCCACACAGCTAGTGGGGACTATGCTGAAACAGGAATCCAGGTCTACTAATTCAGAAAAGGCTATATGGTAAAGTAAAAATCACAACCAGTTGCTATTAATAATCATCTTTGAAACCAAGGGGTTCAAAAAAGCAGTCTTTGGTTAAAAGAGGTATTTGAGCCACCCAACATCACACCTGGAATGAAAAGTAGAGCTAGCAGATCTAAATGGGTCAGAAAGACCTCTTTTAACTGTTGACACATACAAGCATTACTGTAAAAATTAGACTGGATTTGTCTTGATTTCAGCTCTAATCATAAGTTACTCTTTTTTTTTTTTAAAGACCCCAGTATGATATGCCAGCTGCTGTGGCCCAAGAATACATCTTTATTCAAAAGATGTAAAATCTAAGGAACATGCAAGTAAAAACACTGCAATCACTAAATCATAAAGGTGTGATAATTTAAACTCATAGTGTGCCAGTTTTCTGCACTATGTGCACAGTGAGTGTGAGGCGGGAGAGTTCCTCACCTAAAGCCACTGTCCTTCCTCTGGCCACCTCTAGCTTTAACCAGAGTGCCAGCAATGGTGTGCTGCCACATGTGTCTTCTTATCAGATGTTTCACCTGCACTGGCTACAAGTCATAATCCTTGGATGAGTACCCCCATGGGGACAGGCCCAAGGTGTGCTTCTAGTCAAAGGGATCCCCAGAATGGATACTGGCTCCTTTAATAGGCTCTTGACTTTGGGGACCCCATATCTGAGGAACAGAAGAAATACAGGCAGAAAGCAGAATGGTGTGAGAGAACAATTCATACAGAAAAGTCAATTAAGTGAATGGTTTGCAGTGAGACTTAGAAGTGGGAGCTGGAACCTCAGAAAGTAGGTTCAGCCCTCAGGTAGCCTTTCAGATTCCTACCTCTTTTTTCTTTCTTTTTTCTTTTTTTTTTTTAAAGATTTATTTATGCATACAAGAGCTGGGGTATAGGCCAGAGATGCAGGGGGGTGAGAGGATTCACCAGAGACAGAGAGGGGAGCAGAACTAGTGGATCTACTGAAATACACTGCTGAGGGGAGCAGCAGGTGAGACAGGAGAGCTCTGCTGTACCATGTGGTTCAGCAACCTGGCAGGGATCTGGTGATAGCTTGATAGCGCTGAGACTTAACCCCTGCACCACCGGGGAGGTCCCACCTCTGCTCATTTTTTTTTTTTTCCTCTGTTCATTTTTTAACACAGAGCTTTATTCTCTTAAATGCCCACTTTCTTTCCTTGTCCTTCAAATGCATAAACCTCGTTCTTCCTTTCCAGACAAAACTAATCATCTTTTGTGAGCTCCATCTCCCACACTCTTGAAATATATCTGGAAAATACCAGGAATGAACTGGGGCACCCTGGCCTCCCAAGACAGGAACTGACTCAGAAAGCCCTACTGCAGGTTGCTGCCACCTCGCCCTTTCCACAGAGCGATGGGCCCACTGGTGGGCTGCCAAGGCATACTTGCGCTTGAAGCCCTTGCCACACTCTGGGCAGGGGAGGGGCCGCCTGTCAGAGTGGATGCGCCGGTGACTAAGGAGGAGAGAAGAGTAGGTAAAGCGGAGGCCACAGTCCGGGCAAGGGTAGGGCTTCTTACCTGTGTGCGTGCGCCTGTGGATAGCCAGCAGGGAGGGGTAGGCAAAATGGAGGCTGCAGCTGGGACAGCTGTAGGGCTTCTCTCCAGTGTGCTTGCGTTGGTGGATGGCCAGCAGGTAGGGGTAAGTAAAGTGACTCTTGCAGTCTGGGCATGCATAGGGCTTCTCCCCAGTGTGAGATCTCCTGTGGATGGCCAGGGAACCCCCTTGGCAAAAGCATCACCCGCAATCAGGGCAGGGGTAGGGCTTTTCACCTGTGTGGATGAACTGATGCTGGAGCAGGTACTTGCGCTGGGAGAAATGGGCCTGACACTGGTCACAGGGAAAGGGTCTTTCTCCAGAGTGGACCCGCTTGTGGTTGGCCAAGAAGGAGGGGTAGCTGAAGTTTCGGCCACAGTCTGGGCAAGAGTAGGGTGGTTTGCAGGCTGGAGTGGCCTTGGGCCAAGGTTTGATGGCACTTGACCTAAGGTTCCAGCAGAACTCCGGACAGCCAGCTTTGTGACTGGGGTCAGGTGGCATGCAGGACGACAACCACTCCTTGAGAGACACTCCTTGGTGCTCCATCTCTTTTTGCTTTGAATTCTTCGGCCCTTCTCTCTCCTCACTACCCTCCCTGGATCCTGAGGCAGGGAAAAAGATGAAACTTGAATTCAGTAGCAGGTTCCAGACTGTCCTGCCCTGGGCAGGTTCCAGACTGGGCAGAGCATGAATGGCTGAGTAAATGGCTCCTTGGGGGTGAGACTAAATGATAGGGGCCTCATCATCAAGGTCTCAAAGTTAGCCTGGAGTCAAAGCAAATTCCATTGTCTGAAGGTTAACACAGGAAAGTTCTGAAAATGAGATAAATGGAGAATTGATAATATTAAACCCTACTCGTTGGGCATTAGGATGGTGATGGTTCCAGCTTCCATAGAGCTAATAATCCTGATCCTGTTTATAATCTCTTTGCAAAATAGCCACTGAACGACCACCAAAAACTCTACATGTAGGCTGCACTCTAGATTCCCCAGGGGAAGACCTGAGAGCAAACCTGTATTATGATGTCATGCCTGCAGGAGACACCCGCTTTTTCTTTTTAAACCTCTGAGAAGTGACATTACCCATTACATTGTGATCCACGTAACTCATACCCAGAAGGAACATTTGTCTTCATTTTATCACACACAGAACCACTTACGTTTTTTTCCCCTTCCCCTGCCTTGGAAGCTCCAGCTCTACTGATCAAGTGGTACCCTAAGGCCCAATGTAGCTGTTCTGTTGAGTCATTTTGCAGGAAAATGGGAACCTTTCTAGAGATGAGATGCAGGGAGACAGGACTTTAGAGGGGGCAGTGTGTGCCAAGGATCCCAGTTGGGAGAGACAGCTCTCAGGGGCCTCCTGCTGGGGGTTGCTGTGAGGTACCTCCACCTTTCCCGCCTCTCTTTTGACGGCCGCTGGGCTCCCGCCCACTGGGTCCTGGGCCTCCGAGCTCCACGCCTCCACCTCTCCTTCCACCCAGGAGATAAAAGCAGGTTTGGGGCCTGAAAGTCCAGCGAAGGGAAAACAATGGGGGCGGCGGCTTCCTCAGTGCCCCACACTTCCAGCCCGCTCGCCTGCGGGGACTGAACCCCGCCTTCCCACAGATTCCTGGGGCCGGGCGGGGCCGTCGGGCCTCACCGAGCGCGCCCAGGTGCCCGTAGGTCTCCCGCATCAAGTCCCGGCACTGGGCCCTCTGCGCGGGCCGCAGACACCCCCACTCCTCCGGGGAGAAGTACACGGCCACGTCCGCGAAGCGCACAACCCCGGGACTGCCTTTCCTCATCCGCCCGGGCCCGGCCTCCTCGCCTCCATTCGCCGGGAGCGCGGCCAGGGGCGGCGCCATGAGAAACCCTCTCTGTGCCTAGCAAAGAGACACTTCCAGGGTAGGTGGAAACGCCATAGCGTTCCAGTCTTTCCTCGGAGTCCGGGGGGCGGAGAGCCCTGCCCTTATCAAAAATGGCGCCCCTGCGCCCTCAATATCCTTTGCCTTTCCTCTCTGCCCTTACTAATCCCAAGGAGGAACCCCGGGAGGTTGGGCCCCACGGCCGAGCAACCCGATAGGTGACATGTGTTGATTGGATAATTTCGGGTGGACGGAGAAGAAGGACGGCTGTGATTGGTCTTCCCAGGGCGGCCTATTTGAAAGACTAAGGTGAAGGAGCTAGTGGGCTGAAGGCGGCCGGCTACGAGGAGCTATGATTCCTAACAGAGAAGTACCTAGAAGTGAAGCCTCTCCCTTCTGCAGTTCACGTGAGCCGTCTTTCCGGCACGTCCAATATCCGGGGCCTGGAGGTCAGCTCCGAAGGGCGAAGGCAAGGCCGATTCTGAAGGTGAGGGAGTGAGGGGCGGCCTGCTCGCGGTCTGAGCTCTGTGGCTCGGGCAGGGCGGGCCCAGGCGCTGCGGGACCCGGTTCCTACCCAGTGTTTGTTTTGGCCTTTGCCCAAGGTCACCGATGTCTTCCCTCTTACAGACCCTGAAGCTGAGAGACAGAAAGGCCAGGTGGTGACAGCTCCTGGCGGCAGAACTGGGATTTAAAGTCATCTTCTGCTTCCCTTCTTCAGCCAAATGCTTGGTGTGGCACCCTGTACAGAGTAAGTACTTAATAATGTTAGGTATAGTTGTCATTATAACTATATTACCCTCTGTACCCTTCTCAATCAGAAAACCTGTGTTCAAATTAGAACTCGTTAAAAAATTGCATATATGGGGCCTTCTTGGGTGGTGCAGGAGTTAAAAGTCTCAGTGCTATCAAGCTATCTCCAGCCACTATGGCCTGAGTTCTATCCCGGCCAGGGAGCTGACCCATATGAGTGGCAGACCTCTTCTGTCTCACCTGCTGCTCCCCTCAGTAGTTCCACCTGTTCTGCTCCCCACTCTGTCTCTGGTGAATCCTCTCACCCACTGCACCTCTCGCCTACACCCCAGTTCTTGTATGCATAAATAAATAAATGTTTTAAAAGATTACATAAATTAATAATAAAACTGGGTATTAGCGCACCCCTTGAGACTGTTTTTCAGATTTCTCCAACTGAGAATTCGTAAAAGCTAAGAAGGAATGTTCTTGAGGTTGAGAACAAAACACTGTCCATTCCCACGGTGAACAGCCAGCAGGGAGACCTCAGAGAGAAGGGAGGCTTTTTAAAAAACTGACATGGGTCTCCTTGGTGGCGCAGGGGTTAAAGTCTCAGTGCTATCAAGCTATGGCCAGGGAGCTGACCCACATGGCACAGCAGACCTCACCTGTCTGGCCCGCTGCTCCCCGCAGCAGTGTTTTTTCAGTAGATCTGCCTTTTCTTTTCTTTTTTTTTTTTTTTTTAATTTTTTTTTTCATTCTTTTTTTTTTTAAGATTGATTTATTTATTTATACAAGCACTGGGTACAGTCAGAGGCGCAGGAGGGTGAGAGAATTCACCAGAGCCAGAGCGGGGAGCAGAGCAGGCAGAAGGACCTAAGTACACTGCTGAGGGGAGCAGCGGGCGGCAGGAGAGGTCTGCGCGCCATGCGGGACCCTCCTCCGGTGGCCGGGGAGCAGCCGGGGATAGAACCGGCGCTGCAGAGGCTGCGGGCAGCTTCGCAACCCAGCGCTCAACCGCTGCGCCACCGGGGAGGCCCAGATCTGCCTTTTCTGCTCCCCATTCTCTCTGGTGAATCCTCTCACCACCATCCCCTTCCCCCCACACATCTCTGCCTACACCCCAACTGTTAAAAAAAAGTCAACATACAATAACAGACAGAAAAATATTTGAAAATTATGTCCCAAAGGACTAATTTCCTCATTAAAGAACTGTAAATCAATAAAACAAAAACTATCAACCCAATAGAAGAATAGGCAAATAATATGAACTACAATTCATATAAAAAGAAATTTCTTTAAACATTTGGAAAAATAACCACCTATAGATGGAAGAATACAAATTAAAATTACATGAAGGATTATATTAAAAAAATATATATATTTTTTATTTTTTTATTTTTATTATTATTATTTTTTTTAAGATTTATTTATCTACTTATTTATACAAGCACTGGGTACAGTCAGAAGTGCGGGAGGATGAGAGAATTCACCAGAGCCAGAGCAGGGAGCAGAGCAGGCAGAAGGACCTAAGTGCACTGCTGAGGGGAGCAGCGGGCGGCAGGAGAGGTCTGCGCGCCATGTGGGACCCTCCTCCGGTGGCCGGGGAGCAGCCGGGGATCGAACCGGCGCCGCAGAGGCCGCGGGCAGCTTTGCAACCCAGCGCTCAACCGCTGCGCCACCGGGGAGGCCCTTAAAAATATTTTTTCATGTATCAAATGAGCAAGAATCAAGAAGTTTGCTCACACTCCTGTCCAAAATAATCCCCCTTATCATTTTTATCCCCTCATCCTGTACTGACAACTTTCTGACATTGTGTGCTTTTCCTTTAGCCTACTATCTCCATGGAGGCAAGGACTTTGTATTGTTCATTGCTACATCTCCATCTTCTAGAACATTACATGGCTTGTGATAGTTGCCCAAGATATCTGTTTAATGAAGGAGAGAATAATACACTATTAAAAGTATGGGATGAGGGGCCTCCCCGGTGGCGTAGCGGTTGAGCGCTGGGTTGAGAAGCTGCCCGTAGCTTCCCGCAGCCTCTGCAGCGCCGGTTCGATCCCCGGCTGCTCCCCGGCCACCAGAGGAGGGTCCCACATGGCGCGCAGACCTCTCCAGCCGCCCGCTCCCCTCAGCAGTGTACCTTGGTCCTTCTGCCTGCTCTGCTCCCCGCTCTGGCTCTGGTGAATTCTCTCACCCTCCCGCGCTTCTGACTGTACCCAGTGCTTGTATAAATAAATAAATAAATCTTAAAAAAAAAGATAAAAAAAAAAAAAAAGTATGGGATGAGGCCTTTCCATACATTCCTGATGGAAATGTAAATTCATAGTCTCAGTGGAAAACAATTTGGTAATAAGTATCCAAATCATAAGTACATTAATGTATTTATTGCTTAATGCACTAGTTTGTTTGGAATGATGAAAAAGTTCTGGAAATAGTGGTGTTTTCACAACACTGTAAAAGTACCTAGTACCCCTGGACTGTATACTTAAATTTTTTTTTTTTAAGATTTATTTTATTATACAAGCATTGGGTACAGTCAGAAGCACGGGAGGGTGAGCGAATTCACCAGAGGCAGAGCGGGGAGCAGAAGAGGCAGAAGAACCGAAGTACACTGCTGAGGGGAGCAGCGGGCGTCAGGAGAGGTCTGCGCGCCATGTGGGACCCTCCTCCAGTGGCTGGGGAGCAGCCGGGGATCGAACCGGCGCTGCAGAGGCTGCAGGCAGCTTTGCAACCCAGTGCTCAACCGCTGCGCCACCAGGGAGGCCCTTAAAAATTTTTTAAATGGTAAAATTTTAGAAAAAAATCACAATTTTGCAACCTCCATAATGATTTAAAAACCACTTATTTTGCTGCCATACTTTTTTTCTTGACCACCACTTGTAGGATTTATACAAAGCATCCTGTGAACATAGTATTTTATTTGTGGTAATTACTCATGATTAGCAGTAGACAGGACTAGGAACAAAGACTTATAACATCAACTATAAGCAAAAGTATTTGGCCTTGTTGTAACATCTTATAGGTTTTCCTGTTCCTTTCCTAGATGGGTTGACATTAACTTTTGACTCTGCATGTTAATGTTTCCTGCTCTTGCTTTGAATAGCTTCCAAACTAGTAACTTCTCTGTTTGGTTGTTAAGCTTTAATTCACAGGAGAAATAGAATACTTTTTTTATTTTTCATCTTCCCTGTTTCATTCTTGGAATTTTGGAAAACATGTTTTTCTTAAGAAATGCTGGGAAGGAATTCACACATGTACACACTGAAAGGAACCACAGGGGCTCTAAGTCTGGAATTGGATCAAGTCTAAAAATTAATTGAAGGCAAGAGCCTTGCACTTTAGGCGTATTCAGCAAGATCAGTAGCAACGTGAGAAATCCAGGTGGGAGCATCTCCTAACACTTGGGGGTTCTTGTAAAAATTAGATTGGAATATATATAAAGTGCTTACCACAGTACATGACACATCATAAATGCTCGATGAAGTAGCACTAATGCTATTGCAGTAGGCCAAAGGAGAAAATGATACAGTGAATGCAGGCCACTGCTTCAAGAAATTTAGCTGAGGGCCTCCCTGGTGGCACAGCGGGTTGAACGCAGTGCTGTGGAGCCGTCCGCAGCCTCTGCAGCGCAGGTTCGGTTCCCTGCCGGCCAGGGAGATTCCCACGTGGTGGGGCAGACCTCTCCTGTCTCACCCGCTGCTCCCCTCAGCAGTGCTTTCGGTCCGTCTGCCTGTTCTGCTCCCCACTCTGTCTCTGGTGAATTCTCTCACCCTCCCACTCTTCTGGCCTGTACCCCAGTGCTTGTATAAATAAATAAATAAATCTTTAAAAAAAAAAAAAAAAGAAATTTAGCTGAAAAACAGGAAATGGGGACAGAGGCCAGAGGGAAAGTTTTTGTTTTTAAACATGAATTTTAGCATGCGTATTGGCTGTGTGTGTGTACGTTCTGGACAAGAGAGGGACTTTGATATCACAAAACTAAGAAAAAGAATAATAGATGGGGCAAAGTCCCTGAGAGGGCAGAGTAGATGAAAGCCAAGCACAGGGCCCTCCTGGTGGCGCAAGGGGTTAACCACCGCTCTGTGAAGCAATCCTCAGCCTCTGCAGCATAAGTTCGATCCCCAGCTGGCCAGGGAGCTACCCACATGGCGCAGCAGACCTCTCCTGTCTTGCCCGCTGCTCCCCTCAGCAATGTATTTCAGTCAGTCTGCCTGTTCTGTTCCCCACCCTGTCTCTGGTGAGTCCTCTCACCCCCCACATCTCTGGCCTGTCCCCAGTTCTTGTATGCATAAATAAATAAATCTTAAAAAAAAAAAAAAAAAAAAAACCAAGCACAGTTATACTGATAAACATTCCATATGGGGGGACTTCCCCTGGGATGGGATACTAGTCAGCACACTGATAAATTTGGAGACATAGTGGGGAGTAGAAGATTGATGTTGCCATTTGACACCTGTGTTTTCTTAGTATAAAAGGCATTTACTAGTTAGGGATATATGGAAGACATAAGTGATATTGAAGGTCTGAGATTGGAGAGCAGAAAAGGTATTGTGGCTGGCCCTTCTTGTAACTGATTTTTTTTCTTGTAGCTCATATAGGCATGAAGGCAGATAAGAGATTAACCCAAGTAAGGACTGTGTACTAGTTAATTCTTGTTAACAAGTCATAGAAGGGGAGTTTATTGAAAGGACACTGGTCTCTGTCCCTGAACACTGGGCCAGGATTACACTGGGTCACAAATGGACCCTGGAAACTTGGAAGTTTTCTCTAAGTGCCTTAGAGAACCTTGGAAATAGTCTTCGATCTCTGCCCTCCGCAAACCACATACTGGAACTTGGCCTCCAGTGGCTCCCAATTTTTATGAGTTACAGTCCAGGCTCAAAGAAAATTATAAAATTCCTAGGTAAGGAAATATTTGGGTCAGTGTGTTGAGCAAAGTAGGGAAAAGAGCCAATTCTAAAATAGGGGGCTATGCAGACATTCTAGGAGGTGTCTGCTAGGGCATGTCTTCTGGTCTGAGGGAAGCTAGAGCTCCATCAGAACTGTAAAAATTTCTATTTCGTCAGCAGCTAGATTTACATTTTCTAAACAGTAATTCCACAAGGAACCTAAGTTATTGTTCATACATTTTAATGAGACCCAATCTGGTATGACCCCTTGGGGCTGTTTACCAACCAAGGAGAAAACAAACAGTTACAAGCAACTTGCTAAATACCAGAACAGAAGTAATCACAAAAGCTGAGCTCCCCAGCTGCTCCCCAACTCTGGGGTTGAGATCAAAAAAGCTGAAGGAAGAATAGGGGTAAGAGGATGACCCACTCCAGCTGTTGGAATATGAGATACGTCATATTTGGAAATTCTGATAATGGTAGGCCTGTTCCTTTAACTTGGTAAAGCCTTACTCTGAGCATTAACTCAGGGATGGGTGCTGTGGAGGCCTGTCAAAGATTAAGACACATTCACTGCCACTGCCCTACGGAGCTTATGTGAGGGAGACACCAGGAACTCAATTTAATAACTAGAGACTCTTCCTGCTTTGTATTCAGTTACGTTTCTTTCTATTCTCCTTCAATGGCCTCACCTCATTTTTTGAAAAAAATTGTTAACTAAGGACTCAGAACATTCTGTACTGATGTCTCCTTCTTCTGATAAGAATCGGGGAGAGGGCCTCCCGAGTGGTGCATCAGTTGAGCGCTGGGTTGTGAAGCCGCCCGCGACCTCTGCGGTGCCGGTTCGACCCCCGGCTGCTCCCCGGCTACCGGAGGAGGGTCCCGCATGGCACGCAGACCTCTCCTGCCGCCCGCTGCTCCCCTCAGCAGTGTACTTCGGTCCTTCTGCCTGCTCTGCTCCCCGCTCTGGCTCTGGTGAATTCTCTCACCCTCCGGCGCTTCTGACTGTACCCAGTGCTTGTATAAATAAATAAATAAATCTAAAAAAAAAAAAGAATCGGGGAGAAACAGACCCAGTGCTCAAGGATTTTCCAGCCACTGGCTGCCTGAAACTAATCTTAACCCGTTACCTAAAATAAGTGGCCAGTGCCATGTTTACTCTTGCTGCTAAACCAGAGCTCCTGCTTTTCCTTACAATAAATCTCCCAAAGCCCACTGAACTTATATGTCCCAGAGGCAAGTTCAAGCAGTTTTCTAGACACAGGTGCAGAAGACTTAGCTTTATAACGAGGTTTTAAAAAAAAAAAAAAAAAAAGGCTTACATATTTAGGCATCTGCAGCCTAATAAACTCTAAATAATACAGAGCTGCCCCCAAATCCAATGCAATCTAGAGCTATTAAAACAAGTACAGACCAAGTAGGTATACAGTATACACTGTCAGGTTGGCTTATTTTTGCATGGCCCTTTAAATGGTACATTGAAAAACCACCTGTTTGGAAAGAGATTACATCTAAGAATTGAAATTCTGTCTTTCAGGAATGATTGACCAAGTTAGTGCTATTTAACCTAAAAACATGGGGGCAAAGTAGTTGTGATTGTTATCCAAAGGGCTGCCAGGTATCAAATATATTCTGGGGAAGGCTTACAGAGGAGGATGTGGTAGTTAACAGCCATCTAGAGGTCAGCGCTATCCCACAATGAACTGACCCGCCTTGTGAGGTAGTGAGCTCCCTGTCAAAGGAGATTTTAAAGCAAAGGTAGAAGACCATTTGGCAGGAGTGTTGTAAAAGGGGGGTAAATGAGGCTTGTTTAAACCTGGTTTGGAGAGACAGAGTAGGGGAAGATCCTGTCCCCTATAAACTGGATTCTCCTGACTGCATGCAAGGGGACAAGTAATCCCTGTGTGCAAACTAGAAAAAAACAGACCACCACTAAATAGATGGGGAGAACTTTAACCCTGATATCCACACACAGAAATTCTTATAGGATGGGGTGGCTTGGAAAACTTGAATCACATGAGGGCACCGCTCCTAATGGGACCATGTACTAGCTCACACAGAAGGCAGCCAGTGTGGTAGAAAATACTAAATTTCAGGCCTACGGGGCAAGAGACCCGAGCTTAAGTTCTGACTCTGCCCTGTCTGGCCTAGGGCTTCTCTTTCTCTTCTCTGGGCCCCTCCATGAAATGCAATGAACTTTCGCAGTCCTGCTTTTTTTAAAGGGCACTGCCCTTCTGGCTGGGCCCGCCTACAGCAGATCTCGGGCTACCATTTTGGGCCCTGGGACTACACTTATGGACAGCCAGAGACCACCTCTGGCGGAAGCAACGGCCACACTCCAGGCAGGGGAAAGGCTTCTCCCCGGTGTGCAGGAGCTGGTGCTGTGCCAGGTGACTCCACTGAGCAAAGCGCTTGGAGCACAGGTCACAGGCATAGGGCCGCTCGCCTGAGTGAACACGCCGGTGACTGGCCAGGAGCGAGGGGTAGGCAAAACGGCGGCCACAGTCCTCACAGGCGTGCAGCTTCTCCTCTGTGTGCGTGCTGCGATGTATGGCTAGGGAGCCGCTCCGCCGGAAGGCACGTCCACAGTCTGGGCAGGGGTAGGGCTTCTCGCCTGTGTGCAAGAGCTGGTGCTGGAGCAGCGTACTGCGCTGGGAGAAGCGGGCCTCACAGTGCTCACAGGCATAGGGACGCTCCCCAGAGTGCACTCGCCGGTGACTGACCAGGCGAGAGGATGAGGAAAAACGCCGCTCACAGTCTGGACACGGGTAGGGCTTCTCCCCAGTGTGGATGCGCTGGTGGATGACTAGGGCCGTGCGCTGGCGAAAGCGACGGTTGCATTCTAGGCAAGTGTAGGGCTTCTCTCCAGTGTGTGTTCGCTGGTGGATGGCTAGCAGGGAGGGGTAGGCGAAACGACGCCCACAGCTAGGACACTGGTGGGGCTTTTCGCCTGTATGTGTGGTCCGGTGATTGGCCAAGGACCGGCTCCTACGGAAGCAGCGGCCACAGTCAGGGCAGTGGTAGGGCTTCTCCCCTGTGTGGATCACCTGGTGCTGGGAGAGGTTCTTGCGCTGGGAGAAACGTTTACCACACTGGTCACAAACATAGGGACACTCACCAGAGTGTGCCCGCCGGTGACTGACCAGCAAGGATGGGTAGGAAAAGCGGCGTCCACAGTCTGGGCAAGGGTAAGGCTTCTTCAGATTCTGGGCACACTTGTGGCTCTCCAGAGCCTGGTGATCAGGGAAGGTACAACCACAGTCAGGGCAGATGGGACCTCCAGACGTCTGCCTGGGGATTAGTCGGGGTTTGCTGGGCCGCCGGCCTCGCTTCCCCTTTCGTGGGGGCTCTTTAGGTGGGAATACTTCCTTCTCTCCATTCTTTTTTCTGGTTCTGGTTTCTATAGGAACAGAGAAAAATTAATGTGGGCCTCCCTGGTGGCACAGGGGTTAAAGTCACAGCACTATCAATCTATCACCAGCCACTGCCGCATGAGTTCCATCCCAGCCAGGGAGCTAACCCACATGGCATAGCAGACCTCTCCTGTCTTGCTCGCTGCTCCCCTCAGCAGTGTATTTCAGTCAGTCTGCCTGTTCTGCTCCCCACTGTCTCTGGTGAATCCTCTCACCACCACCCCCACACCTCTGGCTGTATCCCAGTTCTTATTTTTTTTTTTTAATATAAATTATATTTTTAAAATATTTATTTATTTATTTATACAAGAACTGGGGTACAGGCCAGATGTGCAGGAGGGTGAGAGGATTCACCGAGACAGAGCAGGGAACAGAACAGGCAGATTGACGAAATACACTGCTGAGGGGAGCAGTGGGCGCAACAAGAGAGGTCTGCTGCACCATGTGGGACCCTTGCTGACTGGCCAGGATCAAACCGACGCTGCAGAGGCTGTGGACAGTTCCATAGCACTGCACTCAACCGCCTGCGCCATCAGGGGAGGCCCCCTGTATCCCAGTTCTTGTATGCATAAATAAATAAATCTTAAAAAAACAAAAAGATTAAACTGACTTTAAAAGGGAAAAAAAAACTTTGGAAGAGGTAAGTGTAAAGCAGGAAGTAGAATCAGATATTTGAGCTGTCAGTGAGTGTCATAACACCCTCTATGCCAAGGATTCTCAAATTTTATTGTGATCAGAATCATTTGGGGGATTTATGGAAAGATTGCTGGGCCCTACTCCCAGTTGTGGATTCAGCAGATGTGGGGTGGGCCTAAGAATTTGCATTTTTAACTGTTCCCAAATCATGCTGCTGCTGGTCTGAGGCTCACACACTGAAAAATACTGCTGTCAGGAACTGGAATTAAAATATTTTATCTACTGATTCTCAAGCATAAATGTAATCCAGATCAACTGGGGCTATTAAAACACACACACACAGCAGTTCCTAGACACCCATATGAATAAATCAATAGGTCTGGAATGGGTTCCAGGAATCTATTTTTACCAAATTCCCCCAAGTGACTTAGGTGTAACTGACAGCTACTTGACAATCCACTTTGGCCTCAGCAAAATCTAAAAGGTGATAAACAAGGAAATATCATTGTCAGATCTCAATCTTAGAAAAATAGTCTTGACTTTAAAGAAACTGGCACAGAAGCGCCAGCCCAGACAGTCTCAACAGCCCCTGGCATGGATCTGGGGTCCTTCCACCTTATCAGTGCCTTGTTGTATTCTCAGGGTCTTGTCTTGCACAGAGGTCATCCAGCCAGAAGGGCAGAAAGGGCTCTGCAATCAGGCATCTGTTCCCCATGATATCTTTTCCACCAAAACACAGAACTGAAAGAGGTAAAGGGTCTGGAAGGAGGCTGGAATGTAGCTCTTTTTGAAGCTCACCAACTCATTCACACAATAGGGAACTGCAAGTTTTCAAGCTAACATGTGAGTCTGCCTGGTGGACCCACCCCACTCCCTCAAAGACAAGTGCCCGAAGTTGCAAAAATGAATACAGTAAATGAGGCCATGGGTACCCCTGGCCACTAAAACTCTGGAAAGTCTTTAGAGGTTGCAGACCCTTCCATTGGTGTTTTTCACTCACTTCTTTGGACTGTTATCCCCCTTGGGCACTCCTGCGGATCCAGAGCAGCCGGTTCCCAAACATCGGTATTTCGTTCCAGCCAGGAGATGAGGGCTGGTTTGGGACCAGCGCACCCTGGGAAAGGAGAACCAGTCAGAGGTCTAGCTCGCAGAATAGGCTGGGTAGTTACCGATGGCATCACCTGCTAAGCCCTCCTGCTCCTCCCCACACACAACCTGGTCGAGGGCCAGGGCGCTGGCCATTCTAGACTCCCTGACCTCCCCGCCCCCCCAGGTTTCTCCATCCCTAGAGGCCCGCGGAAGCGGATTGGGCCGGGCCTCACCGAGCGCGCCCAGGTGCCCGTAGTTCTCCCGCATCACGTCCCGGTACAGGGCCCTCTGCGTGGGCCGCAGACACCCCCACTCCTCCGGGGAGAAGTACACGGCCACGTCCGCGAACCTCACAGCCCTCGGCCTCCTTCCCCTTCTCCGGCCGGGTCCGGTTTCTCCTGGTCCCCGCGCAGAGAGCGGAGCCGAAGGCGGCGCCATTGGACCCGACAAGACGGCGCCAGGGCCTTCCCCGCCCGGGCCTCGGTGCCTGGGCGCCGGCGGACCCTGGGATTTGGGGGCCGCGCTGCACCGGGGCTGAGCGTGCCTGCGGAGGTCCGCAGGGGCTAGGAATCGGCCGCCTGCGGGGCTAACGGAAACCTTGCGCTGCTATTCAGGAAACTCCTGCTCGAATTTGGGTGCAAGGCACCGGAAGATGCCTTCGGGGAAGATGGCGGCGCTGCTTCTGCACCGCCTTTGCCTGAAACACAGGCAGCTTCCAGCTATCGATTTTATTGACCGGAGCGCCATGCCGGCTTCCTAACCTCTCTGCCCTCAACTGTGATGGCGCTGCGATTGGGCTTCACGCCCCCTCTCCCCCCATCACGCGAAGCCATTGGGCAGCGGCTGAAGATCGAGCATTCTGATTGGGTGTCGGCGAAAGCGGCCTGTTTGAACGAAGCCAACGGAAGTGTAAGGGCAGGAAGCTGGAGGCTGGGTGTCGGGTGACTGCGTGTGAGCTGAGGCGGGAAGCTGCCGCCGGGTCTGGGATCTGTAACGGGCCCTGCTCTCTGGCAGGTGCAGCTTAGCTAGGAAAAAGGATTTGAGCGATAAGGCCATTGTGGCCAACCTCGGGCTGAGATTACCATAGGCTCCTTTTAGTGGTTTTCTCAGAGGAGTCCTCAGACAATGGTTAATTTCCTTGTAGCCCTTTGGGAAGGGAACTAACGCCGAGTTTCCTGTAATCAGGCACAGTGCCCAACAAATCATACATATCATCTTATTCTTTGCCACCATTGTGTGAGGTGTTGATTATCATCCTGGTTCTATTAATAGGCGAGACCAAGAGAGGAATAGATTTAATCCCGGAGTTTCCAGAACTATTCAAACAACCGAACTGATGCTTCCACCCCCCACCCCACCCCCCATCCTAATTTGCTTGCTAACCCAGGACTCCATGTAAACTCCTGGTCTCTTCTCGGGTTCAATTTTCTGCATATCTCCTCATGCTTTAGTTTTACATGACATCTGTTCAACGTGCAAAGAAAGCCTAGTGCTAGTCAGCTTGGAGAAGCAGGGTTCAGAAAAAAGTTATGAGCCATGATCTGTGTAGAATCTAGTGAGGCTATGAACTCATAACTAATAATAATGATACAAATGATACCGGAATTGTCAGGCCTAGTCTCCCAGCCAGGAATGGATTCCAGGCTGCAGGGCAGCGCTGAGCCCCAGCCGCTAGACCCCCACGGGTTGGTGTCTCACGAAGCCGCAGTAGGAACTTCGCAGACGCTCAGGCAAGCAAGCGAGAAGAGGCAGTTTGTTTAGAAAAAAGAAAAAGTTTATTGAGGAGAAAAAGAACAGAAATAAAGTGGGACTCCCAGGCCAGGGAACCAGGCCTGGGAGGGGCAAGGAAGCCAAAGTGGAGTTGTGTCTCAGGGAATATATACCTTTTTTCCCTCATTATTCTAAAGCTTTACCAGTCTCTCTGTGATTGGTTAGTTCTTGGCTGTCTCACTTAATTTGTTACTGAGTGGGGATCTTCACATTCCTTATCTAACAGTTTTTTCTTTTCCCATTTGTTGCATCTTTAAATTTATGGCCCAGTCTTCTGGATGGGCATCCCTGCATTGAAGTTAAACAGTTGCCCTTCTAATGTGACCATAAATTAAACCACTCTCCATATCTCCAATCTCCGCCTCCCTTTACCACCTGAAGGAAACCAGGACCAGCATTAACAATGTTGTCCTTGGTCCTGGCATGTTTGTTTTTCCTAATGGAATTGGTTATATTTCTTTGGTTGTCCTTATCTCTGAAGCCTCCCTAAATTCTTCAGAGGTCCCCTCCTGCACTGTCCCTAAAACTGCCTAATAACCCTAGCTTGCCCTGTCTCACAAACATGCATGGGAAAGGCACAGGATGGAATCAGCACCCACTCCACCGGTCCCCTTTTCTGCACAAGTGCTGTGCAGAGTTTCACCATTGCTCTCTCATCTCCCAGGGGACCTGGGGGCAGGAGAATATACTGTTTGCTACATTTTTAACCTCAGCTGGTGACATACACATAGCTCTCTCCAATCCAGTAAGCAACATTTTAAAGCACCAACTATGAGCCAGAGTGGGCCTGGGAATGGCCAGAGAACCACTTTGCTTGTTAGCAGCAGCCACTATCAGGGCACTCATAGGGCTTTTCAACTGTGTGACTGAGCTGAGATTGGAAGAGGTTTGTTTTTTTTTTTTTTTTTTAAGATTTATTTATTTTTATTTATGCATACAAGAACTGGCGTGTAGTCCAGAGGTGCAGGGGGTGAGAGAATTCACTAGACAGAGTGGGGAGCAGAACAGGCAGATCTACTGAAATACACTGCTGAGGGGAGCAGCAGGCCAGACAGGAGAGGTCTGCTGTGCCATGTGTGTCAGTTCCCTGGCTGGGGATCTAACTCATGCTGCAGTGGCTGGCCATAGTTTGATTGTGCTGAGACTTTAACCCCTGCACTATGGGGAGACCCTGAAAGAGATTATTTATTGGGTAAAACGGGCACTGAAATGGGCACAAGGATAGAGGCTCTCACCAGAGTATACCTGCTCGTGGTTAGTCAGGAGGGAGGGATAGGCAAAGCCTCTGCCTCAGTCTGAACAGATAAGGGCCTCTTCCTCATGTGGGTATGCTAGTGAACAGTGGGGAGGGAAAGATATACATAGTGGCACCCATACTCAGTGCGCAGGTACTTCTGGCTTTCCCCCACCGTGTCTGTGCATGTAGATGGCCAGTGCCCCAGTCTGGCAGAAGCAGCAGCCACAATCTAGACATGAGTAGGCCTTGTCCCCTGTGTGGAGCAGCTGGTAATGGACCAAATGAGACTGACTAATATTACATTACTCTGTGATTTATCAAAGGTCATTTATCCAGTCATCTACTGCCTGTTATCTTGGCTGCTTCCAAGCTTTGGCAGTCAAGGCAAGAAAAGACATGTAGAAATTTTGAATGTATATTACTAAGTGAAAGAAGACACTCTGACAAAGCTATATACTATTTGATCCCAACTCCATGAAATTCTGGAAAAGGCAAAAACCATAGTGACAGTAAAAAAAGATTAGTGGTTGCAATGGATTGGTGAGAAGGGATGACTGGGCACAGTAAAGAAAATTTTTAGGGTAGTGAAACTGCTGATATGATACTCTAATAATGGTGGCTTCATGTCATTATACTTTTGTCAAAACTCAGAATGATAATGATTTGTCAATGTAAGTGCACAGATTATGACAAATGTACCAGACTGGTATGAAATGATTGTGGGGGAGGCCATGTGTGTATATTGAGGGGGAATTACTCTAAAATTAAAGCCTATTTTAAACGTTGTTTTAAATGATTCATGCTACTACATGGATGAGCCATAAAAGCAATATGCCAAGTGAAAGAAGCCAGATACAAAAGACCACATACCTTATGATTCCATTTATAGGAAATGTCCAGAATAGGCTCATCCATAGAGACAAAGTAGTTTAGTCGTTGCCAGGGACCCGGCAACTCTAAATATACTAAAAAAATTTGAGTTGTACACTTTATTTATTAACATTTTTCAATTTTTTTTTTATTTATGTACTTACTTATACATACAAGCACTGGGTACAGTCAGAAGCGCGGGAGGGTGAGAGAATTCACCGAGCCAGAGCGGGGAGTAGAACAGGCAGAAGGACTGAGCTACACAGCTGAGGGGAGCAGCGGGCGGCAGGAGAGGTCTGCGCGCCATGTGGGACCCTCCTCCGGTGGCCGGGGAGCAGCGGGGGGGGGGGGGGGGGGTGGGGGGGGAGCAGCCGGGGAACTAACCGGCGCTGCAGAGGCTGCGGGCAGCTCCGCAGCCCAGCGCTCAACCGCTGCGCCACCGGGGAGGCCCCGAGTTGTACACTTTAAATAGGTGAATTTTATGGTATGTTATTAATCTCAAAGCTATTAAAAAACAACAATGATAGTCATTGGCATGGGAAGATAGTCGAGGTAAACTAATTTGAAACAACACAACAGGTTTCCAGGAGGCAGTCTAGAACAATCCTTTCCCAAGCCTCAGTCCAGTACCTGCTTTTACCTACTCCATTCCCCATCTCCTCCAGGCATTTTTTCGCTCTCTTGAGTAGTCTCCCTGTCTGCATTTCTCACCCAAGAGCTGGTTTACATACATTGTGGGGAAAAAAAGGAATAAATGCGTGAGCAAAAATGGGTAGAGCGAGTATCTCCTGAAAGGCCTCACTGAGCACCCCCCACATAGCCATATATTTCTGGCATCACATACATCTTGACACTGGACCCTAGTGCAGCTTCAGCAGACACCATTTCCCCCAGGAAGAAGTACACTGCCACGGCTGCAGCGAAGCTTCAAGGCTGGGGTTTGGGCTGTGGATGGAGCAGGGACGGAAGTGGTGCTCTTCCAGCCCCCAGGTTCTGGTTGTTTCCATCCCCAGGACCACACTGCTTTGGGCTGAGGCGACATTGCCCGCTGGAGCTGGCTACGTTTGGCGTCAAAGCTGTGGCCAGAGGAAAGGAATTCACGCGTCGGGGGTCACTCTGGTACTCGATGGACCGTGGTACCGGAAAATGCCCCAATAGAATATGGTAGCGACCTGCCTTCGCGACCACCATTCAAATACAGTCGGAAACTCGCCGTTCTCTTCCTCCGGTTGATCATATCAAGTAAGAGTCACCTCCTACTTGGTTCCAGCTCTTACCGTTCCTATCCCCTCCTTGGCGTTGCGGGGATTAGTATAAGAACTTGACTTTTAACAGCTCCCAGTGATTGGACTGTTCTCATCGCCGAAATAACTAGGCTAGCGCTGATTGGTCTCTTGGGCCAAACTCCGGACGCTGTTGCTTGGTAACGCCTGGGCAGAAGCTGGCGAGCACGCGCAGTGGGCGCGGGGAGCGGGCGGTGCAGTAGTGCGCTTGCGCGGGGGTCAGTTTTCTTTGCGAGATGCTACCCCGGCGTCTTCCCTTCCGTTGACCCACAGGCCTCTCAGAGTGTGACCTGGCCACTGCATGAGTTGGTTCCTGTGCTGAAAGAAGCGTACTCTGAGAAGCTAAGCACGTTTATGGAATTTATACATTGCCTCAGATACTCAGCAGCCTTCTGGATCATCTAACCCGGAGCAACTCTCCATGTGGTGGTAGGGATGTGGTCATTATTTAAGAATAAGAAAGTTGAAACTGGGTAACTGGTAGCCGGTGCTTTTTCTATTGAGTTAGTCAGTGACTTTCTGAGTCGTCACAGCCGTTGAGCTGCACACACACTCACACTCCTGAGCTAGAAATTCCTCAACACCAGCAGGATTAAAGTGACTTACAGAAGTGCCCTCTTTTCCACAATGCTCTGAGTTCTAAGTAGACAAAGTCAGAATCTTGTTCTTTGTTACTCTTAAATATCTAGAAACTGCAGTCGTGATAGGAAAAACAGTAACACAAAGTACCAGTAACAGCATAAAACACTTCAAGGACATTATCCAATTTAGTCTTCTAACCAACCTTATGTGACTGATCATCTCACTTTCTGAATGGGGGTGCTTAAGCTCAGTCCAGTTAGAAACTGCTTCTAAATTGCTTTAGAGAATCCAGTATATTGACTTTGAAACCCACTTATCGTAACCACCATGCTACACAACTACTCTTAGACATAGCAACTGTTCAAAACAAAGTAATGGCAAAAAAAAAAATTTTTTTTTTCTTTTTTTTTTTTTGCTTTTCCCCTTGCCCTTGTAACCCACCCCTTCCAAGAAAGAAATGGTCTTTCTACGTCGAGAGTCACAATGGTCCATTCTATCATAATTCACTTCTTTTACAAATGTGAGGCACAGGGCTTGTGTGGCTTTATAATCTAAATGTGGACAGAGCATAGGCCTTGGAGTCAGAGACGTCTCTCTGGAACCCTGGCGCCACCTCTTGGCAGCTGTGTGATGTAACCAAGTTGTTTCACCTTGCCAGTGTATCCTTCTTCATCTATAAAACTAAGGTCACTCTACCTCACAGATAAGTCATTGAAGCTTAAAGGAGTTCACTGTGGAAAGTATGGGGCCCATGGAAGGCAGTTAATTCAAGGGAATTTTTAGCTGAGAGAGATGAGACTTGACCAACAAATGCTTCCTAGCATGTTCTAATTTCTTGAAGCAGTGAAAAATGCCATAAGTATGTAATTTTTTATTTTTGGAGATACCTTGAAGGTTGGGGTATGGTCTTCACCTCTTCAGAATCCCATCCCTTGGATATTTGGGTATTTTCCACTCCCATATCCCTGGTGCCCCCCCTCACTCGCCCAAGTTGACTAACCAATATTTCTAGAACATATATAGAATGCTTAATGCTCTAAAAAAAAAATGCTTAATGCTCTCAGGTTGATCTGAATCTTAAGACTGAGACTGCAATTGTTTTTGGCTTCTTCTCATGCTGGATTTTCTTCTACCACTGAGGGGGGTTCTGCTGATTTGTAATCAGAGTCAGTAACAAAAAAAATATGTTAGGCCTTTGGAAAAGATGTGAGACCACCTCTCACTCATATAGGTGATGTGATTGTGAGAGCTGAAAGGGTCCTGCACTTCATGAACAAGTAGTGAGACGTTCCTGGTATGACTTCTGTGGCTAATCAGCTCCTAGGCCCTACCTAGAGACATGACAGCTGCACTGAGGAAAGAGGCAAGACCATGTACCCAGGATGCAAATCTAAGGTAGAGAGTTTGCAGAAGGTCCAGCTACAATCAAGACAACATATCTGACTCCGAGGTTTGCAATGTGGGGTTAGCACAGACTTCAGGTTCAAAAGTGTCTGACATTACCAGTGCCAGCCTGTGGTCCTCAGCCTCAGTCTCAGGGTGAGGCACCAGCCCTAGCACTGACATCTCCACTTCCAAGGTTTCTTGGCTTTCAGTCCTTTCCTGTGAATCTCCTTCCCCTTGTCTTCTGCTGGGGGCATGGGGAAAGGATAATCTCAGGACTTGGACCGTAACCAGTAACCCATTATGGGCCATGAAGCTTTTCATTGTTCTTGGAGGGGTAAGGATGAGGGCAGTGGGAACATTCAGATTTGAGTCATAGCTCCCCTGGATAGTTGATTAAGAGAGGTGCCCAAGTGCTCACAGTTGGCTCATGGTCCTATGTAATTGTGGAACAATGAACCCCTCATCACGTACCCATCATGTCCAAGGGGAGGGATAGAATACCTCATTCAGGGGCATTGTAGTCTATCTGTAAAGACACACCTTTCTGTGCCCCTTCCTCTGACAACATCGTAGGCCCAGCTTAGGAAAAAAGCAGAATTCTGAGATCCTCAACCTCTAGAGAAACAACATTACTATATTGCAAGTTTCTAAAGGCCCAAGATTAGTAACACACTAGTGTTCAGAAAAGTGTAACTAAAAGCCTCAAGAACACTAGGATCTAAACATTTTTTTAAGAGTTAGTTTAATTTATTTATGCATACAAGAACTAGGATGTAGGTCAAAAATGCAGGGGGGTGAGAGGATCCACCAGAGACAGAGTGGGGAACAGAACAGGCAGACTGACTGAAACACACTGCTGAGGGGAGCAGTGGGCCAGATAGAGGAGGTCTGCTGTGCCATGTGGTCAGCTCCCTGGCTGGGGATCGAACTTGTGCTGCAGTGGCTGGTGATAGCTTCATAATGCTGAGACTTTAACCCCTGAGGCCTTAGAGTCTAAACTTTTTAATGACCAATGCATCAAAACCCTGCCCTTGAGTGTCAGCTGACCTTGTACTGTTCTCTTATTCCAAATGAAGGAAATGTACTCTGAGCTCCGAAACTTGAAAGTCATCTTTGGGCCCTTTCACAAAGAGTTCATGTTTCCTTGTGAGTTCTCCCATACAAAGCACTGCGATCCTCTGTCCCTCACTAGCAAGGAACTCAGCCTCCTTGCCTTAATTTCGTCTCCTGTTAAATGGGGATGATCTTTTCTTCCTCTTAGGGATGTTGTAGAAATTAAAATAAAAGATGTAATTTAAGAGGTGCGTTGAACAAGATTTTTTTTAAAGATTTATTTATTTGTGCACACAAGAACTGAGGTTGTTACCGGAACCCAGCTGCCTCAGCGGTGGAAGCAGGGGGAGCAGTGGTTCTTTCAACCTGCTGCTCCACCACAAGTCAGTTGTGGCAGTTGCTCCTCAGAGCTCATAACTGCTGGTTTTTGTAAAGGACCAATCAGGTGTGAGCTGTGAACTGATTGGTGCTAAATGGTCCAATCAGACTTGTGGGTGGGACACCCTGAAAGAGGATATAAGCAAGGAAAGGGGAAAAAGGAGATGACTACCCCAGCCCTGAGAGAAGAGGACGAGAGCCCCTGAAGAAAGAAGACATCAGCCCCAAAGAAGAAAGACGACAGTTCCAGCCTCCGAGGAAGAAAGAAGGGGAAGACTCTGTTCCTGGCCTCCGAAGAAAGAACAGAAGCATCCAGCAGCCGACCTCCAAGGAGGGAAGAGAAGTCGAAGGACTCTCTCATGGACTGGACCTCGGGCCTGTCTCTGACATTGTCTGAAAGGAGCACCAAAGGCCCTGGGCCTGGTGTCTCAAAGAGCTCTTTGTTGTTGGTGTAGCCCAACAACTCACAAAGAGCTGTTAACACTGGGTGTCTCTGACACCGTCTCTGAGGGACCAATAGTGGCCATCCCTACTGGCCAGTGCTGTCCAGCACTCCTGGTGACTAGTGGCGACCATCACTGATGCTATCTGGGTGAGGTCGCAGCCACTTGTGGATACACTAAGCTCTTTGTCTCCCCTGTTTGTAATAAACCCCAAGGTTGTTGTTCCTGGAGCCTGCGGTCTCTTGCAATTGTGTGTGCTGGTGAGAACCCACAGACAGTGACCTGTCCTCTTATCGGACACAGTCCTCTGTTAGGCTATAGTCCATAGGCCCCTATTGTGTGGGTATTGTATTGCTATAACCCTTGGTTTTGGTTTTTGGCCAGAGGTGCAGGGGATGAGAGGATTCACCAGAGACAGAGTGGGGAACAAAACAGGCAGATCTACTGAAATACACTGCTGAGGGGAGCAGTGGGCGAGCCAGGAAAGGTCTGCTGCGCCATGTGGGTAGCTCCCTGGCCTGGGATCAAACTCGTGCTACAGTGACTGATGATAGCTTCATAGTGCTGAGACTTAACCCCTGCTCCACCAGGGAGGCCCCACAGAAAATTTCTAACATAGATAAGTGATTCTTCTAGATTAATCTCTAACCCTTCCTTTTTTTTCTATTCCCACCATTCCTCCTTTTTGTAAATACATTGCCCCCCAGCATAATAGCTTAAATAGCTTTCATCATCTCAGTTTCTGTGGGCCAGCCATTTAGGCGGCTTAAGTGGGTGTTTGTAGCTCAGAGTTTCTCATGAGGTTGGAGTCAAGATGTTGGCCAGGGCTGCAGTCATTGGAAGGCTTCTTGGGGCCCAGAGCATTTGCTTCCAAGCCTCTCACATGGCTGTTGGCAAGAGGCCTCATTTAACCACATGGTTCTCTCCACAGGGTTCCAGAGCTACTTCTGTCAGCTGTCTTCCTCCAGAGCAAGTGAGCCAAGAGAGGGAGAAAGGACAAAATGTCTTTTAACGACCTAGTCCCCCAAAGCACACGCTGCCATTTCCACTGTCTTCTGTTCATTTGACCTGGGACATTAGGTCTAGCTCATATTCAAGAGGAGGGAATTCAGCTATGAGGGGAGATGACTCAGAGAATCTGTGAAACTTAGGTATAAAATTAACCTGTTTCCCTCCCCAATTATCTCTACCTATTTTATTTTATTTTTTTAAAGATTTATTTATTTATGCATACAAGAACTGGGGTACAGGCCAGAGGTGTGGGGGTTGAGAGGATTCACCAGAGACAGAGTGGGGAACAGAACAGGCAGACTGACTGAAATACACTGCTGAGGGGAGCAGCGGGTGAGTCAGGAGAGGTCTGCTATGCCTCTATCTATTTTAGTAAATTACCACTCATGTATACCTGTGCTGAATCCATCTTGAATAGGAGCTGCTAAATCTTTCTAAAGTCCCATCTTAATTTTGTATTGTCCTTTCTCGAAAATCACTATAAAACACACATGCTAAATGACATGCATGTAAAGGTTATCACAGAAGCATTGTTCATAAAACTGAAAGATAGAAAACGACTTAAATTTCCATAATAGGGGCCTCCCTCGTGGCGCAAGGGGTTAAGCACTGCACTATGAAGCAATACACAACCTCTGCAGCACGAGTTCGATCCCTGGCCGGCCAGGGAGCAACCCACATGGCAAAGCAGACCTCTCCTGTCTCACCCGCTGCTCCCCACAGCAGTGTATTTCAGTCCGTCTGCCTATTCTGCTCCCCACTCTATCTCTGGTGAGTCCTCTCACCCCCCCGCATTTCTGGCCTGTGCCCCAGCTCTTGTATGCATAAATAAATAAATCTTTTAAAAATTTTCCATAATAGGAGAGCGATTAAAGAAAGGCTGGTATAAGCACACAATTGAAAACAAAGTAACTTGAAAATTTAGAAACCCTCTACCTACTGCTAAAGAAAGGACTGATAGATCCAGTAACAGAGCAGAATGGTGAGTTTAGTACGATACCTCCAGAGTATGAACAACTCAGGGTGAAGAAGAATAGATTTGGATGTTATTTTTATATGCACAAAGAAACTCCGGAAGTTAGATAAGACTCTAGTAAGAATAATTTCCCACGGGGTGCCAGCACTGACATGAAATTGTTTTTAGAATACAAACCATGGTTAGAAGATAATCCCCACATGCACCTGGTGGTGCAGTGAGTTAAGACGCAACCTATGTAAACCATGTGAAGATTTATCTATTAAGTAAAATTTAAAAGTTGATAGTTCCTTATTACCTGCAACATCCAATCACTTGTTTCTCACTTTTTTAAAAAAGGATTTATTTTTATTTATGCATACAAGAACAGGGTGTAGGCCAGAGGTGTGTGTGGTGTGTGTGTGTGTGTGTGAGAGAGAGAGAAAGAGAGAGAGAGAAAAAGAGAGAGAGGACTCACTAGAGACAGAATGGGGAGCAGAACAGGCAGATCTACTGAAATACACTGCTGAGGGGAGCAGTGGGTGAGACAAGAGAGGTCTGCTGCGCCATGTGGGTCAGCTCCCTGGCCAGTGATCAAACTCATGCTGCAGTAGCTGCGAATAGCGACATAGTGCTGAGACTTAACCCCTTGCACCACCAGGGAGGCCCTGTTTCTCACTTTTTCATTTAACAAATCTTTCTGGAATAAAGCATACCAAGCCTGGTAGGGTCCATTTTTCCCTCACTATTATCTTCCTCCAACTAAGCTGACCTTCACTGAGTCCTAAATAATTTTTTCATCTTCCATTTCTTTGAGGATCCCTCCCCAGTTGCTATGGCCCCACCTCAGTGGCTCCCAACAAGGGCAGTGCCACCCGCTAGCGAGTATTTTGTGAATTTGTGGGAGCTTTCCTTTTGGCCCCAGGGATTTAGTGGGTGGACTCAAGGATATCAGTTGCCTTAAGCAGTACCAGATAATCCTGCTGCATTATCCTCCAGTGTTCTCAGAATGTCCCATAGTCATTCATGTGATGAAAACACATTTATGTGAGTACAGAACCTAAATTCATTTTATATACACACACAAACGTAAGCAGTTTTAATCCTGAATTTTCCAGGAAGGCAGACACCTGTATAAATCAAGAGAAGATTTATTTCACTTTGTTTGGAACTTTACCAAAAATTGTTTGCTTATTCTGGAAAATCATGCAGGTAATTCAAGATGCACTTGAATTTGAGTCGCCAACACAACTGATCAGTGACGGTCTGCATTCGAGGATGTAGCATTCACAGAAATATGCAAGTAGGCACAAGCATATGATCACTTCGATATGAACACTTCACTATACCTGGTAAAGTCATACCCAAGCACTTACAAATTGAAATATATATATGTAAAGACTAATATAATAAGGAAATATGTATAAATCCTAAGGGTAAGATTAGTGGATTTTCAAATTATGATTATGTGGACACACCCACATAATCAGTACCCAGATGAAGAAACCAAAAAATTTCTAGCACACAACACTCTCTTCTCGTAGCATCTAGTCCCCACCCTCCCCAAGGGTAACCACCAGTTCAATTTCTAACATGCCAGACTAGTTTTGTCTCTTTTTGAACATAATACAGGTGAACTCATAAGGTATATGCAGGTACACTCTTTAGGACCTTGCTTCTTTTGCTTCTAAAATTCATTCATATTGGGGCCTCCCTGATGGTGCAGTGAGTTAAGACGCAACCTATGAAGCTATCTGCAGCCTCTACAGCATGAGTTCGATCCCCTTGCCGGCCAGGAAGCAACCCACATGGTGCAGCAGACCTCTCCTGCCTCGCCCACTGCTCCCCTCAACATTGTACTTCTGTCAATCTGCCTACTCTGTCTCTGGTGAATCCTCTCACCCCTCACACCTCTGGCCTGTACCCCAGTTCCTGTATGCATAAATAATCTTTAAAAAATTAAAATAAAATAAAATTCATTCATATTGTTGTGCCTGTAGTTGTAATTTTTATTCTGTTATCTACAAGTTGCTATTGGACATACACTTTTTTTTTTTAAAGATTTATTTATTTATGCATACAAGAGCTGGGGTACAGGCCAGAGATACGGGGGGTGAGAGGACTCACCAGAGACGGAGTGGGGAACAGAATAGGCAGACTGACTGAAATACACTGCTGAGGGGAGAAGCAGGTGAGACAGGAGAGGTCTGCTGTGCCATGTGGGCAGCTTCCTGGCCGGCCAGGGATCAAACTTGTGCTGCAGAGGCTGCGAACTGCTTCATAGTGAGGTCCTTAACCCCTTGCGCCACCAGGGAGGCTCCAGACACACACTTTTAAATACATGACCGTGGGCCTCCCCGGTGGCGCAGCGGTTGAGTGCTGGGTTGCGAAGCTGCCCGCGGCCTCTGCGCCGCCGGTTCAATCCCCGGTTTCTCCCCGGCCACCGGAGGAGGGTCCCACATGGCGCGCAGACCTCTCTTGCCGCCCTCTGCTCCCCTCAGCAGTGTACTTCGGTCCTTCTGCCTGCTCTGCTCCCGCTCTGGCTCTGGTGAATTCTCTCACCCTCCCGCGCTTCTGACTGTACCCAGTGCATGTATAAACAAAACAAACAAACCAGCAAACAAATAAATAAAGCATGCCTCTATAAAAAAATAAATAAATAAATAAATAAATAAATAAATAAATAAATACATGACCGTGTCCTTTCAATTATAGTTAAGGTTATATTGATACATTTAAAATAGAACTATAGATGGATTATTTCTCTACTCACTTCTTTTGTCATAGGAAAGGGGCATTAAAAATATTCTAAACAGCATGTGTTATTCTGATAGACGGAAGACCAAATTACTCGTGGGCTCCTGCATTTTGTCCTCTGGACCTTTGCCGAATCATGATGCAAGAGTCTCCCTTCTAAACCCCTTTCCTTCCATTCTCATAGGATTCATCACTTTCACTGAGAAGCCATTTCCTTCTGTAGCTCTTTTGGGGACCCACTCTTCACTGGCTCTCTTTCTCTCTGAGGACAAGGATTCTCAGAGTCTTGTTCACCAGAGTAACTTTTATGTCTGACACATGGTTAGAGCTCGACAAATATGAACAAATAAACAAATACCTCATAGTCAGAGCCTTCTTGACCAAACCCCACCCCTACCCCCAGGGCACTTGCCATCCTGCATCTAGATCTTTTTTCTCTGGAGTAAAGGTCGCAGCCATGTGAGTCTATTTTGTGAATGTGCCATGACCTCCCTGTCCCCGCGTTGCCACTCTAGACCTGAGTGCCACTGCGTGCCTCTGCCTTCCCAGCCAGTAACATCAAGCACAGTCACTTCCAGAAAACTTTCCCTGGACTTGTTTTCTGAGTGTTGCCCAGATATAGTCTCCTTCTGAAACCACTGGGTGCCAGGAATCACCTTTACACAGCAAAGCGGCAGCCTGCTCAACTTCCCCATTTCTGCCGCACCAGCTGTCCTTGAAGGCACCATCTGTGCCCATTTTCTGTCTTTTTCTCAGTGTATAGGAGCACTCAAATGCTTTTTTTTTTAAGATTTTGTTTATTTATGCATACAAGAACTGGGGTGTAGGCCAGAGGTCAGGGGGTAAGAGGATTCACCAGACACAGAGTGTGGAACAGAAGAGGTAGATACACTGTGTGAAATACACTGCTGAGGAGAGCAGCGGGTGAGACAGGAGAGGTCTGCTGTGCCATGTGGGTCACCTCCCTGGCTGGGGATCGAACTTGTGTTGAAGTGGCTGCGGGTAGCTTCATAGTGCTGTGTCTTAACCCTTGTGCCATCAGGGAGGCCCCCCTCAAATGCTTTTAAGGAATATGTCAACCGTGCAGATTTAAACTTTTATTGCAACTTCATTACCCTCTGAAATATCTGA